GATCCACGCATATCAGAAAACGAAGAGATGATGGGGCTTTAAATATGTAAGCTCTGAGATGGTTTAGGTCATATTTGGAAGACTGGTCTACGTGTGTTGAAATTAGAGGGAAACAGTCAGTATATACGTAGTTGCTTCTAACAAAGTAGGTCTCCCTCAAGGATCCGTATTTGGACCCATAGGATATGCTTTGCTGTCCCAGACATCGCTAGACATAACGTTTCATATCACACTTGTGCTGATGATCGATGCACAGTTGTATGTTACATTCAACCCTAAGCAACCTAATGGCTTAGATACTGCATTAAAAACTCTTTCAGATTGTGTCACAGATATAAGTATGTGGATGGGAAGGAATAAGCTTAAAGGTAATACAAAGTTTTTGGAACTTTTGAAAATTGGGTGGATAGTGAATCTTTACAATTTTGATATAATGTGGATGCCCCTGTGGATGTTTTATAAGCACTAAAAAAATTGCCCCTAAAACAATATAAATATCGCCTATGGCCGTACAATGGTAGGTGCGACCATGAAAACTCAGAATATGTAGTTGTGATATATAATTTCCAAACGGGAATAGCTAATCGGTCGATTTTAGTCAAGAAACATTGTTTCATAGCTAAATTAATATCTTGACCTTGAGAGGGAGCTATACAACATAAAGAGTTTATTATTTATAATTTCATAACTTTAGACTCGATTTCAACCGCGACAACGATCAATGAATATTGTAGCAACGCATATGCTTCCAATATGTTAATTTGAACCAAATTCATGACCCCATACCAAAACTTTGTATTACCTTTAAACTAAAAGAGGAAAAGACAGAGATTTTCTGTTTATAGCTACGTTCGGGTAATTTCTAATAACATATTTGAGACAGAAGAGCGTTGAATATGAGTAAAGTGATATGTCTTGAATAGAAAAGGTATCTCATGATATGACGTAGAATTCAGTGGCGGATCCAGGACTTTCCAAAGGAGGGGGAGGGGATGAAATTTACGAAATTGCGAGCGCGAAGCCTTTATTGGGGTGGGTTCCGTGGCCCATTTAAGGGCCCTGAAAAATGTTGAACCTTAAGATGCTTTATGATACAGTATGAGGCATTCCTGAATGAGTAAACTGAACATTTATGGGTTTTTTTAAGGTAAAGGGAGGGAGACATGTGCCCACACGTCCCCTAGATCCACCCCTGGAATTGATATATGCACAAACATGACTGTTCAGATTATAGGTACATTAATTAATGAGGCTGGCAATAATTCTGTTATTTGTTAAAATTCGATTTCTGGTATGTGTATCTTTTAAATGTGTCTAAAATTAATTTCTTAATGTTAATGTCTGAAAATGTGTAAACAGTTATATTGTTTCTGTTAAATTAAATAGTTTTGTATTATATTATTGAACACAGAAAAAAATTCAATCAAACAAAACAAACGAATTAAAGCCCTTCTAGTTCAAAATGGATGATATACTCTATTTTCAAAAAGTGGACTGTTTAGCTTTTTACTTCAAAGTATATTTTAAGATAATTTGTTTTTGATTGATCTTGTCTGAATAATGTCTTTTGTCAGTATCGTTTTGTCATTTTTTCTGATAAGCATATAAATGATTGGATTGTTGTTTTCCTAATTCTATCATGTATTTCTTGTCTACATTTCTATACTCTCCTTTCTTTCCTCATCTGTTACTTCTTAAATTATTTATTTTCAATCGATTCTTATTTTCAGCCTCAACATATTATTATGGTTTCAGTTTAGTTTTAATTACACGAACAATGCAACTTTCATTATGATATCTGTGCTTCATTTTTCATTTTTGTTTTTCCATTTAATAGTGTTTTAGTTTGAAATAATATTGTATTAGGTATACAAATATATTACTACAACTCTATTCATGAAAGTAAGTTATAAATACATGGTCTATAATACTTGTTGGCAAAACCTAAATTATGTTGATTACTTATCTTCAATAGAAGTTTTATGTCTTATATGAATAAGTATTTAATGATGATATGATAATATATTACTTTTGTATGTTCATGTTTTTATTATTATGGAATGAATATTAGTTGATAACATTGTAGAACAGACAAAACAGGGTTTTATTTTCAGGGGCTGCATTTCATTATCTCTGTAAAAAGCAAGATTAAATAAATAAAATTTCAAAATATTTAAAACATTGTCAAATATTACTTCCATCACTGCAAGCATGAATGGGTAAAATGTCAGGTGTATCCAGTACTAGAGAGGCTTTGTTTCATCACTGCATTTATACTTGCTAGAGTTTGTCTACATTTGTTTAATAAATAAGTGTATACAAATTCTAGCAAGTATTAAGTTGGCTACTTAATGATTTCAAAAGATACAAATAATATTTGTATCTTTATTTGTATCGTTTAAAATAATTAACTAGCCAAACTTAATTTTTTTTTAAAGCATACTTGAGATGTAAGGTCCCTTCATTTTTGACAGGTGTTTGGAAAACGAAGAACGAACACCGAAGACCGGGCCGGGGATCATGAGCGCACACCTGATACGTGGGCCAGCTGATCACCGGTTATCGATTTTCGTTTTCCAAAATACCCCAGGGTGTTTTGACCAAGACGAAGGCAGAGAGAGAGAGAGAGAGAGAGAGGGGAAGAGGCGATCCCCGGTCTTCGATCTTCGTTTTACAAAATACCCCAGGGTGTTTTGGAAAACGAAGACCCGGGGACCTATATATATGTACTATATTATGTGTGATCGGCGTTAATAATAATTACTATAATACTGAAACACTGTCAAAACAATAAAAACGATGGGGACAAACAAACAACAACAATGATAATAACATTAATAATAAGCGTAACAACTTATATGCAAAAGAAAACCAGTTACAGTGAAAAAGTGTCTATAATGGCTACCCAGGGGAAACAAATAAAATGCTTATATATAGACAGGTGGCTGCTGCAGACAAGTTCTTAAACACTTTATCCATATGAACTATTTTTAGGTGGCCACTGATAGGAAGGTATCTACTAAAGAGAGATGGCCGGTAAGACATGGAAGACTGTATTTTCATCGTTATCGTATTTGCGCCCTCGTGGGAAAAATAGATGATCTGAAGGAGAGGAAGAAACGATCCCCAGGCCTGCCCCCCCCCCCCCCCCCTCCACACAGGGAGATGCTCAAGATAGCCTAGCACATTAAGGGGGATACTCAGATTTGGTTTGGACAGGGGTGTGCCGCTCAAGCCTTGAACCCCTACCACTTATAAGAGGTCACTTTTCACAATTTTTAGGGCGTTCTTCTTCAGATTTGGCTCGAACAGGGGTGAGCCGCTCGCTCAAGTCTCGAAACCCCAATTCGTTGTAAGGGGGCATATTGGGGGCATTTTTCTTGAAAAAAGACCCATTTTTCACAATTTTGAAATTTTGAAAATCGGACGCATATTAATGGTATTTTTCTTAAAAGTGAGACCCATGTTAAGGGATTTTTTGTGTGTGAAAAAGTGACCCATTAGAGTGGTACACCCCCCCCCCCCCCTGTTAATATATGTACTAAATTGAATACAGCCACTGTTGAAAAAAATTTCCCGTCATTCACTTGCACGACAAACATCAATAAATGACATATACTCGTGATTAGACATTGTTTCCATATTTGCATGATGTTTAATGATATAACAAATACAAAAATAGATTGCTAATTAGATTATAATCTTTGTTAGTATCTCTATGACTGGCCTAAATTATACAAATAATCATCAGAAAAATAAATACATGTAGGTTACATTTGATACTGTATCACAAAATATACTGTCTAGATCTACGTGTGCATATATATACTGTTTTATTTCATTGCACTGTACATGAATGCTGAAGAAATTCTAATTCATTTTTTTTTTGAGAGAGAGAGCACAAGATAAAACATTAAGTACATTTTTTATATCAAAGGAAAACGAACCTGGGAAAATTTTCTTAAGAAAAATATTGTAAATGCTCTATACAATTGTTGAGTATAAGAGTTAATGTGACATTAAGTACATGCAAATTAGTACGACTGAGATGAATATAAAAGCATGTTGAACAACACAGGTCCATTAATAAATGGTAATTTGATTTGGAATGATAAAATCTATATTGATACACATGTATTTATGGTTATGACAAAATAGTTATATTCAGTAAAATAGACTCTTTATGTATATATTCTAACATTTAGTTTTCACAGGAAAAGGTAACAATCATTTTTCAAGTAGAACAGAGTACGGCAGTGAATAAAAGGAAAATTGTTATTGATGAGGAGGATGATGATGATGACGGTGATGGTGGTAGTGGTAATAATAGTTATGGTGATGATGGTGATGATGATGATGACGGTGATGGTGGTAGTGGTAATAATAGTTATGGTGATGATGGTGATGATGATAATAGATGATGGTGATGAATTGATGATGATGATAATGATGATCATTCTTTCTTGGAAGAAAAACATCACTCAAAAAAGTTCACATCAGAAAAAAAGGATAGAGTATGATTTTACGAAAAGATTGATTCAAGCTCATAATACAGATTTCAGAATTTAAAAATGGGTCCGAAAATCCAGTAAACACTAGACACCCCTATATTCTGTTCACTCGAGTCTACCTATTTGAGAATTCAATATAGTGAGACTTACAAGATACAAGTACTGGTAATCTACATGTCCATGTAGTTCAAAAGAGTTTGATGAAACACAGGTAACGAGCTGAGCCTGTAAGTACATCGAGTTGCATATACATGTACACAAATCAGAAAAGTACTTTTGCAAATATATAAATTAAGACTGGGGGTGTATCACAAAGATCTTAAGTCAAACTTAACTCAAAGTTGGACTTAAACATTACGGAGAGCCATTTGTAGCCTTAAAATAATATATATTCAAGTATTTTAGAATTTTTTATAAATTCCACATCAAGAACATGAAATCTCCTTGACAATAGAAAATATGAATGATTTTAATAAAAATGTATGCCTTTTGAAATAACTTTTCCAAAATATTTTCATAGATGCTAACAGCTTTCCATAATTGTTGGTCAAACTTTGAGATAAGTTCGACTTAGGATCTTTGTGAAACTACCCCCTGGTGTTGGTGTGTAACCATTCCTTATCTTCAATACTTTTGCAAATATATACATAAAGAACTGGTCATAGTGTGTATTTCTTAAATAATTCATTATATTCCAGTAGGATAAATGACTTTTACCCTATCATGAAGAGAAAATACTCACATGCAAAGTAATAACAAAACTTGGACAAAATCACCAGATACCTTTTTTACCATTCCCATATTCTGCTTTACACTTTCAAAGCTTTACCATGATACATGTACTCCATGAAAAAAAAGTCGCCTGAACATGAACGCATATACATGTATTTCAGTGTATAAATCCTGTGAAATGAACCCGTAGCTATTAAACACTATTAGCAAAATTAATGCACACACACTAACTACATTGCATACCCATAATACATACACATGTACATTGTATATTGAACACAAACTTAATAAAATACTTTAATCATAAATTTGATTTCATGAAAATATATATCTACAAATTATACATGTATATATGACTAGAATAAAATAAGTTTCATCTTGCTGCTAAAAGCAAACACAAAAACATTATACATGTATGAACCAAAACACTGAACCCATTATGGATGACATAAGGTTTTAATTTTAGCTGTTACTTAGTCATAACAAAATTGCATACATTTGTCCATATGTAGAGAGCACACGATTCATAATGGATTCATCTGGCACGGAGAATAGAAAAAAGTAAGTATATTAATATGTTTTAAGTACACATTCCACAAAAGTAAGTTGATGAACATATCTTTAGCACATTTAAACACCACAGATAGATGGTCATGTTCGCTGGTTTAAAGGTGTACAGATAAGTACATTCTTTGGTGGAAAACCGAACTAATTCAATAGCTGACATCAATAAACATAGAATATAATGATTTTGTTTCATTTATAAATGTTCTTAAGTTTGTTCTCATTTCTAAGTAGATTTTGCATATAGGACATAGATGAAAAACATTGTCTGTTTGGATTACATTTTTGTTTCATTTATCTACCGGTATGTTCTTAAGTCTGTTCTCATTTCTAAGTAGATTTTGCACATAGATAGATGTCAAACATCATCTGTTTGGATAATATTTGTTTCATAGTATGTTCTTAAGTTTCTTCTCATGTATAAAGTAGATTTTGCATATAGGACATAGATGTAAAACTTTGTCTGTTAAGATAAAATTTGTTCCATTTATCTATGTTCTTAAGTCTGTTCTCATTTCTAAGTAGATTTTGCATATATAGGAAATAGATGTCAAACATTGTCTGTTTGGATAATATTTGTTTCAGTAATATATGTTCTTAAGTCTGTTCTCATTTCTAAGAAGATTTTGCATATAGGAGATACCATAGATGTAAAAGTATTGTTTGGGGCCAGAAAGGCTTTAACTCATACACTTTAACATGTAGAGTTCACACCTTGCAGGCTCTGGACAGATCTTCTGTTTATTAAAGTACATACAAGCACACAATTTACAATAAGTGCATTCATCCATTTGCAGATGAAACTACCGGTACATGCTTGTGAAAGACAAATACAGGTGAATTGCAAACAAATGTGCACTGATCAGAATATAGCTAAAGACATACAAATATCAGGTTTATTGTAATGAAATACAACGTCTAGATGTAAATGTGTTGTAAATCACACATGAACAGTGTATCAAGATGAAGAAGGAAAAGTTAAACATGACATAGTCTCTTGAAAACAAATATTTCATTTTAATCATGTTTCTATAAGATGGCAGATTTTAAGATGTAAAGACTCTTCTTGAAAAAAATGGTACACTTTGTTCAGCATTCCTTTTTTTACGAAACATAAGTTGTGACTTCTTAATATTGCGTTCCATGTTAAATGACAGGGATTTACAAGTACATGGACGTGGGGTAGAAATAGAAACATTGTAAGACAAGGAGCAAAAGAGCAAGATACAGAAAGAGATAAAACAAAAGAAGATAATGTATCTGAATTCATTCTTCATATACATACAGTAGGCAAGCTGTACCAACCACCTTTAATGACTGCATGCAAAGAATTGCATCTGCTGGGTGACGGAAAAAAGAGTGATGCATGCTCACAGTTTCATCTCCTGGTTGCCATAGAAACAAGAGATGCATGCCTTCTCGGAGATACAGAGTGTATGGAATACATGGCCTGTGAATACAAGAGGCATGAAGTCAGCAAAATATGAATGACATACCTGTAGTGAGTTGTATTGATAAAAAGCTAATTTTCGACAACATTTTTATCAAATCCCTCTCTTTCTCTAGGTGCTTTTAAAATCTCTACTGATATTATTTGAAACAGAAATACGAGTACAGAAACCATTCGTTCATGCAAAATGCATGGAAGGCCCATCTCATGCCAATATTAGAAATCAAGTAAACGATTAGGGAGATGTGAGTTGGTCTATAGCGGCATGTTCACTTGGTCAGCTCTCTGTCTTCGCCTACAAACTGGCTCAGGCGACCCCATTTCTAAATTGAGTCACGTCTTTCGGATGGTGACGTTAAAGGTCGGTCCCCAGATGTAAATAATCATATTGATACACCTCTGTAAAAACCCAATTACACACACACATAGTGATAAAGTAAAACTTACCACAAGGGAAGATGATGCAACCTGCAGACTGAAGCACTGAACTCCATGCCAAAGACTGATGACATACACTGCATATCCTATCAAGAATATAGACATGTGAAGAAAAGAAAAAGTTGATTAACATCAGTATCGCTATCATTATTGCCACAATCAGCAGCATTTTGTTGTCATATAATCATTCTTATGATCAACGTTATCATTACTATCATATTAATCACAAATCACTGTTAACCATCACAAACATCATCAACCACCGCATCAATACAGACAATTGCTATCATCGTTATCATCATCATCACCAATACCATACTTAACCATCATCATCTTCATCATCATCATCATTATCATCATCTTCTTTATCTTCATCATCATCATCATCTCCACCATCATCATATCATCACATACAATTGCTACCATTGTTATCACCACCACCACAACCACCATCTTCATCCTTACCATTACCATCATCATCACCATTGCCATACTTAACCATCACAACCATCATCACCACTTCATCGCAGACAATTGCCATCATCACCAACATTACTGACATCACCACCACCACCACCAATACCATCTTCATCCTTACCATCATCATCATCACCATCATCATCTTCATCATCATCATCATCATCATCATCATCACAACTTCATCACAGACAATTGCCATCATCGTTATCACCAAAATTACCATCTTCACCACCACCCTACCATCTCCATCTTTACCATTATCACCATCATCAGTATCATTATCATCAACAATACATCCATTACATACCCATTACATTGTAACAACAATGACCCTGTTGAAGATTAGTTTCAACATCATCAGCGACATGAGACAGAGTTATTAATTTGATTTTGATTCTTACCTGCCCAGGTTAGTAGTCCTACCCCAATGAGTTCCAGGATCTTCAATGTAGAGCTGTCCTTGACTTAAGAGCTTCTGTACTTTGTGGACCTAAAGAAGACAAATAACAGAAAACATTTTATCGAACAGGCTTGTTGTTTTTGCAGGATGTAGTTGGAGGTGAGGTTGGTCCAACTAAGAAATAGGTGTATGGGTCTATCAGTCCATATGAGGCTCCCAAACAAATCAAAAGCTTCAGAAAAAGTAAATAAAAAAGAATTAAAATTCACTCCATCCAATCCTGATATTAAGCTTGATTTAATAGAAGCGGAAAAATGGGAAAACAGGTCAGTTACAGTTTGAGCAAAAACCAATCAAAGATTTATAAAAGTCATTAATTTCTGAAGGTGCGATCCATCAAACACAAATTGTCAACTCTGTGACGTATCTTGTAAGGTCTCATCTCATTTTCTCTTGTGTCTGGTATATATTTTGGGGTTCTAGATCAATAGATAGTTTATTGGTTTCCATAATATCTCATTTTACAAAGAGTGTAATAACATATTGAAAGTGATTATAATATACGTGTACATACATGTACAATACTGGTACACACTATTCAGAATATTGTCCTTGAGTTGAACTTGAGAGATATAGTGGCGGAGCCTAAGGAAAAGCAGAGCTTGTTGTGGATAGACTCCTTAAACTACAAATGACATAAAGTTTACAAAACACAAATACACGCTAAAACAGGGAAAGGGAGATTACAGGGAATCGATACTCACAATTAACTACAAAAGACAAGGGAAAGGGAAGGGAATATATCTGCAGCTTATTGAAACAAATCAAAAGGTATCGAGCCAAACCACAAATGTGGAATGATTGTTGCAAAAGGGTTACGGTAGCAAAGTCATTGATTTACCCTCTCCCCCTCACTACCGGTATCTCCGCACCCCTGGTACTCCTTCATGATGGTGTGTTGTAGCACTGGCCCTAGGAGGGGCTGTCGTTTAGACCAGAGGTAGGTGTCTGTGCCTTCCAGCATGGCATGGCTTAGCAAGCTGCAAAGGGAAGAGGAATATATGTAGTTAGTGAATAAAAATGATAATAATAATAAAGGTAATGATAATATTAATAATAATCATCATCTGTATCACTATCATCATCATCATCATGACAATAATGATTATAATAATATCAATACAAACCAAAATATGTAAACAATTTTAACAAGAATATTAATATTAATAATAATAATAATAATAACTAGATTTGTAATACTTGTTTGGAACAAGTATAGGTGGGCTGATCCAACAAAAAATTGAGAGAAAATAAAGGGTTCATTTGAGATAGCTTTTTGTCTCAGCTACAACATACTCGAAGTTCAGCGTAAATGAAGCTAAAACGACGTAGATATTGCTCGCGAAAGACGGGAATGTAGAATTGAGTTTTGAGAAAAAGTCATGTCCTATAGAGAATACATGCAAAATGTGAAAAATTGACACGCCTCCTTTAATCGCCCATATACGCCATGATGCCTTTGTCAAAATGAAGAATAATAGTGACTCCGTTTGTAGGGAATCGTCTCAGATAGAACATATCAAAATTTGGAAGAAAATCGATCAATATTTACAGAGATACAATCAATTTTCCAAAAATATGCTGATGTCAAAATATGCAAATTGAAATTTTGAGTTTGGAGGCCATTATGATGACGTCATGAGTTAATTGAGGGTCAAATGAGACATGAAACAATATCTCCGAATCATACTCTATCAAAATATGAAAAAAAATTGGGGTCACCTTGCATCCTAAAGAGCTATTTTGTATAGGCCCATATATGCTATGTATTACAAGAGCTCACGCGCACAGAAATTCATGTTAAACGGTCGATCATTCCGTGAGACAAAAATGGTATGAATTTGTTTGTAAAAATATGTGGAATATTATGAAAGAAAAAAAATGGCGATTCTATGTTGTGTACCGTATTTGCCATTTGTTACCACCATACACCATTTGTTATAGAAAAAAATTTGAGGAACTATTATTATAAACTACATATTGAGATCTATTAGAAAGATTACTTTCAAACCAAGATGACAGTCAAATTTTAGTGTTGTTGTAGTTTCCAAGTGGTGAGTCAACACACTGATTACTGAGCTGGGAGACATTGCCAGGCATAGCGCCATAAATCGAAACTAAAAAAAAAAAAAAAAAAAAAAAAAAAAAAAAAAAAAAAAAAAAAAAAAAACTTTTTTTACTCTTTCGCCGCATAGGCCGCACCCCGACTTTTTTATATTTTCTCTTCCAAAAATACTGCGGCCTATACGCCAGCAAATACGGTAATAGTTTTACGCGCGAAAATGCGCACGCATGCGCGTGTGCGCGATTTTTTTTAAAATGCTTGGAATAACCTAAAACATATGCAAAATGATTTTGAGACGATTTTGAGCATTTTAAAATTTTGTGCGCGCTTTGACGCGCAGACGTAGGCGTACGCGCGTTTTTTTACCTGAAATTTACCGGACGGAGATTGACCTTAAGCATGATAAATATGAATGAGAAATGTTTTTCCGTTATGAAGATATGATCTTGAGTTGATTTTCGTAAAATTTTACAAAATGGCGCCTAGATGACGTCATCAGTAAAGGTTAATGTTGAAAACGTTATTGTGCTTTGTACATGCCTAGATACATATGTGTGCCAAATTTGAAGGCATTTGATTGAGCCATTTTCATGTTATCGTGCTTACAAAAAAGTGGTTCGAAATAAGAAAAATAAAGAATAATAAATAAAGGCAATTCTAACGATATTATAAGGTGGTCTGTTAGTTATACAGCCCACCTGATAATAGCAACATTAAAATAACAGTTAATACTAATTACTGTTTCTAAGCGGCGTAAGCGCTGTACTATACGTACCCAGGCATTAGCCAACCAAGCCTTAACCCATTAATCTTGCTAAAGCTGCTTAACCAACTTCCTATAGTAACAATTTGATCCCAATATTAAGCCTATGGAATGACAAAATTCACTGTTTCTTTCTAAAGGGCTTGGCAAATACTGGTTAACACCAGGTATGTCTTCTTTTGGACAACTGCATGTAAACGAATGTACTTGATTAATGGTAGTCAGCGACTTAATGTCTACTAAGGCCAGTGTTCGCGAAACAGACCAAAGTTCTCCTCACGCTTTGGTTTCGCGTATTTTGCATGCACGTCATTGCTGCGGTCGCGTCGTCCGTAGTCGTATTATACCTGATTGGCCCCAAGTAAGGCCACGGGAAAGACACGTAGTCTCGTCAGGTTACACTCCCTTTGAATACTCAAACATAACATGAAACAGAATGAAAGAAAAATGTACAAAGAGACCATCTCACCTCTGTCTCTTCTCCCATGCGTTGACATAGATACACATCTGATGAAACTCTCTGGAAAGGAACCCCTCTGGAACCTGAACCTCCCTCAGCAGCTTGACCCCTTCAAGAGCTCCTAGACGACTGACCAATAAGAGGGCTATCCTCTGCCATGAGACTGTAGGTGACCAATCAGAATCACTTGATGTTGAGTGTGAAGAAAAGGGGCTTGGCTTCTCTATTCCATTTTGTTCAGGAGTGCTGATTTCTTCTATGCCTTCTTCTGATTGGCTGGTAACTTTCTTTTGGTTATTTGATGCCTCTAAAAGACTGTTTGATTGGCTATTCCTGGTCTCTCTGTTCTCTCTGCCACCTACAAACCCATCTGATCGGTCAATAACTGTGCTATGTTCAACTTTCTCTGTCAAGCTTTCTGATTGGTTATTTGGCTGGGATGGTTCCATAATTGACCAATCACATTCAGGCTGGCTACTAGAGGAGAGTTCATCCTCCGTTTCCTCTATCTCCTGCTTCCCCACTTCGATGACGACATCCGATGTCATCGACGTCATCGCAGCACAAGGTGACAGAACTGCTCCACAATTCAAACATCGTCTTCCTGACGAATCATTCTCTCCTTTTCTTGATGGCTGGCATATCTTCATCCATTCCAGGACCGTTCTCCAATCTCCCTCAGTTGAAGGAAGCAAGTCTTTAATAAATGAAACAAAAAGATATCAAATGAAGGTGAAAAAATATGCATGAAAAAAATACAAATATATATCCGATTCTATGAGGGCATAATATTCCATCATCAGCAGTACCATCGTTAAAACACCTTCCACAGCAAAAAATTAGGAATACAGTCTTTTTTGTATACTTTTCACAGAGAACACTCTAGAAAAAGAGAGAAATCAAGGGTTCAAAACATAGCTTGAAGGCAAGAAATAGGAATCATTTCTCCAAAATAAGAATGGTTGGCAGCTATGCATAAGTGTACCACCCTCACCATCATCAATCAACGCAGCATCTCCTAGTTGAATGCAGATCTTCAGAGCATCCATCTTGCCATCTCTCTTCCTACCCATCAAGACAACTACCCCGTGCCAGTAGCCCACCCTGGAGAAGAGTGGCAACAGTACATCTACAGGAGCACTGCTAGAGGTCAAGATGAGGTCAAGGATTTGGTCATGTGACCATTTGATCAGGTGACTACCAAGGCTGGATGAAAAAAATGCAAATAAAAATATAAAAAATGAAATAAACGTGGTGCAAGATATCAATAAAACTTAGGTGAGGTTAGATCAAACAAGATTCAGTGTACATTAAAAAAAAGCACTGAATAGTCATATATCAAAGAATTTTGGTCAAATTAAAAAAAAAATCTATATATACAAGTCCTTGTATTGTGGAAAAGTGATTTTACTCACTCAAATTTCACTAGGTTGAGAGGACAAATCCTAGCATAGTTATTGTATGCTTTGACACAATATCAAATCTTCTAATGTTTGTTAAGACAATTCGTTGCTGTTTTCACGAAGTGACGGTAGTGAAAAAAAATTGCATTCACTTTGCGTTACGATTTTCCTCACTACCGTCACCTCGTGAAAACAAGGACGAATTATGTTATGATGATGGCTATATCAACATATTGGATAGTATTTTTAAATGAAAAGGATATGACCACTGAGTTACACAAACAATTTTCCACATAAAAAGAAAAAAGAATGAATTCCATTTATTATGATTATCACTTACTTCGGTAGTTTACCACAATCACAAAATAGCTCACTGAAGCTTGGTGGGTCAAAGGTTACGGCAGCTTCTGCTAGACTCAAAACCAGAGGTTTCATGGCCATCACTTGCTCAATGAACTTTTTTCTGGAGAGATGTAAAATACAGGTACAGTAAATTCACATTATCACCAAGATGAACAGACATACTCTGAAGAAGAATGAATATCATTCATAAAAAGACACATTCCTCCATAATTTCTTTTAACAATTGCTATATTGTCAAATTAAATATTTGGAGGAATTATATATGTACTTAATTCATACCTTCTTCGAGATGCTCTTCTGAAAACAATCACAATTGTTCATGAATTTCCATTCAAGTCTTCATGTACAATATTTGTAAATACCAAAGTTGCTTGACTCATTTACGCTACACTAAAACTAATTCTGACATTCACAACGAAAATACCACAAGTACCCTATAATGTCTACTGTCTTACAGAAATAGTCAAGATTTGTTCTAGAAAATACTATCAAATTATAGCGTACTGAGGGAGAAAGTTGTGACATGTGCAAGCATACGCACTCAAGGTTAAATTCATCAAGCTCCTAGTAGCTCCCTACCACATATGTCTATGGGAGGGAGTTATTTCAGTGCTCCATGAAGTGAACCTTGAGTGCAGTGCATAGGTGTGCGCATGTCACAACCTTCTCTCTCAATATGCTATGACTGAATTTAGCTCTCGAGGCAGAAAATGTGCCAAGCCAAAATAAAAAGCCTTCATGATGAGTTTGCCCCTATGATAGGTTTGCCTGTATTTTCTTGTACTCTGTTTATCTACACACAATTGTTTCAGTATAAATACAAATCTTGTTGCACCTTTGAGCAAAAGGATGTGTCAACAGAAAAGATTCCACATAATCGAGGATGAGACATTTGGACTGAGTCTGGTCCTGAAGTATATGATAGGCATGCCAGGGACCGATGGAAGGATAGTCCGATATAATCACATCCAGGGCTCTTCCAGAATCAAGGCCACAAAGTCTAAAAGAAGAAATTTGAAATTATTGAACCTACAATAACTCACCCTTCCACTAGCCTACCAACCTACTCACCCACCCACCAAGCTACTCACTCACTCATCTTCTTCCTCACTCATCTTCTTTCTTCCTGATTCATCCACCCACACACTCATCTACCTACCAACCTACATTTGTATTCTGATTCACCCACAATTAACCACCTTAACAACCCCACTCGCCATCTAGCCTACCCACACATCCACCCACCTATTTACCTACCCACTCACTCACCCATTCACATACCTTACCAACCCCACTCTCCATCTAGCCTACCCACACATCCACCCACCTATTTACCTACCCACTCACTCACCCATTCACATACCTTACCAACCCCACTCTCCATCTAGCCTACCCACAAATCCACCCACCTATTTACCTACCCACTCACTCACCCATTCACATACCTTTCCAACCCCACTCTCCATCTAGCCTACCCACACATCCACCCACCTATTTACCTACCCACTCACTCACCCATTCACATACCTTACCAACCCCACTCTCCATCTAGCCTACCTGCACATCCACCCACCTATTATCCTACCCACTCACTCACCCATCCACATACCTAAAACCACCTCACTCTCAATCTAGCCTACCTGCACATCCACCCACCTATTATCCTACCCACTCACTCACCCATCCACATACCTTACCAACCCCACTCTCCATCTAGCCTACCCACACATCCACCCACCTATTTACCTACCCACTCACTCACCCATTCACATACCTTTCCAACCCCACTCTCCATCTAGCCTACCCAAACATCCACCCACCTATTTACCTACCCACTCACTCACCCATCCACATACCTTACCAACCCCACTCTCCATCTAGCCTACCCAAACATCCACCCACCTATTTACCTACCCACTCACTCACCCATTCACATATCTTACCAACCTCACTCTCCATGTAGCTTACCCACACAACAACCCACCTATTTACCTACCCACTCACTCACCCATTCACATACCTTTCCAACCCCACTCTCCATCTAGCCTACCCAAACATCCACCCACCTATTTACCTACCCACTCACTCACCCATCCACATACCTTACCAACCCCACTCTCCATCTAGCCTACCCAAACATCCACCCACCTATTTACCTACCCACTCACTCACCCATTCACATATCTTACCAACCTCACTCTCCATGTAGCTTACCCACACAACAACCCACCTATTTACCTACCCACTCACTCACCCATTCACATACCTTACCAACCCCACTCTCCATCTAGCCTACCCGCACATCCACCCACCTAGTATCCTACCCACTCACTCACCCATCCACATACCTAAAACCACCTCACTCTCAATCTAGCCTACCTGCACATCCACCCACCTATCAACCTACCCACTCACTCACCCATTCACATACCTGACCACTCTCAATCTAGCCTACCCGCACAACCTAGCAACTCGCCCAATAATATTAAAATGTACATTGAATCTATCCATCCTCCTACCAATCCACCCCACCATTCACCAACCTTCTTACTCACTCACTCATTTACCCACCAACCTAACCATCAACTCACCCATCCCACTACCTTATCTAACTATCCCTCAATCTAACCTACTAACTGTCTTCTTACTCATCCACCTGATTCCTAACCCAATCACACACCTTCCTACTTCCTAAAACTTAACTTTCCACTCATAAATCCATCTACATGTGTCTATCAGAGTCCATCATGATTTTCATGTAACTCCTCATGTGTCTATCAGTATATTTATCAGAATATTCACCTTTGTAGAAAGCAGAGATAAAGGGGCAGATTACTGGAGCTCAGGTCAGCTCTTAATAACAGGTCAAAGGCTTCCTGCACATCTCCATTGTCTAATGCATCAGATATGTTGGTGTTTTTAGCTGCATCTATGAACCAATACAAAAGATTAAACATGAACAATTATACAATCAATGTAAATAACCCCTGTGAACATGTTTCAAAGCATCATTAACATTTACAAGTACTGTGTGCAGTTCAAGCCGTTGTATGCAGACATTGACTTTGCTTGAAAGACTCTGTTAAAATTCAGATCCCCGTGAAGATATGGCAAGCAAAGTTAGTAAAAATCAAAAGATCCTCTAATATGTGAGATTCACACAAAATGAATGAATCAGGGTTCACTCAGCTTTCCAAAGCCCCCTCCCTCACCAGTCAGCTACATGTATGTGTGAAGTCTAAGTCCATTCTGAATACTGTAGAAATCATGTATGCATTTCTAACTGAAAAGAACATTTCATCGAACTATGAAGTTTACTCAATTTCTACACACTGGAGCAACCACTTACCCCCTTCACACTGCACAAGAGTTCTCAAAGCATGACAGCTTTGCTTGTGTCGCAGTACCTCTATAATTCTTTGCCTGTCTAGTATGTTAAAATGTCTCTTGATGAATGCTGCCCTGCATCCATCCAGCTTTGAAGTATCACTACAATCATCTCCACCTGCAAATTGGCATTTGATATCAATAGAGATAGGATGATACAAAATATATGGTCTCGTAATCCAGTGACCCGATGCGCTAGTGCCCTTTGGTAAGGCATTAAATCCTCATTACCAGGTCCTTGGAGAGGACCTAAAGCCGTCGGCCGTCTGGTTGCTTACTTACAAGCATTTATGCTTTCTTAGCAGTCAGGTAAAATAACCACCACCATTGAACCACCACCATATATCACAATTTGTTAACATTACCATTTGAAGGAGGAAGTATATCAATTTTATAGGAAAACAACTGTTGAAAATATTTTTTTAAAGGTAATATGTCAGCTAGCATGGTAATTTTGTTTGAGATGATCGTTTACATAGTGCTCTCGAAAAGGTAAGATTAAGACCAACTGCAAAAATATCTCTTAAAGCTTGACTGCACTACTTTTAGCTATTTGCGCCCTCTATACAGCAAACAATGCCCGTTGATCCCCATGGTCCCCTTTTCCTTATGTTAATTTAGTGATGATTTGAAGAGATAACCACCTGCCAGTGACCACACATGGAGGTCTAATCCCTCCAAGCCATCTAGTGCAGATAGGCTTTAAACCATGAAATAATGGTATGTACATATCCAATACCTGTCTCAATTTTGGATCGAGTCTCTTGCTCCATTTCTCCTTCACCATTTCCATGTCCTTCCTCATTTGCATAGATATCAAGACTGAAGCACAGTGTTGCTAGGCGACCCACATCCTCCCTGACTGTCACTGGCAAATGGTGGCCTTTGCTCCAAGGGATAATGCCTTCAGAATGACACCACCTGTATGACTGCTCTAGCTTTTGTACCCATGGTTGAAGAACATCTCTCAAGGCATTGGTGTTGTAGCGAGTCTGACGATCATGTAGTGCAGGTCTGCCAAAAGAAAAGATAACATAACAAATGATTTTACATTATACATTTCATAATATTTCAATATTGCATAGGATAGATAAATAAAAGGCATAGTTGTTTCCATAAGCTCAAGGAGATGTTACATCCTGCTATGATCCGGAAGCAGTGAAGCAATTTCTGTTTGTGTTTCTACAGTGCTTTTTAATCAGTAACCCTGCTTTAACATTGATGCCTTGAAAAACAACATAAGTCAAAAGTACCTGATCAACCTCGTTTCTAAACCTGTAGCATTGTTTACAAACTTCTTGCTAGTTGCCTTTTTTTCCGATTTTAAGCAGAACATTAAAAAAAAAGTTCTAGGAGAAACAGTTTTATATCAAACTCAATGTTTAGGTCTAATGGCACTAGGGTTTTCTGAGATAACTTACACAGCAGACTTTGTAGCTTCAATCAAATCCTCGCTGTGTCTTGCATCAATCTGTTCTTCCTCTGTCTCCTCTTCCAATCCATGGGGGAAGTCCCTTTCACCAGGTGGGCGTGGTCTGTGCAATGGTGAAGTAACTGGTGATGGGTGTGGACTCCCAGTTGACTGTTGATGGGGAATCTCCCTGCGTGGTACTGATGGGGAAGTCCCTTTCCTGTGCGTTGGACTTCCTGAGATGGGGCTAGAGGCGGGGGAAGGGCGTCGCTGCATTGGGGGGAAGCTATGCTCCCCATCTTTGGGTGACAGGGGGTTGCTGTCTCCAATGGATTGGAGGAATGTCTTGGTCTTGCTTAATTTGGATGTAAGGCTGATGAAAACAAACAAACAAAAAAGACAAGAATGTTAATGCCTAATAAAAGTAAAGTTTTCAATTGGCTAGACATCAAATATATGTACAGTTAACAACTAAATTATTCATTCCCCTTGTAAATTTTATGTTTTTTTTGTTTTTTTGTAACTCACAAATGAGGGGTGGCTTTAATTAAAGGGTCAACAAAAATGTCCACTACACTGGATTAATTCTACTTGAAGGTTGACCATAACAATTGTGTACGGAAAAATGTGCTTTGGACATACCTGTCCTTCACAGATTTAAGATTTATCTGAGTAGTTGAGTTAAGCAGAATCTGCTGCGTCTCTATCAACCCTGACGAGTGGGGCAATCCCGACGTCGCAGCCATGATCAGGTTGGACGAAGGAAGGGCAGAGCTGACGGGGAACTGTTTCCTAGCTTCCTTCTTAGGGGACAGGGCTGGGGAGGGGGTTGTGGAAGAAGGGGTCCTTTGGAGCGAGCGGGGCTGGGATGAGGATTGCGGAGAGAGGTCAGGAAGACTTGTAGGGCGGTAGAGGACAGAGCCCGGGGTCATAGCCTGGAGTGGGGATGGCTTCCTTGATACTGTCGCAGCTGAAATGAAAACATCATACACATGTTTTTTTAATGGACTAGGGGGTGTTTCACAAAGACTAAGATCGAATTGAAGTTGGACTTTACTATGGTAGGGCCCAAGAACCATATTCACAGCAACTAATTATCATTATGACCTCCTTGATTTTCTGAAGTAATTAAACCAATTGCAATACAACAACCAGAGTTACCAGTATTAACACTTCAGTTGCTTTCTTTCGCCTCTCTGCAAAGTGGCTCGTTTGCCACAAGGACAATTTTGCACAAAACAGTAGGCACCAATTGATGGATGGATTGCTTTGTGTAACACAGTGGCTTTGTAAAATGATCTTGAAGTATTTTATATGTCTATCCCATGCTAAATATATTGTTGTGCAGGGAGATTATTTGTGTGGCATATAGAGAGTTAAAGATAAAGTTGAGTTCTGGTCATGCGATTGCATTGTGAAAGAAACGGTGTGGAATCGATCAGAAAAGGTTGATCATAATAAGTATTGGTGTGATCTGCAAGGTACTGGAATCATCAAAATGAAAACAAATTTGGCCCAGTCTTGGTAAAGTTACAAGCACTGTACACAGATATATAATATGGGATTACACAAACCTGTGGCATAGAAATCTTTCCCGATTTTTAAAATGTTACATGCCATATCTAGAATATTAAGGCATTTGAAGAGCCATGCTTTTCAGGGAACATTTCTTATCTGATGTTCTTCCACACTTGCATAATGACAAGAATGACAAAAACTTTCTCTTTAAGCCTAGGTTTATTGGAGAATGAAGCAGTCAGAGGAGTAAGCTCTCTATTACATCCAATTACATTCACATCTGGGTCCCGTTTCACAAACTTGTCATCAGTGACAAATGACAGTTTTTGTTATAAGCTACTGAAATCCTTGGTTCTGATTGGTTATCAGCAAATTTGTCACTGACTTTTGTCATTTGTAATTGAAAAAAGGCTTTTTAAAACGGGTCCCAGAACAACATAAATTAAGTCAAGAAAATATTCTCAATTTATTTAATACCTATTATTTGCACCAATGTAATAAGGTTCTTCACAAATACTCACTGATATCAATGACTCTACTCTTAGTCTTCTTCCGCTTCGTGGTTGCTGATGGAGATTTCCCTCCAGAAGATTCCTCATTGAGTTTCTCAAGACTCTGTGAGCGGTCTCTTGTGAACTCAGTCTGTCGCTGGACGTACTGGCTCCCGGTCACAGCTTGGATCAGTTCTGTTTCAGCATCCGGAAACTGTGCATCTCCCTCTGCCACTTCCAAGTCATCCTCTATCACGATTTCAAGGTTCTCTGAGGAGCTCGAGGCACTTGGAGTGCTCTGCTCAGAAAGCTGTGACATGTCTGCTTTTGGTCAAAATATTAATTTAGCTATATAACAATGTTTCTTGACTAAAACAGACAGATTAGCTATTCCTGTTTGGAAATTATATATCACAACTACATATTCTGAGGTTTTCATGGTCGCAGCTACTATTGTACGGCCGTAGGCGCTATTTAAAAGTTATCAAAATCAAATTTTTATATTCAATTTTTCTCGAAAGCAGAAGTGTTTTAGGGCCTACTTTCTATTGCTTATAATACATCCACAGGGTCATCCAAATATATCAAAATTGTAAAGAATCACTATCCACCCGATTTTCAAAATTTCCCAAAACTTTGTATTACCTTTAAGTTTGTCCAAGCTTGATGAACTGGTATTGCTATCATCCAGGGTTGAAATATTTGATGAAGGACTGGAATTGGGAAGACTACTGCAATCCTCTTCCGGGTGTTCAACTGGTTTCTCCTGGTTGGCATTGTGGTCATGAGATGTAAGTGGATTAATTGAGGTGGGATTGCACTGATTAAAAGCTTCATTGCTGGATGAACCATCTGAAACAATTTTCTTGCGTTCTTCTTGCTTCAAGACATCCCCATCTTCTCGTCTTCGTTCAAGTATTGCATCTCTCGTGTCATCAACAACTGAATCAGTAGTCAGCATCCTCACTCTCTCCTCGTCATTCTGTAATGCTCGCAATGGGTCACTGGCATTATTAGAAACAGGCAGGTGTGATACCTTTACAAACCCAGCAAGGTCTTCTCCCAGGCCAGGCGTAACGGCATCTTCAAAAGGAGTCTGGTGGGCACTGGCGCTTTGGTCAAATGAATTAGACTCTTCTACCTGACTAGAGGGGTAGTGGATCGACTCCTCTGGTGGACTGATACCAAATCCAGACACATCCAGCCCAAACCCTGAGACATCGACTGGAGTGCTTTCGTCATTGTCCGTTATCAGGTTCACAGCTCTTGTTAGGACTTTCATGATTCCCTCCTTGATCAAAGGCCCATTTTGTTGAGTGGAGTGTGATTCTTCTCCCGATGTTTCCTTAGTTAGCTCCAGGATTGAGCATTCTTCTCTCCAAGTCTCATCCTTCACTTCTTCCTCTTTCTTCACAACAAGGCACAAGTCAGAGAGAACAGTGTTGTTCGCATCATTAATCTGTTCTTTGGTTTCGACAGCATCTTCCTCTTCAAAACCAATATTACATTTTTGGTTTGTAAGGTCTTCTGTGTTTTCTTTGACTTCCTGTTTGTGAATTTCATGTCCTGTTCTTTCTCCAACATTGACCACATCTTCAATTAATTGTATATTCTCTAAGGCCATCTCAATGTCTGTCTGTACTTCAGAAAGTTCCAATTGTACAATAGAAGTGCTTGTGATACTCCCTTCCAGGCTGTGATCATTTTCCAAGGTATTCGTCATAGTTTTTCTTTGGTTGATTTCATTTATGCCCACTAGCTGACATTCATCAGTAGCACCACCATCTTTGGTTACAAGCTGCTCGGCAGAGTCCATTCCTCCAACCATTAGCTCTTCCTGCATAGTTTCTTCCACTTCATCAAAATCCTTTCCTAGACTAAAGCTTTCACTATGCTCTTCTGGAACACCATCATCTACAGGCACTTCTATGCTCTCAGTGATGTCTCCAGTTGTTCCTTTCTCCTCCACTGGTAGAACATCGTCAGCAACATGGTCGCTCTGACGTGGAGTTTGATTATCGGCAAAATCAGTCATCATCAAAAGGCCACTTTTTCCATCCAATTGCACTGCAAATTGTGGTGTATCATAGTCATCTTTTGCCCGGATGGCATCTTGGTTTGGAGTACTAAGCATCTCCTCCTTCATGGAACTATCTTCAACCAGGATTTGGCCACCTCCTGCAGACTCTACTACGTCTGCTTCAGCATCTTGGTCCTGGAGCACCTTTTCCTCTCGAGTCTGTTCATTTTCAACAGAATGTATTTTCTCCCTATTACTTCCAATTACAGACTCAATTCCATCCAGATGACCACTTCCTGATGTTCTTTGAGAATCATTTACAGAAAGAGTTGCATCTCCTATTCCTCCTAGAATGTCCACCTCATCCCGGCTTACATCTATTTGTTCTACAGGAACTCCAAGAGAATCTGCGTCCTGTTTTACAAGCTGATCCCTACGTTCATCAAATCCAGATATTCTAGCACCACTTTGGTCAATCTGCTTCACAGTCAATCCGTCTCCTGGAGGGCTATTCTCTTCAGGCATACCTATCTCTTTGACTACCAAGACTTCTTCTTTGTCCTCTAATTGTCCGCTCAGATTACCTGAAGTGCTATCCCTGCTCCAAACTACTTCCCTTGTGAGTTCCCCAAGGCTGTTTTCTTGCAACATGACCTCGTCCTTTGGATCTTCCACATGAAAGCTAACACCTACTTCCAAGCTGATATGTTCTGTAGGAGTTGCTTCCTTTGAATCCGTTTCTGCCTTGGTTGGACTGGTTTCTTGGATCGTATCATGGCTGGTCTTCTCTGTCAATTCCATGTTTCCTTGTATTTGGTCCATGTGAGCATCGTACCTGGAAGTATATTGAGAGTTACACAGTAAGTTTCATATTCAGGAGTTCATGTTTTATATGAGAAACAGTAAGCATTCATGAACCACTTAACCTTGGAAAGAGAACATTTGTTTGGTTCATCATTTGGTAACATAATGGAGGTCTTATTTTAACTTCAATTTAATCAGTTCATTGGATTGGTTCACCACTTCAATGTAAACGTCAAAATGATACGAGGCTGGGCCAAAGATTAGGTACATGTATCATGTTTGGTACAGTGTTGAAGGAAAGAATCCAGGACCCTCAATAACAAATGCTAAATTTCTAAGAAAAATTTGCTCTCAGCCAATCAAATGCTATGATTTCAGTAGCTTATAACAGTTTAACTGTAGCTTGTTATCAATAACAAGTTTTATGAAACGGGGCACAAGTATATTAGGGAATTCACTACCATGTAATTGTCACAGAAGCATGTGTTGTATATATACTCTAAGCCCTTTTTAATTTGATCAAGAGCCTTTGATCTTATACTGGATCTTTCAGTAGAGATTCTCCCAAAGATGTGGAGCATAGTTTACCCCCCAAGGCAGCGAAGCCCTTCCCCCGCCTCTAGCCTCATCTCAGGAGGTCCAACGCACAGGAAAGGGACTTCCCCATCAGTCCCACACAGGGGGATTCCCCAAAGAATTCTTCAAAGGATCAACAAAGAACTTACCCTAGAGGTAGGTCATCTGAGCATTCGCTGTCAAGGCGCTTCCTGACGACATAGATACCAGACTGTTGCCGCATCTCATCGTAAGAATCAAAACTGCTCCTCCTGCTGCTTACAGTAGACGCTACATCCAGCATCCTGTTCTCAACGGCAACCGCCAACTCCTCCACGTCGCAGCCCAAGAGGGAGTCCTCTGCAGCTACCCGCTTGGCCAGCTCGTGCAGGACGCGGGACGGCATGTGGTGCCTGGCCCGGGAGCGTTGGAACTGCGTCTGGAATCGCAGGACGAGCCGGGAGCACTGGACCAAGAGGCTCTGCTGGTAGAGCGAAGCGGCGCAGCGGGCGATGTTCTGCAGGGTGTACTTGTGGACGTGGCCATCTTGGTGGAGGCAGTAGAGGGAGCTCTTGCTGACGCTGACATCTACAAGACCTGAGATTCAGAATAAGAAGTCGCATATTCAATATTCATTTCTAAATCAAAGTTTTGGGGAAAGCTTAAAGGTACGGACCGGTTCTGGTCATGCGATTGCATTGTGAAAGAAACGCTGTGGAATCGATCAGAAAAGATTGATCATTTAGCATATGAGTATTGGTGTGTACTGCAAGGTTCTGGAATCATCAAAATGATAAGAAATTTGGCCCAGTCTTGGTAAAGTAACAAGCACTCTACACAGATAGATGTATATGGGTCTACACAAACATGTAGCATAAAAATCAGGCCTCATTTTTTAAGCTTTTACTTGTCATATTTAGAATATGAAGGCATTTGAAGTGCCATGATTTTCAGCGAATATTTTAATCTTCCACACTTGCATAATAACAATGATAACACTCACAAATAATATTTCGCCTTTTCCCAGAACTCAACCTTCTCTTTAAATCATATTTTGTTTAAAAGTTTAATAAATTATTTAGGGCACTTATCTTTTAAATGAAATTACGATCTAATCCTCAACATAATTTCTTGTTCTTGTCTACTTGACATGTACATGCTATAAAATGTTTATGAAACTTTGACCAAAATTTTAAAAAAGTCATCAATTCCCACTAATGCGGATCTATTTTTAGTGACAATCATAGATAAAGCTCTTTGATACTAAAGTTAAACTCCAGAAGTAAGCATACATTGAGCATGACATGAATGGCAAGTTGTGGGTAAAAAATCTCTATGTATTAAAGGCACATGAGATACAAATTACATAATACAATAATACTATGGGTGTAGCTGCAACACAGAACATTAAAGGAGCTACACAAAGAAAAATTCACTACAACTGATAATTAGAACAAATTACATATGGATGGAAAGATTTTCTCTTGAAAAACACGAATAATATGCTGAGAAATCATATAGATATCATGGAAAGGCGTAAAATGCAATTTTTCAAGACCCTTCTTAGACCCCCGATTGCCCCTGAACGTAAGCAAAACACACGAGCGTAGCGAGCTCTGAATAGTGACGTCCCACACTGGACAAACAGCTCAGTACCGGAGTCGTGCGTGTAGCAGTCGGCAGCTAGCCAGCTGTGTCCCGTGTGTGACATCACAAATATTGATGCTCTACAAAGGACCGCTGAAGGCAGAAAATCTGGATCTCAAAACTAACATTTTTGAGAGTTGATTACTGTGGGCCCCAAACATATTTTGAAGAGGAGAGTTGTTGTATTTGATCAGTAAGGCTTCCCCTTCGCAATGATGAGTTTTGCATCAATTCAAAACACTTTTGTTTCTTTGTGTGTTTACTTTAAGAATTTCTGATTAACTAAGGTGAAACATGTAAAAGAAATCATCTATAGCTTACCTGAAATATCGCTAGTCCAGAAAACAACATTAACATTGACCGGATCAAAGACAAAGACTCCTCGCTCAGTCCAAGTCACCAAGAAATGATTTCTAATCATCAAAAAGACAAAAGGCATAAGAATTAGAATGAATTGCACACATAATCATGGTTCTACACAATTATACTTAACAATAATCATGTTAATGATTTACATCAAAGAATAGGACCCACTGAAACAGTAATTTGAAACCAAAAACTGCTCAAGTGTATTGTCTACCGAAATAGAGATGAGTTGTTTTTTTGAAAGCCTAGATTATGTAGCTTTCAGATACGTGTACATGTAGCTATTAATAGAAATGTAAAATAACTGTGATGTCGGATCCTACTGCTACTGTGTTTAATCCTTTAGCAACTAAACCGCCCAAAACCTCCCGAAACCGCCCAACCATTTTTTGTTTTTGTCCGTTTTCAACATGCTGTAGTATCCGTTCTATGGGGTCTACCGTGATAATGTTATACATGAATCTACAGCAGGATTCTGGATAGAAAAATAGCGCATGTTTCATATTGTTCAGAACAATGCCAAAATGAGAGCAATATTTCAACATCTTCCAGTGAGTAATAGGCCATTTTTACATAAATTTCTAGTTGCTAATGGGTTGTAAGATGTGTTGAACATATATACTAAATTGTTACGAACTACTGTAACAAGCTAATGCTCGTTACTCGTTAGAGATGTGTTGGAACACTATATAAGAATCAAGTTGTAACAATTTACTGTTATTAGCTACAGATTTTTAGACTCTAAAAACAGAAATGCAGGTGCCATAAGGTGCTAACTTGTTACAAGCTACTGTTACAAGCTACTGATATTTACATGCCAGTGTTATAAGCTATAGACCTATAAGGGGCTACCTTGTTACAAGCTACTGTTACAAGCTACTGATATTAGCATGTCAGTGTTATAAGCTATATCCCTATAAGGTGCTACCTTGTTACAAGCTACTGTTACAAGCTACTGATATTTACATGCCAGTGTTATAAGCTATAGACCTATAAGGTGCTACCTTGTTACAAGCTACTGTTACAAGCTACTGATATTTACATGCCAGTGTTATAAGCTATAGACCTACCCAAGAGGATGGAGTATAGGAAAGGCTAGTGATTGTGGAGGATGCTTGGTGTCTTCAGATGGGAATGTTGCCTCTCTCCTGGAGAAAATAAAAAAGCAAAGATGGCTTGAGTTTTATTATCATCATCTTATTCATTATCTTATTCATCATCTTATTCATCATCTTAATCATCAAGAATATCATCACCATTATCATCTTCATCATCAATGGCATTCTCATCTTCAACATCATCATTCATCACTATCCTCATCTCTGTAGCCATCATCCTGATCATCATCTTCACCATAATAATGACGATCATCGACTTATCAACATCATCACTACTATCATCATCACCACATCATTACTATTAGCTTCATCATCGTCATCATTATCCTCATCAATGTCATCATCACCACTGCCAAGGAGCATAAGATAATACCAAGCACACAGAATAAAAAGAAAAAAAATACACTGATTAAAATTTTTTACAATATAATAAATATCAAGTGAAATATTAATTTCCCCTTGGTGCATACTCACCCTTTACCCACAACTGGGAGAGGGGGCGTGGCCAGAAGCTGTTTGAACTGATGTGTGTTGAGGACTTGGCAGAGAGTATTAGCCTAAACAGATGATACAGAGAGAATAACAGATGTGATTAATCATCTCTTTATCAGGCCAAACCATTTGATATAGGGGGAGTGTAGTCCCAGCCCCCCCACACCGGGTCGGAATGACCGCATGCGTGTTACCAAAATGTCCGGTAAAGGGGTACTTTTCGTGCGACAAAGTCCGGCCCGAGAATTGTATGAAAAGGGGGTGGAGATTCCTTTAAAAAGGAGGTGTTTTTTCTTTTTTTCTCTCGTCTCTTTGGACTCCTGAGAAATTATTCCGAATTTAGGGGGGTAAATTGAGCATTTTTCCGAATTTAGGGGGGTACATTGAGCAGTTTTCCGAATTTAGGGGGGTCTCCAAGGCAGGAGAAGCCTGCAAAAGGGGGGTTCAGAAATGTTGGCAGTCCTTAGATAGGGGGTGCTTTCAAAAAGAGGGAACAAGCATATGCGTACCCTAAATAACACTGAGTGGGGGGGGGGGGGAGCCGGGAGTGTAGTTTCTCTCATTATGGCCCAAAGTATGTGACACCCTCTCTTCCGTTGACCGCACTTCCACTATCTCTCCCAGAACTGAATGTCTATTGCTACAAATTTCTTTTCCTAATTTTTTTGTTTGTCAATAGCAATAAATTGTCATGTAAAGTGTATTCAGCAATACTTAAATGTATTTTGCGCTATATGAAAAACAATTTGTATGTATGTATGTATGTGTTTGTCCAATACATGCACACCTGTATGTTACCTACACAATTTTAGATTTTAGTATCTGATCACTGTTTATTTTTATAATATCAAACTTGAATCAGACAAATAATCAAGTAATATGATATTTTCATGTCACTTCATGTTCATGATTCCGTAATGCAATTCCAAAAATACCTGGTAATACCTGATATGTAACTGGGACTTGCCCATCAAAAAATTGCAGAAGGGAGTCAATGAAAGAGCGATTGAATAAAGTAGAATAAATATCAAACAAATCTTGGAAATTTTGCTGAAAGCAGCTAAAAGATAGAAAAGAGTGGTTAACAATCAAAGCAGATGCTCAGACCACAGACAGTCAAAAACACAAACATTATAAAAAATTAAATTTTAGAGAGACTTACAGGGTGGTATTCTCAAAAGCAGACTAACTTTAGTCCATGGTTTAATCCACCAACTAAGTATGGAATGCCAAGTGTCCATTTGAATATTTTTTTGAATATTTTGATATTTCCCTAAATTACCATGAAAACATATTTATATCATAGTTATATTGTTGATTATTTATTATGTTATTAAATTTTAATTTAATAAAGTGACAGATTAAATTATTCAAAAACATATTCATACAGACATTGGCATTCAATACTTAGTCAGTGGATTAAACCATGGACTAAAATTAGTCTGCTTTTGAGAATACCACCCACAGGAACTGAATTTTCATCTCACCTCCCACATCCTGCTGCCTGGCCTAGCACAGAAGATAGAGGGTCTTTCACTTCCAGACTTATTCAAGAAACACGCTCCGTAAGCACCATCCCTAGAACATCACAAACAAATATCACTATGATAAATCCAAAACATCAACTTCAAATGGAACTTCTGTAAAGAAATGTTGGCTATTGAATAGCAAAATTACACTCTGATAAAAGGTAGAAATGATGTGTGAGAAAATTGTCCATGAAATTTGGTACACAAACGATAATACTGCACATTTACAAGTAGTCGATTGGAAACAATGGAAATAAACAAATTCAACATAAGTGTGGTACATTATGGTACAACAAGTATTAACATAGTAAATTACCAGATTGGTGACATAAAATGGGTATTCCTACATATTGATGGCATACATTCTTTTCTCCTTGGTATTTGACTCTAGAAATACATCTTGTATACGGGTATGTGACTATTATACAACATTATTTAGACAAAAAATACTGCTAGCAGTAGCACTTACCTCAGTTTCGTGCCAATTGGGAAAGACAGTTGTCTGAAACAAACGTGGAAAAAGAATATAATGGATATAACATAAATATACATGCATGTCCTCCATGCCCATGGGAGCATATATGAGCACTGTATTATGGCCCATTCACCCGACTCTCAATAAAGTGGTGGAAGGTATGAATCTCTGCCCCATGCATACAATGTAAACCCTCAGACAGTGCATTTTATCTACACTTGTTTCTCCATCTATCCCTTATATTGGTACCTGGCAGGGTTCAATCCTTGAAATGCAATATGCTCTGATAATAGCTGTAGAAGCTATAACTAGGGTAACACCATTACACCTCTTCGGAAGTGCAGAGTGATGATATATGTTATATTATATTGCGTTGCTGCATTTCCCACTTGAAGAAGTCACCCCCCCCCCCTATATCAAAAGAATTTTCACCATCATGATCATAATACATGTACTTTCATCTCAACATAATCATTAAAAGCAGAAACATCATCATCCCAAAATACTTCATCACCACAACCTGTACCATCACCATCACCACTGCCATCACCACCACATCATCTCAATATTACAATGTACCACAACCATCATCATCATCACCACTACCATCACCAGCACCAGCATCACTATTATCTCAATATTACAATGTACCCAACCATCATCATCACCACTACCATCAGCACCACCAGCATCATCATCACCATCAGCACCGTCATCATCATCACCACTATCATCTTACTTTTTAGGGTCACACATGTAGCATCTTGTCATGGTAGAGATGAGGAGCCTCTCTTCGGCAAAGTCCATCTGAACGACACTGGAGTCGACATCGACCACCAGCTCAGACTGGAACTTGAAGATGCCCGAAGGCTGCAAGAAAAATCCAAGGATAGGATCCATTGAGAATTTCACTTTCCTCCATTTTAGTTTTTATAACTCAAGTCAAATATACTATTGAAGCGGGATGGCACTACTTGTAGCTACTGGCGCCCTCTATATAGCAAACAATGCCTAAGCGATACCCATAATCCCCTTTTTCTTATGTTAATTGAGAGCTGATTTGATGAGATAACCACCTGTCAGTGACAACGTAGGGGGCTCTAATCCCTCCTCGCCAAACTAGTGCGGACAGGCTTTGAAAGAAGATTTACAAAGATATTTTGATGTATTTTCCCCTTTGCACTTCATTCTAACATTACTGGTGAAGTTTGATTCCATTGGAGAAAAAGTGTCTATGTAATGCCCCATACAAAACTTTTAATTCTGTCACTGCAAAATATTTACTGTCAAACAGAAACGGTGTATAATATACATGTATATATCCTCTCTCTCCATAGTATTCATTAACCTCTTGATATCTACCTCCCATACTGCCCCCCCCCCCTTTTCTTCCTTTCTTTCTTTCTTTCTTTCTTTCTCTCTCTCTCTCTCTCTCTCTCTCTCTCCCGGTCTTACTTTCCCTCTCTTTCTCTCTATGTCTCTTTCTATACATCTCCCATTCACCAACAGTACATTTAATTTGCCTATACTTCCATCCACTATATCCCCTACCTTTCCACCTTTCAATCTTACCTTACTGCTGTCTGTATTAGTGACTGTTATGCGCCCTCTCTCGTCCCCGGAGAAGAGCCTTAGCCCCGCCCCATCCCAACAGAGACTGGTAATTCTGTGATTACGATGGGCCTGTGCCGCTACCAATCTCTCTGCCTTCTGCCTTGATGTAATATTCAGTTTCCATGCAATTACCGCTCCGCCACTATCAAAAGAAGAAAAACAAATTATTGAAGCCCCCAAAACAGTCAATTTATAATCAATCATTACTGAGCAAGAACAAGAATGTACAGGGGTGAAGATGGATCAAAGTGTAGCGCTTTACAGTCAATCAAACAGAGTTTCAAGTGGAATCAAACTATCTGTATATTGTATTGTTTTGTCTTTATTTAATCACTGTAAAAACTCACAATCAGGCAAAAGAGAATACTTTTCAGTGAGTCTGTAAACTTGTACTTAAACTTCATGCAAGATCTAAACTTTTCTGCAGAAAACAAGAATGCTCTAGTTTCCAAATAATTACCTTGTTGCCATGCCAATCACATTTTCGTTGGGAGAGAAGAGAGCCTTTGTGAGCCCTTCCTGTGTTCAAGAAATAAAAATAGAAATGAAACATTTGTAAAATAATTCATATTTCAGAGTCTTGATTTTATAATGTTTATGTACTGGTATACATAAATGCTGATATTGTGGAATTTCCACATTCACTGTCATTGAGAGGGAAATTTAATTGTGGTTCACTGCAGGATGGAAGTTTAAATGCACTTGACTTGTATTAAAGGGTTTAAAAAAGCTTCTCAGATGCTTTAAGTTAAGTTTTGATACCCTCTTTCCTAAATGAAAATAAATGAATCAATTTTACATGTCTGCTCTATCAATGGGATTATAAATGTCATTACAATTGTAAGGTAAACTAATTAAATCAAATTGTAATATTCATATTTAATACAAAAGAGCAACCAAAATACTATTCCAATAATGTAATCCCCACCACCTCCTCCTCCCCCCCCCCCCCCCCCCCCCCTCTATCTCCTCTTCAGATGTTATCACTGCACAATATTGGGTGTATTTAAAATCAACCAGAAATGCACCTTTCAAACATTACCTTGTTCCCAATTTGCTGTAGGTACTTGAGTGTGTCTCGCTGGAAGATGTAAAGACCTCCATGTGATGATCCCAGGGCAATGTACTGACGAGAACATGTGATGCACGTGTACTAACAAAAAATACAGATATGAAAACCTAATCATCAAAGCAGGTACAATATTTCATTACCATTCAACTGGATGATCAAACAACCTGTTTTCTGAAAAAACAGAAGATTAAAAGGATGATCATTTCTTAGCTCTATCTTGCTCTCTTTTAAAAGAGATTTGATCACTTTTGCAACTGTTTACACAATTTCAAACTCATCTCTTCATTAAAATTCAACATCTCAGATATCAAAATATTCCTTCGATCGATCAGTACACACAAATGGGTATTGTTAGTTTAAATTCTGTTAACAATTGAATTCATTTTTAATTGAATTCATTTTTAATCTATACATCATGCATCTTCACTCAGTTTTAATAGCAGTTTTCTGGCAAGTACTGCATTTTTTTTAATGTGAACATTTAAATAAAAGACAGAATTTGTCCTCGACACATCATTATTAAAGACCTGGCATATTGTTAGATGTAACCATATGGCCCGTCATCAAACGTTTTAATCTAATCTCCTGCTCGATAATTAAAAGGGCTCCCTCTACATCAGACTCACCTTCAACCTCTTTGATCCTCTGACAGGAAGTAACAGGTCATCATGCGACCTTAACTCCGTGAAGATGTGAGTGGCCTTCCCATTGTCTGAGGAACGCTGACTAGCAGAGGCACCGGGACTCTCCATCTTTTAGATGCTTAGTCCAAGATATGGACCTGGCCTTGAAAGGTTATTTGTCAGTCAATCCATTGGTCCATCAAGCTATTTCCAAACGTAAATCTGGATAAATTTAAAGAGAAGGTCAAGTTCTGGGAAGAGGTGACCAAAAATTTGTGAGTGTTATCATTGTATTATGCAAGTGTGGAAGAACATCAGATAAATATGTTCCCTGAAAAGCATGGCTCTTGAAATGCCTTCACATTCTAAATATGGCATGTAAAAGCATAAATATTGTGATGGATTTTTATGCCACATGTTCGTGTAGTCCCATATACATCTTTTGTGCACAGTGCTTGTAACTTTACCAAGACTGGGTCAAATTTCTTATCATTTTGATGATTCCAGAACCTTGCAGTACTTACACACCAATACTTATATGCTAGATGATCATCCTTTTCTGATCAATTCCACAATGTTTCTTTCCTAATGCAATCGCATGACCAGAATTCCACTTCATCTTTAAAGAAAGAATCATCTGTAAAATAACAAGCAGTTTCAACCTCCAAAATACTACTTGAGGTATTTTAACTGGAGGCGGTTGTGGTGGAGGATGGACTTAACTAAAAGGGGAGAAAGGACGTTAGAGAAGGGGTGTTTTTACATGTATTTTTTTTCTGGTATGATATTCCTCCGCTTCTCCAACCTTTGTTTTTTGTCATCTGAGAAAACTAGATGAATGATAAATATGAATGATATACAGCTACTGTCATTCCTATCAAATCAATGATGATATCATGGTGTCACTAGATCTCGATCCATCTTTTGAACTATCTTGCTCACTGCGCTTGCTTGCATCTCATTGCTAAGTTGTTCACTCAATAGAAAAAATGTGCTATTCAAAACTCGGTCCCTATCAAGAACATAAAATCTTAAACTAGTCTTGGTGTTCTTCTTCTTCTTCTTCTTCTTCTTCTTCTTCTTCTTCCTGAAACGTGCAGGCTTCATGAAGTGAAGATTATAAACGCACATCTGCGCAAGATAAACTTTTTTTTTGGGGGGGGGGGGTGGGAGCATATTTCTTATCTTAATCTTAGTTGGCTTTGCTTTGCTACGATACTTACCAAGATATTGTTAACAAAAGAAAATCTTGATTCGGATTAAGCAGAGCTGTTCAAACTAGATCTATGTTATTTTATTTCAAGTGAACCAAGCTTGCTAGCTTGCCCTTTTAAAGCTAGATCTAAATAGACTTTGTAAGGTAAACATCAAATGTAATAGCAATATTCTGAAGAATTTCTATGTCAAATTATATGATATAGAATCTATTATGTATGTTAACTTATTTTGATTCTTTGTACATTTGTAAATTGTGAGCAAAACAAATTTCCAATATTGGACAATAAATTGAAATTGAATTGATTTTACATCATGACCATCACTTCATCTTCATGCACTCACTCACTTGACCATGATTTCTTAAAGTTGAACTTGAATAGAGAAAATAGGCCCTCCACCATGAAACATATTAATCTGATATTTACCTGTTTGTTTTGAACGCACAAGTGATCCCTTTTCTAAACAAAGACTCAAACAAACCACCGCATCGTCCTCCATTTATAGCTCGCTAGTTAGATTTATTAATCCACCCACACTGTAGTCTACGTATGGGACTACATTGAAGACATTGACTAGATCCTAGATTAAAATAGCTTGGTTAGACGTGTCACGTAGACAGTTCGTGAAAAGATAATATTCACATATCAGGTAAGAGAATGATTACAATAACTTTTTATTTTATGAATGCCATTTCGTTCATGGTTTTACTCACATTTTTGTTCACCACCGGATAAAAACAAACAAATTACGCCTTCAGTGACACGGGCTTCAGCAATGAATATTCATAGCGATGACGTCATATGCACGTGCAAATAATAAAAATGGTTATGGATGGTGGATGGATAGATATACAGATAGGTAAATGGATACAAAGCTAGATAGATTAATAGATAGATCATAGTCAGTCACATCAATCGAAGGATGGATAGGAAGATAGATAAATAGTATAGGCCTAAGTCACATAGATAGATGGATGGATAGATTATTGATACCAGCCAGGGATATGTGAGTTTAAACTCACATATCCCTGTTGATACGATACATAGGAGATTCGATACATAGAATAGATGGATAGATAGATGGATAGATAGATGGATAGATAGATAGTCCGTCACATAAATAAATGGTTGGATATAATTATAGCAAGAAAGATATGTATTCAGTCACATAGATAGATAGATAGATAAATAAATACATAGATAGATAGATGGATGAAGATAGAGCGGATAGTCAGTCACATAGTTGGATGGAAGAGGCGGATCGGCTACTAGGCCTAAACAAAGAGACATGAGAACTATTAGATAATTAATAGATATTATATTAGCCCTATATTAATTTTCTGCAAAGTTCTGCAAAAGAATATGTACCTCACTAGTTTGTATACATCATAATATATTTAACCAACACACCTTGCAGATTGTAGAATTCCAAAATGTCTTTGATTCGGATGGCAGGATCATGTGATAAACTTTTCATTTCCTGAAAAAATACAAACGTTTCAAAAAAAGAACATGACATGTTGACTTCCTGACAGAGAGACAGAGAGAGAGAGAAAGAGAGAGAGAGAGAGAGAGGGGGGAACTAGAGCCTAAGCTAAGAGAGAGAGAGACAGACAGAGGCAGAGAGAAATTACGATGCAATATATAACTTGCATGAAAAGGAGTGTCTTGATCTTCCACGCCCATGCACCCTAGTGCACTGTGCATTTGTGTTTCAGTTTTCTTTAAAATTAAGATCATATATAAACATTATATTTACGCCTTACGGATTTAGATCTAAATTTTCCTCAGGCTTGGGAGCTAGAAACTTTTTAACCAGCTAGACAAACTGTGTTTTTTGGTAATGATCGGGTTAAAACCCTTTAGCTTGATCGAGTGAAACTATAATCGTGAAACTTTTCATTATAGGCCTTACCTAGAACTATGTAGGCTGGTTATAATTGCCAGAAACTTTTTCAAAAGAGGGGGAAGTAATAGTTCCATGAATTTGCCATCGCCTGTGTAGCGCATCCACAGAATGGGTGTGGTTGGTGGGCGTGGCTGCACACCAACATCTTCTGGATTTCGCGCGCAAACGCAACGCTTCGAGGAAGGGGATTCCCGATCCCCATGCAGTTAAAGCCGGGGTTAGTTAAAGTTGACAAGGGGGTCGAGGAATTTCTCCCGAGTAAGATATCTTTGTCTTAAAATATTGACACCAAAAGTAACAAATCTTTCCAAAGAGGATTACATATAGGGAAGACCTATACTGAACGCAAGACCTGGTATACGCATGGAGATATCTCCATGGTTAAACCACCTGAGTCTTCTCTTTTGGAATGATTGAATGACCGTAGATTCGGAGAACAATAACAATGCACCTCAACACACACACAATAGGCCTAACAATAGAAACGAAGGCCAACTCTCGTTTGTACGAGGCCAAGGGGTATCGAGTGCAGCGCATGCAGTACTAGTGCATGCAGTGTTTTGGAAGAGGAAAGGGTGCGTTCACGAAATTACGGATCGTCTTGCTTTACCTTCGGTAAATGTAAGTATTACTCGCATTATTTTGCTGTTTTAAGGCAGGAAATGATTATTGGTTATGTTGATCATGAATTAAATACCTTGTAGCGTTAACTGAGCATGTCATTTTGTAAATGGATTATAATTAACTTTATTTATAATTTACCTGTCGCGCTCACGGTGATACGAACCGCGATTGTTTAGAGAGTTCGATTCGGTAGCTACCAGTACGGCTGGAGTTACGGGAGCGGGAGATGATTGTCGATGGTAGTTAATCCGCCACGGAGCTCGGAGCGTGTGTTTTTGTTTACATTCATATGTCGTCTATTTCGTGTATAATTGAGTGTATGTAGGGAACTGGGGAAAATAGACAATTATGTCCACCGTATAAAATGGAAATCTTTTTCGTTTTAGAGTCACTGAGTAATTGTCTAAATGTACATAAGTAATAGTACTTTGTTTATGAACAAATGAATTATGATTTAATCAAATTTGAACCAACATAGGCCTACTTGTAAACATAAGTAATATTAGTCAGATAAAAGAGATTATAGGGGGGAAAATAATTAAATGTATAATATTTTAATACAATTGCATATACATGTATGGCATCATTTTTAGCGTTAGACACATTTACTGGTATTTTTGATATATTTCATAAATCCCACTTCAGATATTGTACATGTAAGTTGTTTTGTTTTATTTACTGGTACGTTTATTACATAATATAAGTATTTTTCTCACTCTTAAATGATTTCAGAGCTGGTCATAAAGTACATATTATATACATGTAATTAAATATACAGCCGGCCAACTCTTTGTAGCATTTGACACATTTACATGTAGTTTAATTTTATCTTGATTCATTTGTTTAATAAACATTTTATTCTGGAAGTGAAGTAAATGGGACATAAAATCTAACTTTCAATATTGTAAGTGGAAACAAATCCACTGGATTTGTTTGTGTTTTTGTTGCTGGTTAGATGATGTAAGTGGTTTAACTTTACAGTTACAAAGCTGGTCATTTCGTTCAATTGTAATGATGATCATGAACAAAAACTTGTAAGTCAAATGACATAATCATTTTATACAAATCTACCAAGATTATAAAATATTATTGCAGTTATTTAAAACTAATGATATTTTAGTTATTGTTATTATTATTATTATTTATGTTATAATAATTATTATTATTATCATCATGATTAATATTATCATTTTCAATCGTCATTACCATATTATCTTCAATTCTTCATCACCACCATTAATATTATATTATTACTATTGTATTGCCTATCATAGTTGAATCAAGTGAGAAGTGGTCATCAAGTGTTGCTGTACCTCCCTCTTGTATCCTTCCTCCGCTCAGGTCGGAGATCGTCGGTACTGTGAGTCTGCCGAAGTTATATAAATGGCTTTCTATCTAACATTTTGAGATAGATTTTGAGTGTTGTGTGAAGGTTGCGTATAAAAATAAAGGATAAGTGTATGCAGCTGTGTTTTGGCACTACTGCTGATGGGTCCAGAATAGTGCTGTAAGTCAGACGCTATGTTCGTGTTCGGTTCGGTTCGGCATAGTTCGGCAATTTTTCACCCGAACTTGGTTCGGTTCGGGGTTCGGTAATATAATAGCAAGCAGCGTTATAGCCACGGCGGTCGGCACTGGGCGGGCCAGCCGGCCTGCCGGGCCCGACCAGCACGGAGCACTTCTGCACACTGCTTCCGACCAGCACGAATTTCACATTGAAAAACTGCTCTAAACGTAATTATTTGTGAAGAAAAATACTACTTACATTCGTATTTCCGTCTTGAATCGTGTTTTATTTTCAATTTTAAAAGAATCATGTTTTCAATTTGTCAATAAATGATATTTTTTAAAGATTTTCCGAGACGGTTGTTGTCTAATGTTAGAGTCATGAAAGCTGCCATCTTGAATAGAGACTCAGCCAGGCTCGTCAATAACTGTTTTTTAGAAGTTTTTATTTTCAATAGGAAAAATATAAAATCCCTATTTTTCCTAAATAAATAAATACCATACTATAATATATATTTATTTCATTATTTATATTGTAAAATTTGTCCAATATTAATTGTTACAATTAAAATATTAATTTTTTGTTGAATGGGTTTGAGCTGAACTTGTTTTGATCACGCACATGTATTCTTGTTTATGGCTTGCGATCGCGACGTAGCGTGGTCAGGATTTGGGATTTAAATGGCGCCAGTGAAGTCGCGCCCACCACTGGATAGGCATAAATCACAAAGGCGGAAAATGGAAAAAAAGTAAATATAAAATGAGCAATCATGACATGAAAATTAGGTACAAAATGACAAGTTTATTAGCTTGCAAAAACGTTTTTTTATTTTTCTGCCGAACATCCGAACCAGGCCTTTGCGTTCGGTTCGGTTCGGTTCGGTTCGGAAGTGCCATGTTCGGCGAACTTCCGTTCGGTTCGGCGGTTCGGCTACAGCACTACTAGTCCAGAAGGGACATGGCTGTGTTTTAAAGTGCTTCCTCTATCATCATCATCATCATCATCAGTGTCACAACCATTATTATCATTAATATTATTAATATTATTATTACAATTGTTGCCTATTATAGATTGCAAGTGAGAAGCGTTCATCAAGTGTTGCTGTACCAAGGCTGTGTGTAAAATGCTTCCTCTATCATCATCATCATCATCATCATCATCATCATCAGTATTAGTATTATATAAGTGTCATAAGTCACAACCATTATTTATTATCATTATTATTAATAATATTATTATTACAATTGTTGCCTATTATAGATTGCAAGTGAGAAGCAGTCATCATGTGTTGCTGTACCAAGGCTGTGTGTAAAGTGTAAAGTGCTTCCTCTAGATATCATCATCATCATCATCATCAGTATTATTATTGTCACAACCATTATTATCATTAATAATGTTATTATTACAATTGTTGCCTATTATAGATTGGAAGTAAGAAGCGTTCATCATGTGTTGCTGTTCCATCTCTTGTGTCAAGTGTTTCCTCTACTTCCTAGATGTCCTGTTCCTGGTAAGTAATTTATTTGAGAATTTTGTTGATTTAAACTTTAATTTTTGAAAATATCCTTTCTTTAACCACTATTTTGTGAAAGATATAAACAACAGTTTCATTGTTCAGATAGATGTGCATGGCATTTCAAGCTCATTTTCAATACCGATAGATAGAATGAATTGCAAAAAAATAATTGATGTTTTAAATCTTCTTCTTTGAATGGCACAAAATATAACTTTTTGTAATTTGATATTGCATGTTCAGACACTGAAATGATACTGTGAACTTTAAGGTAAAGGGGACTTGTATTTTAAACTAAATTATTAAGAGTGCATGCTCTGAATTACATGGGCATTATCATGAAATATTTTTCCCCTGCTTTGTTTGGTTTGGTTTGTCTTTTCTTTGTATTTTCTTTTCTCTTTCTTTTCTCTTTCTTTTCTCTTTCTTTTTCTTGTCTTTACCCCCCCCCCCCCCCCCCCCTTGTTTACTAACATGTACTTGGTTTGGGGAAGCTTGATTCATCTTCTGATTTTTGAGGATATTAAAGTGTTTTTACAGTCCTGTTCACTATTCAGATAGACTTAACATATAATACCCCTCGATGTGTCATCGTGTGTGTATTCTCTTTCTTCTGTATTGTCATTTTCTCTTCTTCTTTTTTGCCATTGTCATTCCTTTACCAAGCTTTTTAAGCTGTAGCCTTTTTCATATTACTGGTATATCATTTTGGGGAAAAGGGCATGAATTCCAATATATAGGATTTGTATAATATTTATTCATTTTTTGTTCCATGTTCCATGTTCCATGTTTGGGAACTGGAATTTATATCATACATGTAGGCCTACTGTCCTGTGTTCTTTATTATATCATTTCTGGTACTCTTAATTACACTGTAGTGATGGAAGAAATTACTGATTACTATGCTTCAACACTGTAATTACTTTATACATGTACCTGTCAGATATCAAAATATTTTATGCCAATATTTACGATTACAATCTTAAGTTAATCACTCATTTCAAATTGCAACTCTTTAATCAAATCGCCCATGCAAAAGACCATGTAACATCACAATATAGATTAAGATCGCACACAGCCTACGCGATTTAGAAAGTAGTAAACCCAAGCAAATGTATATAGAGAGCTATGCAGAGAGCAGATTTTTTTGCTTTCTATAGAAGTAGAAACCTTGGGCTCTGCTCCACTGGTCCATTCATTTCAGAAAATACCAAACCCCATGCACCACAAAGAAAACAAGTCGGCCACTTCACCTTCGCAAACCACAGCCACTGACAATAAAAACTGCTCGAGTCAAAAAGCGTAGGCTGTGCCCATTGTGCGTACGTACCAACCCTTATAAAGAGAATGTAGTTTTAAAAGTAATTGCTTTTTGTACAGGTGTGTTGGTAGAGAGTCTTCTATGCTGCCATGACTGTTGTGGTATTGTGGTTGAAACTTCATGGTTGGCAATTAAAGATAAACTTGAGTTCTGATAAAAAAAAAAGAAAATTAATTCTCACAGAATCAAACGAAACTTACACTGAATGTTCAAGATTACAAATAAATGACATGTGCCAAACAATTTTGGAAGAAAATGTATACTGGCTGAGTAATGAGCATAGAAAGACAAGGAAATCCAGGTAGTACCAGCCCCGACACCATGTGTGTTGTCCCATATATAGATTTCTGTGTACAGATCTTGTTACTTTACCAAGACTCGGTCAAATTTATTATGATTTTGATGACTGTAGAACCTTGCAGTGCACACCAATACTTACATGCTACATGATCAACTGTTTCTGATCTTTTCCACACCTTTTCTTTCACAATGCAATTACCAGTACTAAAGTTTATCTTTAAGATAATGGGTTGATGTTATGCATTCCATGGTATCACTATCAAAGTGTATTGATGAATAAAATGAAGGGGGAAACATCCATGAAAATAGCCAATATCACTTATTCCTGCACTTTTTAGTGGAAATACTGACAAGAGGATTCAGTTACATAATACATGCTTTGTCACAATGAAGTATAGTAGATTTATCTTGCCACTTAGAAACAGTGATAAACCATGACACACTAAGTATTTGTCCAATGATAACATTCCATTAAATTGATATGTTTACAGTTCAATCTGACTCATACATGTACTCTGTTACCCAGAATTCATGCACTATTTGTTTACAAAATATTAAAATACAGGTACATGTACAATAATGACGAGGACAAAGAGAGACACACTGGTTACCATTTTTCTATGTAATTTGTTATCTTTCTTTGGTATATTTATACAGATAAGTCATAATATTCTTTGTTATTCACAACATGAACTCATATTGTTGTGTTGGGATCGGTTTATGGGATATTGGCAGTAGGAGAGGTACATAAAATGAAGCAGCAACTTGTAAATCCAGAGTCATATGAGAATATTTAATATCAAGTCATTATGAACTTCCACATATGTAAAACAAAAGATGAAGATCTAATGGTGATCAAAACTCAACTCTTCTTCCAGAAAGCCAGAATATGTGGTATTTATAAAGAAGGAAACAAATAATATGAGGGTAGGTTGCATTGTGCCAAAGGACAAAGACATAAATGAGGGCCGTCAGAATAATGGACAACTTAGTAGTTTTATGTATGGGGCTTAACACATAACAGAGGTGGTCTTTCCTGGGAAGTGGATTGAATGCACTTGGGGCTTTCTATGGGGAAGGATTATAAAGACATAAACTTGAAGCTCAAACTGGGCGTCTTGTCATGGTATAAATATGAGGGTACCGGTACTTTATAAGGCCTAAACAAAAAATGTTGTATTGCCCTTTTGTGCCAAAACATGGGTAAGTCGGTCAGAAATTTTTTCCCCTTCTTTGGGCTGATATTTCTCAGTTTTGAATGCTTTAAAGCCCCATTGCACTACTTGTAGCTACTTGCTCCCTTTATATAGAAAACAATGTCTAAGCGGTGCCCGTTGGTCCCCTATGATCCTCTTTTTGTTATTTTAATTGAGAGCTGAGTTGATGAGATAACCACCTGGCCAAACTAGTGCAGATAGGTAATGCAAAGATTCGGTAGATTTTGAAAATTGGATAGATATTAATTCCTTAAAATTTTGAATTATTTGGATTTCCCTGTGGATGAATTATAACCACTAGAAAATTTAGCCTCTAAAACACTTCTGCTTTCAAGAAATTGAATAATCCAAATTTACCAGTGCTCCCGGAAAATTTCAAACATTTCAAATAGCGCCTAAGGCCATTCCATGGTAGCTGCGACCATGAAAATCACAGAATATGCAGTTCTTATATATAATTTCCAAACAGGAATAGCAAATCGGTCAATTGTAGTCAAGAAACATTGTTTTAAAGCTAAAGTAATATCAGTCTTGAGAGGGAGCTATGCAACATAAAGAGTTTATTATTTAAAATGTCATCACTTTAGACTCGATTTCAACCGCGACAATGATCATAGAATAGTGAAAAATCGCATATGCTTCCAATATGTTCATTTGAACCAAATTCATGACCCCTTACTTTGTATTACCTTTAATAGTGATACTATTATAGTCATGCTTATATGTTTAATTTTTATTGAATGACATTTCACAACTCAACAAACTTTCATTTAGTGAACAAGATGACATGGAAATAAGTGAAATCAATGAACATTTATGGTAACTCTCTTGTCCATCCTACCATTTTCCTTATAACGCTTTTCATTGAGTTCCTCCCAAAACAACTTTTGGACTGGCAGAAACTCATTCACAAGAGAACATCTGAACAGAAACCACAATTATGGAGAAAAAATACTATTCTCATAATAAATTGAAAAATTAGACAAAGGATAGGGGGTGTGAGAATGGTGCTAAAGTTTGACAATGTCTGAATCAATAGTGACAGTGTCAACAAAGAGCCTTGAATGAAAAGAAGAAGAAGAGATGTGGTTGATTTTGTTTCAATGGCTGTCATGGGTTGTAGCAGTCAAGGTTGGATTTTTCTCTTTTTTTAAAATCAGAAATGGTGTTATTTCTGTAACCACAGTTTCAGGTAGCTTTTCAAAAAAATTATAACCTGATGCAGTGGTCTGCAAATGATGTACATTTTTTATTTTAGATACAGTGCATGTTTGTATGTACATGCAGTTATCAAACATGTAACTCAGTAGATTTTTTTCCTGAATCAATAAAATGTGAGGCCTGTCCATGCCCCAAACACCTTGATTTGTCACATTTGTATCTCCTAACACAGTGTACATACACATGACTACCAACAAAGAATGATGGTAGCCTGGTAATAATGATAACGCAGAATCAACAATCTCTCTTTAATTAGGGTAGACTGGAATTGTATGCTGTCTCTTCCCTGCATTAAACAAACACCTTATTTAAAAGGGTTAGTCGAGTGTCGAGTGCCCAGCCTGATATAGAGTTGGTTTTAATAACAGCAGAAAAATAACAGAAACATGTCAGTGAAAGTTTGAGCAAAACCGATTAAGAAAAAAGAGTTATGATTTTGTTTGCGTGCAATCAATCAGACACAAACTGGCAATTATGTGATGTATCTTGCCAGCTCCCTTTCCATTTGCCCTAGATACTAGAAGACTTTAAAAAACAAATTAGATATATGTTCTCCCTTTTCCCTGATATTTCCGACATGTGTGCTTTTATCGTGATAGCAAATCAGTATTTTTAAAACCGCCTTTCATATATCAATTGCAATTTCTTGTTTTTCTTTTCCCAGCTCTCGGGCATCGGCTTGTTCATCACCGGTATTCATGTACTGGTAGGAGTTACCTCTGGGGCGTACGCCTCCCTCCTTCCCAACATCTCATACATGTATGCTGCGTACATCCTCATCATCATCGGGATTTTCATCGTCATCGTCGCCATCGTCGGGTGTGTTGCAGCAGTCAGGGAGGGCGTCTGCTGTCTTCTCACGGTAAGACTAGTGGTGAAGCTACATGTACTGGGGACTTAAGGCATATATGACCCCCTCCCCCCTCAAAAAATGACAAATGAAAACAAGAATAAATAAATGATAAATGAAAAAAAGAAGAACAAAATTTATTATAAAAGAAAAATAATAGAAAGAAAAGAATGGGAGAAGAATGATATGAGATGATAGGGACCCTTCCCACCCCTTCTGCTAAACAATTTACTAGTTATTTTGCATTGCTTTCACCAAGTAAAGATCCCTCCCCCCTCCAAAGATGCCTGATGCCTGTGTCCCTCCGTTATTTAGAAAAAAAGAAAAAATGTAAATGGTAATAATTCCAGAATTTGTATCATTCAAGGAAGCACCTTGGTGGAATATACATGTACCAATTATGATTTTAACAGGGTAATTTTTGGATATTTTGGCAAAAAATTGGTTTAATCAAATTCAAAATGGATTTTTTTTTTTTGTAGCTTGAACATACCTGCCAACATTTGAAAATAAGAATTAGGAATTTTTAGCACGGTATGCCTTCGAAAATAAGAAATCATACTTGCAGCGGCAGTGTTACTGGCAACTGACGATATGAGCGAGGATATTCAAACAAACACGATGTTCCCTTATTTTATAAATTACAGAGTTTGAACATATTTGACTTCACAGAAGTTTTAGGGGGGAAAAAAACAATTCTTTTTTACAATCATGCTGCATTGATTAATGGAGATTTTTTTGCTTTTAATGCCCATTTCTCCGCAAAAATAATGATTGAACAATCATAGGGCCATGTTGCTGATTTTACGTTCTATATTTCCCCTCTCATTTTCTTTTCTTTCAGTTTTACTTCATGGTTGTCATCGTGATCTGCCTGGAGGTGTCGGCTATCATCATTGCCTTCGCAGGCCTTCACATGAGAGGCGACATGTCAAGCTACGTGTCGGCGAGCATGAAACGAGGGCTCTATTACTACCAGGATGAGAACCACGCCGAGATGAAGACGGCGTGGGACACTCTGCAACAAGAGGTGAGTTTGTGCTGTGCTGTACATGTGTGGTTAGGCGACATTCCAGGTTCCCATGTGCACCTGGGTGGAGAGTGGCAAGTGTAGATTAAAGCCCGTCTGCACTAGTTTGGCCAGGAGGGATTAGACCTCCTTGCATGGTCACTGACAGATGGTCACTGACAGGTGGTTACCTCATCAAATCAGCTCTCAATTAACATAAGAAAAAAGGGACCACGGGGGACCAACAGTCACCACTTAGGCTTTGTTTGATATATTATAGAGGGTGCAAGTAGTTACAAGCTGTGCGGTCCTGCTTTAAAGGGAGATGGGAGTCAGTTTCCATCTGCAGTAGGTCAGAATTCGCTGGCACCAGACACCTCCATTTTGTTTCCCTTTTGTTATTATTTGAATACATATTGTCATTCCTGATTCCTGACTATTTTTGTCTCCAAGGTGTATACTTTTGTTGATTACAATGAGTAAATAATGGTATGGCCAAGCCAACTATGTACATATAATACTCATATTGAGAACAAACTACATTGTACTATTGTTTCAATAAGCTGCAGACATATTCCCTTCCCTTTCCCTTGTCTTTTGTAGTTAATTGTGAGTATCGGTTCATGTATCCCTGTAATCCCCCTTTCTCTGTTTTAGCAAGTATTTGTATTTTATAAACCTAACTTTAGTTAATTATGCAATTTGTAGTTAAGGAGCCTATCCACAACAAGCTCTGCTTTTTCATAGGCTCCGCCACTATATCTCTCAAGTTCAACGTAAGGACAATATTCTGAATAGTGTGTACCGGTATTGTATGTACATGTATATTATAATCATTCTCAATATGTTGTTACACTCTTTGTAAAATCAGATATTGTGGAAACCAATAAACTACCTATCTATCTATCTTACGTCCAAAAGGTTGAGTGCTGCGGAGTGAATTCACCTACAGATTGGGAGGTAACTGGAGGATTTCCGCCTGGTATCGTTCCCAACTCATGCTGTAACGGCCCTGAGGGCGCATGCACTAGCCACTACATGGAGGTAGGTTACCAGTCTCATTGATGTACTCTGTCCATCGTGCACAATTTTGAATCACTCTGAAAATCAACTTCTGTTAAAAGTGGGGCCTTCCCCAAACGTGGCTAAATATTAATAACTAATAAATAGAAAATACACTGTTAACATGCAGGTGGATGAATGGATGGGTGGGTACATGTAGGTTGGTGGATGGATTAGATGGATGGATTAGATGGATGGATTAGATGGATGGATTAGATGGATGGATTAGATGGATTGATTAGATGGATGGATTAGATGGATTGATAGATAAGATGGATGGATTAGATAGATGGATGGATTAGATGAATGGATTAGATAGATGGATGGATTAGATGGATGGATTAGATAGATAGATGGATTAGATGGATGGATTAGATAGATAGAAAGATAGATAGATAGATAGATAGATAGATCTTGTATAAATTATGTAGATGAATACATAAATAAAATTAGTCCAATTACTGGACAATTCCTTCTTTTCTTCTTGTACAATCCAGCCTGGATAACAAGTTGCTTTTTGAGGAGGCAGTAAACATCGGAGGAATCAGACCCTTGTATATACATCTTTACCAACTACAGTTAACAGCTAATTTATTCATACCCTTACCAAGTTCTTTAATTTTTTAAGTGTGTGAAAAATTGATTTGTCCAGGTAGGCCTATATGTCTTTTGAGAATGTAAAAGCACTAATTCAACCAGCCCACCTTTTGTTCTCAAGTTACAAAAAAACACATAAAGCATCACATTTACAAGTGGTATGAATAACTCGGTTGTTTTTTAACTGTATGTGAAATTTTATTGAAAATCAATGGAAATTGATAAAAATTAGTGATTCAGAATTGATGATATCAATCTGATGGATTATAATAATGATATTCAGTTCTTTAATAGCGCATATCACATTATATAACATCTCTATGCACTTCCAAAGAGCTTTGGAAATAATTACTATAGCTTTAGCTCCGGCAGCCATGATCAGCGCACAGTGCATTTCAAGGAATAATTCTTGAATTATGGATTAATTATGGATTAAAAATGGATTAATTTTTCTTGCAGGGTTGTGAGGATTACATCTTGATGGAGTTACAGGATTGGTTGACCTTGATCGGTGTCGTCTGCATCATCTTCGTCATCATACAGGTAAATATTTTCTTGTAAGACACATAGTAGTGGGTTTACATGAAGAATTGACACCATTCTAGCGTTTACCCAATAACAGGTGTTGTCTGTCACCAAGAGTGGACTTCACTTTTACGACAGACAGATCTTGTGTATTACGCTGTGCCCTATCCTACCACTTTATTGAATTCTCATCATATACAGTCGAACCTGTCTACATCGACCGCCCAACGGAAACAGAAATAGTGGCCGTTGTAGACAGGTTGAATAAACATTGATCGATAGCGTTTGACTGTTTATCAAATTTTCTCCACCCTCGAGATATAGGCAAGTTGAAGTATTTTGTGGTGGGACCACAGGTTCGCTGCTTCAGAGACTTTTGCACACACATACACATTGGCCCGGTGGGGTCACTCAATGTGACTTCCGGACCGCATGACCGTTACCAAAATCGCGGAAAAAGGGGTCAATTTCAAGCAATGTCCGCGGACAAAATATTCCTCGAAATAAAGAAAATAGGGGTGCACAGGTGACCCCGAAATTGATAAATAGGGGTCAGGAAAAGGGAAAAGAGAAAACCGGGAGGGGAAAAGAGAAAACCGGGAAGAAAAATTCTCGGAGCCGAGTCTTGTCCTTGAAATATGGTAAAATAGGGGTAAATTTGCGAAAGTGTCCTTACAATCTTATAAATAGGGGTATTCCAAAGTAGGATTTTGTCCTTGTTTTGACGTAAAAAAGGGGGTTAAACTTCACAAAATGTCCTTGAAATTGACCGCAAAAGGGGGTTATATGCATTGGTGGTAACGGTCATACGTGTCACTCTTTGCAGGGGAGTGACCCCACCGGGCACATTGGTTGGTAATTCAACCAAATCTAGTGTCAGCAAGTTATGATGTAATATGCTTCGACACTGACTACTATGTGGCTTTAAGTCATATTGTGCTATAGACAGATTGAATCCCCCACAAGTCTATATGGGATAATCGTTATAGCAATATTTTGGATATATGTACGATATCTCAAAGTGCTTTGTAAACGGTTAAATCATGGATGTAAAGAGCTATTTGCCTTACTCTGCCAAATTCAGTAGGGGTTTGTGAATTATGATGATGATGATCATCATCAACATGATGGTGATAGCAGTGGTGATAAGAATATTGAAATTATGATATTGGTGAAAGTGATAATAGTATAGAATAGTGATGATGATGATAACAATAATGAAAATGATTCATTGCAAGTCAATTTATTTCTTAAAACCACATACATTCAAGACCATCTGCACTAGTGTGGCTAGGAGGGATTAGACCCCCCGCAAGGTCACTGACAGGTGGTTATCTCATCAAATCAGCTCTCAATTAACACAAGAAAAAGAGGATCATGGGGGACCAACAGGCACCGATTAGGCATTGTATGCTATATAGAGGGCGCATGCAAGTACATGTAGCTACAATTAGTGCAGTGGGGCTTAAAGAAATGTGTAGAGTAAATAAAGTCTATCACCTGTTTCAGTAAGCAAGGGGTGTTGCTGGTGACTTGAGGTAGATGCATGGACCTATTAAAATAAAAATTATAGTGGTAAAACAAAACAAAACAATAATGATAATGATAGTTATCATGATAAGAATGACTTTGATAATCATTGATTTATAGTAGCCATTTATCATATTGTGTCTTCTTTTTTCTCTCTTTCTCTCCAGATTCTACTGGTCTGGTTCATTTTGATCCTGTTCTTCAAGCTCCACAGGGGAAGCAAATACTGCTGTGGATGTGGCGTCTACTCTTCCGTCAAAGACCACGACTAACCCGCCTCTTAGAGCTGCTATGGCCCATATTCTTGAGAGCCGCCCAAGTTAAATTCTGCTTCAAGCCCCACTGCACTACTTATATCTACTTGCGCCCTCTATATAGCAAACAATACCTTAGCGGTACCCGTTGATCCACCATGATACCCTTTTTCTTATGTTAATTGAGAGCTGATTTGATGAGATAACCAGCTGTAAGTGACCATCAGGGTGGTCAAATCCCTCCTGGCCAAACTAGTGCGCAGGGGCTTTAAAGACAATCCAACCCTTTTAATAAGCTCATTTATATGAAAGTAGAAAGAATAAAAGAAATAGAATGGTGAAAGTTTAAAATCAATTGGACCATTAATAAGGGAGTTATGAATGTTTGAAATATGAAATCACTAAAGCTATGCAAATCTCAAATTGGCAATAAGGTCAGAAGGTTGTGACATAGTGATGGACAACTCTCCTGTTTGTCGTGTAAAAATCATTTCATTAATTCCTGTTTTTCTCCTAAGTGCCTTCTATCTTGGAGCATTACACAAAATATATTATGGTTGGAATATTATTATTATTATAGGTCCTCTAAAGGGAAAAGAGAAATTCTGAGTCTACGATTTTCATGTAGACATTTTGTGTAAAAGTCTTCCTTTTGTAGACTGATGGTTATATCGTTTGGTCTATATCCAAGGCATATATAATCAAGGACTTCCATAACATTGGTTATTCCATGTTCATGTAATTTAATTCAGTTATATTGTCTAGTACTAACTGGTGAGGATATTGGAGGTCTATTGTTACATCATAGATATCAGTAAGTCCAAATTTTGGCAGTAATATTTGTTACCACTGTTAACCACATCATGAACCAAACAAAATAGGTGAGAATTTGTTAAATATTTCAGAATTTCTATATTCAACTCATTGTATTCCAAAGCACAACTGTCTTTCCAAAATATGTCTTCTCCATTGAAACAGCTTGTATATATTTCTTCTTTTTATATTCATCAGGAAATTAAAGCTAGGTACTAATAATGTACATATATTTGATGATATTTGTATTAAATCTGCAGTACCGATTTAGAGAGAGAAAGAACAAATATTTATATGTATTTTCATAGTTATAGAGACTGATGATAATGATAGTACTGTATCATTTTTGTTGTATTGGCATTAATGATTAAAAGGGATCTATCACTGAAATTATATATCTGTACATCTTTAGAAGAAGATGTTAAATTCATCCCAGATAAACTGTCTTGCTCCTTCAATTGGGTAGCAATTAAAGTATGTAAGAAGAAAACAAACAAATATCGGATTTTTAGGTGTGTAAGAAGAACAAAACAATTATCAGATTTTTAGGTCTGTTCTGAACTTTCTCAGAGTTTAACATTTAAATATTTATGCAAGCTGTTGACTCACAAGTGCCTTCAACCTTTGTTCAGAGTGTCTTAAAATTTATTTCTTTACCGAAGTAATATACCGGTATATGAAGCTGATAATTTTGGATGTTGGAGCCCTGTAACATACATCATTTCTTTTCACCAAATTCATAATATCTACCTTCAGTCCATTATGTCTCTAAAAATCAACAGTAACTTTCTATCATTTTATGTTGCAAGATAACATTCTCTGTAAGATACACTCAACTACTGTAATAATGAAGATACAAAGCTTATGCTATTGATTGTCAATTTTTATGGTAGAGGGCCGAGAGTTGAGGTCTAAACATCCAGCGCAAATCATGAATTTTGTGATGGCTCTCTTTTTTTGTAAAAATGTTATCTTATTGTATTTTTTGATGATTTAAAGCTGAGAAGAATGATTTTTCCCCTCTTTTTTAGAAGACTTTAGGCCTGAAGCAAAACTTTTTCTTTCTTTTTTTGCCTAGTACTTTTTACCTGACACAGCCTGCCTCTACTCTGTGTAATAATTTACTTCTTTACTGGCACACTATTAGCTTTTTGTCTTGCACTTGTATTTTCCTAAGTTATTTAATACATATACATGGTATTTACTTTGCTTATAAATTCCGAAACATACACATGGTATATTGCAAACTTACATATTTAAAAAGTATATTCACATCAAGGAAACTCCTTTCTTCTTCTTTTTTAACCGTAAAACATTAAAAACGTAAATAACTTGTTTACTTCTTAACACATAACCATTTACATAATAGATCAGAGGCTGTGCTATTTGTTATTATTATTATTTATCCTTAAGCTAATATTATGTATAAACTAACTTGCCAGCGTGGTGCATTTGTAAGCCTTTTTTTACTTGCTTTTTCTCATATTTATTGGGTGGGCAATTTTATTTGGTGTTCATTTTAAATGTCAAGAATAGTTTTTAAACTTCAAGATTCACCCATCTTGGTGGTGATTTAGTGAAACTGAAGAACTTGTTTTTAGGACTTTAGAAAAATAACATGAAAAGAATGATTGTAAAGTGAGTAATATACTAGAGATATTGAAAATAATGAAATGTATTATCAATTTCAGATAGTTTTGCTGAACTGTTGCTACTATTTTGTTTTATGTGAGGGTTTTCTTCCAAGCATTTTCAGTTTATTACTGATTTTTGGTGCAAGTAAGCATTATAAATACTGAAAACAGACATTAGTCTTCCAGAATATTGTGGTTAGAAAGTATTATGTATTCATTCAGCAAAGACACACAATAATTAGCACTGTAATAGCACTATTATACAAGCACAAAGCCATGCTGAAGAGCGTACTATTTTTCTTGAAGGAGTTATTTTGTATTCATGAAAGCCCTATACCAATTCTGGTATTAGGAAAAATAAGTAGTGCAACTGCCTTATAAAAGCTGAGTCTGTAATTCACTTTCCTTTGTATGTATGGTTTCTATTTCAAGAGAAAATACAGATTTTCTTCAAAGAAAGACCAGAATTATGATGGGTAGGAAAATCGGCATGGTTAAGTATGCATCATTTTCAATAAAGGCTTTTATAGAAATTTTAAATATTGCTGTAAATGAGTACTTCATTTATTAAAGATAAAGACCAGTTATGGTCATGCGATGGAATTGTGAAAGAAACGTTGTGTAATCGATCAGAAAAGGTTGATCATCTAGCATTAAGTATTGTGTGTACTGCAATGTTCTGGAATCATCAAAATGATACGAAATTTGGCCCAGTCTTGGTAAAGTTACAAGCACTGTACACAGAAAGATGTATATTGGACGTCACGTGCACGCACATGCGTTATATCTATCAGGTCCAAATAGATATAATAATTTACCAAATATATCAATTATTTGGCAGTTTCTAGGAAAATTTGTATCACATATTATTCAAAACATATTCTTTCACAGTCATGATTGGTATAAGAGCTTCCATTTCATTTTTTTGAAAGAGGGGCATTTCCAAAACTGCTTGGTCTTTACCTTTAAGCTCTTCCTGTAGAAGATTGATTGATTTCTTGAATGAAATATTGAATGTTTGACTGATTGATTGGTTAATGATAACTTGACTGATCCATTACATGATTCATTGATCGATTGAATATTAGTTGAAATCAATTGGTTGAATGATTGATCTGATTGGTTAGTTAATTAACCAATTGCATTATTAACTGCTCTTGGATTGATTGATTGGTAAACTGAGAGCTTGGTTGAGTATTTTGTTGATTGATTGATAGATTGAGTGATTGATTGACCGACCGATTGTGTTATTGATTGAAATCTATTTGTTGATTTATTGATTTTTGTATTATTCATATTCTCCTTGATTGAATGATTGACTTATTGACTGACTGGTTAGTCTGTTAATATTATTGCTCCTGATTGATTGATTGATTGGTGGATCAATATTGCTTGGGATATTGGTCATTGATTGATTTGTTGATTGACTGACTGATTGCTCAGACTATCAATTATTGATTGGTTTATTCATTGAACGAATTTGTTAAGGAATTGATTGCTGGTTCATGTTTTGGTTAATGCTGGTATACTGACTGGTTGATTGAATGATTGATTGATTAGTTGATTAGTTGATTGACAAATCGTTGAGTGATGGTCTAACTGAATGATATCGTTAAAGAATGGTTGTGCGATTGAATTTAACTTTGTAGTAGTAGCTGTCTGTCGCGAAGCGACAATGACCGCCTTCATGTTCACTTTACAGCTGTTCTCCATACAGCTCGCTGGCCTGCAGCAATTGTCCAAGTCTTTATTTCAATTTGCCTCCGCTTAAGGTTCCTCTTGATCGTGTCCTTGTATCGAAGCCGTGGACGACCAATCCCTCTTTCGCCAGCGGGTAGTTGCGAGAATAGTACTTGCTTTGGTAACCTCTCAGAGGGCATCCTGATGACATGGCCTGTCCATCGTAGGTTCTTCCTGATGAGCAGGTCCTCCATAGAAGGAAGGTTTGCTCGCTCTAGTACCTCTTTGTACTTGTACCTTTAAGATATAGGAGCTAGAGAATAAAATATTAATAAGTCAAGGCTTTCGCTCATAGAAAAGGCCCCGTATGGATTTGGTTGGTTGATTAATTATATATTTTTGTTAATTAATAAAATGCCATCAGTTCTCAATGCAGGTTTATTTTTGTTCTTTCTGTAAAAAAATATGTTTAACTTCATCTTAGCTGCATCGGGCAGATTTGGAAGTGCATAGGGCTCTCTTCTCCATCAGTGCCTATAGCACCATGATGCTGACTTGATTGGCTGTTGATATTAATAATACTTTATCGATTACTTTTTTTCTTTAAGTGGCTATGTCTCGAAATTGTCAAGTAAAAACAGACAATATAAACAAAGGAAAAAAGTCTTAATATTCAGTTTTTTGTTTTGTAAATTGTTTTGCAAATATTTGTATGGAATTGGTTATAAATAAAATTGACCTTTATCTATAACATTTTCAAATAGGTTTGTATTCAATAGCTGCTTTTCATTGGCTACACTTTAGTCAAAGAATGTATAGTGGAAGATAAGACCCGAACGGATAGGACCAAAGAAAAATCGAAGAAAATATTTATTTACCTTTATATTACGTTTCCCCATAAGTTTTTTTTTCAAAGAAATTCGATCCTATACATTTTTATTAAAGAGTGCCATCTCTTGTTAGGTTTCAAACAGCGGTCGTGGATCATTTGGATCGTCAAGTCGGAAGTGATGTTGCTAGCCGCTACGACGAACATTTGATATTTGTTGTGGATTGTAGCCTTCTTTAGGTCTTTTCTTGTCCATTAGCAGTTCGAAAGGATTGTGAGTATTTTAGTGAACCTGTATTAAAATGCTACTTTCGATCTTGTAGTTTCAAGTCTATTATTTTTCTGAGTATAAAGTGGAGTGTCGCCGCCCGGCCCGGTCCATCGGCAACAGTGCAGTGCCAGTGCACTGTGATATGAGCGACTCCGGCCGAGCTGTTGGAGGCCGGAGGCGGGGTCATTTTTGTTGATGTTGTGTCGAGCGTGGGTGAAAAGCTGGTTCCTTTGTTTTAGTTTCTTATTTATGACTTATGGCCCTGCTGTTTCTACAGACGTATTAAATCGTGTCATGCAAATACCTCCTCTTTCATTGTCTTCCAAAATATTGTGTAAAATCTGTGGAGTGTTGGCTTGCTGCTTAATTGCACTGGTCCGAGAATGAGGATCGTCCGCATAAACGAGGGTAGGGGTCTAACTTTAGGCCTATTCGCATAAACCCGGACAAATTGCATCCTAAAAAATAAGCATATTCTTCATTTTTGCGAACTACGGTTTCTGCTTTCCAATCCGCACGCTGGAGCCAATGCGAAAAAAAAATGGATTCCAGTTCACTGTCTACTTTTAATTTTATGGGTTGACGGCTTCCCAAAGATTCATCATTCATAGATCAAATGTGAAAGTCTCTGTACATAGTGAAATGCTCAGTACATAGTGAAACGCTGCTGCATCAAGGAGTATCATCGTGGAATCCGTTTTTCGCATCACGAACGCGCGGATTGGAAATGAGAATCGTCTCCGTGGACGATGCTTTCTGGGTTTTTTAGGACGCGTCTCTCCGTGTTTACAAAGACGATCCTTGTTTATGCGGGCGATTCCTTATTCTCAGCCCAGCGCCCCTACTGTCACTAATGCCACTGTTTGCTCTCACCATTTACTGGCATTGGTCTCTCAAGGGACGTACAAATCATGGTCACAAATCTACAGTATTTAAATTTTTTGATAATCATTATTGAAGGAAAAAACATTACAAGATCATAATGTGAGAGCAAATGGTGGCATGAACAGCCTGCCATAGTTGAGTCCAACTTAAAGTCGTTCTTAGTCTTTGTGAAACACTCCCCTGTTCTAAACATTGATGATGATAAATACGATAATTTCTTTTCTCTACAGTTACTCCCTAAACACCAGGTTGACTTGAGCAGTTGACCATCATAGGATGATGACGTTGTCCATAGACATGGTACTCTCCGATGCCAGGAGACTGGTAGAAAGGTTAAAGGAACACGACAGCGCAGCCGACCATCTCATCCAGGAAACAACAACGTTGAACAAGAAAATTGAAGTCATGAAAGAGGTAATCATGTCTGCTGACTGTCCTATTGTAGAGAATTAATTTAAAGGGAAAGTCCACCCTGATGTTAAGTTGGTTGTAGTGGAAGCAGAAATTGAGAACAACGAATCAGTGGAAGTTGACCACCGTTCACTATTCATATTATGATATTGTAAATCCTAGATTCCTGTTTATGTGAGACTTTAAGCAATCAGAAACACGACTATAATTTTTATATTTTCAGTACCAAGAAGAGATCGAGGAGATGAACAACATCGCCCGACACCGGCCTCGCTCTGCCCTCATCCTTGGTATACAGCAGGAGAATCGACAGATCAGGGAGCTACAGAAGGAGAACCAGGAGCTACGGGTGGCCCTGGAGGAGCACCAGTCGGCCCTGGACCTGATCATGAGCAGCTATCGGGACCAGGTCTCGAGGCTGGTCAACGCTAACCAAGCCGAGAGGGACAACATGCTCGCTAATCAGAAGACGCTGGACTTTGAGCAGGTGATGTGTGGTTCCAAAGCCAATGTAATAGACTGGTTTACTATGATCTATCATATTCAAATTTTAGGCGTACTGTTTGAAGAAAAGCTTTCCTGAGGCTTGCAAGACAAAGCAAGAAGTAATGTATGCTGACTGGACTTTTGTGATAAACAGCTTTCAAGAATTGTCTTTCGCAGTATGAAATTTTGGTGAAGCTGAACAAGTCGCAATATCTATGGAAGTCTCTTGTGCAATTGCATTAAAACTATAAACAAATATCAAACGTCATATCCACACTTTCAATTCCATCTGTACTCTTGATAAGCCTTTCATTGAGTACTACGCTTCAAAAGGGTTGGTTTTCAGCAGCATTAATGTAGATGTAGAAGCTAAAGGATTAACATCATTTTATTCCTTTCATTATCTGTGATTGGCAGGACCCGGCAGTCACTTCCATCGAAAAGATCATCGAGATGGCCGCCGTCATGCAACGAGCCATCAACGTCGACGAGCAGACCTCATACGACGTCGAGGAAACCCTGGCGCGGCTACAGATGGAGAACCGTGGCCTTCGGGAACTCCTGCAGATCTCCAGGACGACGCAGGCCAGGCATCTACCCACCTACGGCAGCGAGGGGAGTGTGGACTTGGGAGAGAGGGAAAAGGGGAGAGACGATGATGCGGAGAAGGACAACGAGACGAGCGAGAGTGACAGTGATAAGGACACGTCTGTCATTCACGACACGACTATCATACAAAAGGATAAGAACGGTGTACCGTTGAATTGATCGGGTGAACTGTGATGGCAGCAGAGACTGTCATATATCAACTCCACTTTATCCTCATTATGATGAACGCTACACGAGGAAGCGCTACATGTTTGAGTTACTTGAGTAAGACAACATGAACTGATCGTTGGAAAGGATTACAGTAAATTGTTTAGCTACCCATTGCGTCCTGCATTTATATTTATATATTTATATATCTCAACAGGCCCAATGCAAGAAAGTCAATGCAGATCGTTTATTGTACAATGTTAAATTGTTAATTGTCCTCTTCAATAGTTAGTTATTTTGTAAAAACAACTGACATCACCAAATTGTATCTAAAAATTATGATTTAATTTAATTTTCATATATTCCAAAATATCTATAGGTTATTTAACGTTAGATTTATACTCAACATAAATGTGTTTGTAAGATAAATAGAGGGTTCAATGAACCATATTAGCACAAACTGGAACATTTGTTTTAAATTAAAAAGGAAAGGTATGGTGTAGTCGTCAGCGAGATCTATTCTGTGCTTCAAGTTTATCAGCTTGTGAAAAAACAAGAATAGGAGCAATTCAGCCGTTTTTGTGTATCTAAAGTAAGTTTGGTCCCAAATGATTAAAAATAGGGTCGTGTATCATCCCTGGGGGCCGGTTTTGGAGGATCAACACAATTTCATTCACCTATTTATTACCTTCAGGCTTTTAATAGCCATACCCATGTCAGGAGTGTGTTTCCCTCTGGTTTTCTGAAGTCCCCAACTATTGGTACAGTCAAACCTGCTTAAGTGACCACCTGTCTACAAAGACCACGTTTTTGTTTTCCTTCAAAATGGTTTCTCATCGGGACATGTACTAAAGAATTCAAAGGAACCTGCCTACAAAGACCACTTTTTGTGTTTGGGTGGTTGCTAAAGACAGGTTTGACTGTATTAACACCAAGTTTGTAATGCCCTGGTCACCTGCCGAGAACCCTATATGCATTCGATGTGTCAGTTGAAAAGTTTCCTTTTAGCTATAATTTCTATCGGTGGTTTGTAGTAGTTGAAATTAGTGATCACGATTGCCAAATGCTGCTCTGGTACAGAAATGTGTATGTTTTTATCAAATTAGACAAAAATGTTGTTAGGGGTGTAAGGCGATTCTGTGCAATGTGTCCCGTACTACAGAGCATAGGTCTTTCTTTCCACTTAAATGTATTTCATTGAAAAATGTATTTCATCCAAAAATAATAAGTATTTTGATGTGACCAAACAGTTATCGCATTGGACACATTGTACAGAATCACCCACTGGCATACATGTAAATGCTATGCAGTGCTGGTGTAGGACAGGTGAAAATACCAGAATTTTAAGTTTTAAACTTGTCAAAACATATAACGGTACACAACGACACGACAGCTATGTGTATCGGTACATATAGCTCTACTTTAGGCTTATTTATGTGTGTGTGAATGTTACAGTATGTTTTTTGTGATTTTGCTCTGGAGACAATTGCTCCGATGTTATTTTGTCAGAGGTATAGGGATAAATGATTATGGTTGAAATTGGGTAGCATCTTAGGTTTTGGGTTAGGTAAAGTGTTTGGTGTAGGAAATCGGAGGTGGAGCTATTGTGGTAGGAGCACAGCTCATGACCTGACTATGACCAGATTTTGAAAAAACTTGCATCAGGGTTGGATTTAAATATGAAGATTTCCTCATTATTGAGGTCCAGAAGTATATGAATTCAATTTTTTTTTACATGGATCACTTGTTTCAGTATGGACTTTCTTCACCTTGGTCGGGAGCGATCTACATATTGCAACGTCCAACTCTTAAATCGTTTTGCAATTTGTTGAAAATTTAGCTGTAGTCGTGTCATGAGGGAGGCTTGATCCACAGTTGTAAAATATTTTATCGAAATATAATGTATAATTGTACAAATGAGAGCAGTTGATAAATAGTACATTGAACTTGTACATTAAAACCTTTTTTGAGAAGAAAAAGAAGAAGATTATCTCCATGTTGCATTGTTGTTCATCAGGTGTTGTGGGAAAATGGGCAAGCTTTTTTTTTTTAGCTCTGGAGGGGGGGGGGGGGAAGAGGGAGGAGGTAGGAGGTGGATGAGAAGAGGAGAGGTACAGTGGCGGATCTTGGGGTAAGGGATCTCCGTGTTCAAGGGGGAGGGGGATGCTTCCTCCATAGTCCAAACATCACTTTACAAGCACAAAAAAAACAAAACAAACTTTCCAGTTTCCTCTTTCAGCCAAGGACCTTTACATGTAACATGGAGTTGCTGACGTGTCTCGAGTTGGATATGTAATATAAAATCAATCAATTTTTGCGCTGGAAAAACTTTCATTGCTTCTTAACAACTGCTGATTTTATAGCTAGAATTGTTTCATGAAAATATTTTAATATGCTGGAATTATTTGCAGAATTCTTTTTTTGTTTGTTTTATATTTCATTAACAAAATTCAAATGCCTAAAAATACCCAGAATTATCAACAACAAAAATAACATCAACAAGAACAAAAACAAAGAAACTGATTGAATTTTTTATCAAATGATTTTATTATGTTGCGTGTATCAAAACATACAAAAAGTAAATATTCTCTTAATAGAAAATTTGTCACTTGCTGCAAAGATTGTATTTCATATCGTTAATTGAAAAGTGCAAGAGAACAGATCATATTATTTGCAAGTTAGAATGCACATAAACATAAGGATTAACATTATGAACCACAACGTTATCAATGAAAGTTAAGAGAGATTAAAACACATTATGAACCACAACGTTATCAATTAAAGTTAAGAGAGATTAAAATACTTGTTATATAGAGCAAAGACAACAATAAAATAGTTCTCTGTGGAGAAAATATGAAATGGAATGGAATGGGTCCAAGAAAATCAGTGCTGCAGGCTCGGTATAAACTGTTGAGCAACATACATATTCTACATAGGTCGAGTTGATGGTCATCTGTATGAGATCAAAATTACTTGAGAACGAGATGTAGAGGGAGGGGTGGCTTCTAAGAACAACACTAGTTACTGTATTTGGCAAGTAATGATGGCCGTGGATACGAGTGATGAAAAATGAAGAGAGAAATGAGAGAGAGAGGGGGTGAATTATAAATAGGTGGAGATGGGGGATTGTGGATAGAATGAGAGAGAGGGGGGGGGGGAAGGGATACAGATAGATAGACAGAGATAAGGAGGGGTGAAGAGAAAAAGAAGGAAGAGAGAGAGGGAGGGGAGAAAGAAAAGGCGATTTTCTTATTACCGGATATAACTTTTGGCACATTTAAATTCGAAGCTTTAATGTCCAATCATTATTACAAGATGGAAGCACTTAGTATTAAAGTAGTTCAAAAATGTGAAAATAAAATTGATTGCATTGTGCATATGAATTCACTACTGCCTTGACACATGTTTACACTGCCCAATAGGGACCCGTTTCACAAAGCCTTTTTTCAATGACAAATGACAAATATCAGTGACAAATCTGCTGATAACCAACCAGACGCAAGGATTTCAGTAGCTTATAACAAAAACTGTCACCTGTTACTGATGACAAGTTTTGTGAAACGCCCCCCAGTTATCTTGATGTCATAACTTTAAGAAATGTAAGAAATGATATGAACCGATACTAAAAACATGTACGTATAAGTACTAAAATATTGCGTCCATCATCTTATTAACTCTTTATGTGCGACACAAATAATTTCCCCATGCCACATTGTCTATATCATGGAATAGATATATACCAAAAGGCTTCAAGAATATCAAACTGTTTCCAGTGCAAAATTAATCTATATCAGTATCAAAAAGGTTGTCATGGAATTAATGAAGACCAGAAATGGGTAATTTGCAAAGCCATTGTGTTACACAAAGCAATCCTTCCACTCAATTGGTGCCTATTGTTTTTGTGCAAAATTACATGTGTAGCAAATGAGCAGCTGTGCAGAAAGGCTAAGGAAGCAATGAAAGAGTTAATAATGCTGTTTACATATAACAAACTGTAAAAGACATGCAAGAAAAATATTGCAACATTATACATTTAAGTACTAATTCTTATATCCATAAAATACCTTATCACAAATGAAAAAATATGTGTATAAACTTAAACGCTGCATAAAAGAAGTTAATTTTACAAAATGTGTAATAAAGTTCAAATAAATTGAAACTTAAAGTAGAAAACTTGAATCTATCATTGATTGTATTGATACCAAGAAATATGTTAAGTAAACTGAAAATCATAGACCAAGAAATATTGAACCCTGCACAAAAAAAAGAATATGTATGAATGTATATTATATAAATAAAGTTGAGATGCAAATTCATCAATATTGTGATGAACGTATGTTTCTTGGACACATTAAAAATACATATACATGTACTATGTATATGTAAGCTACATTTACTACTTGTTGATGTATTGAATTGCAAAATATAAGAAAGTTAAATGTTCTTTAAAGGCCAACAAATCATTTGATTTCTTTCTCGAGTAACTCACTATTGCACTATAAAAATAATCAGTTCATAAACAACAAAGAATGAGAATTCAAGAAAAATTCCTCAAAACCAAAGTTTTCAAAAAGTTCTCTCCTGCGTAGTCTTGTCATTTAGCTGTTGTACGCCTAAAATCTACACAAAATTAACAATCAAAATTATTTTAAAAACTTAATGAAACAAAGAGTTGTAAATTCCTATAATTTACATGAACATCAATATAATTTTTAAGTAGCTTCATCTTAATGTAACTTAGCCTCACCATAAAATACATGTGCATGATATACATAAGATAAACGAATTGAAGAAGAAAAAAAATCTTTATAATTATACTCCAGAGTTGATAATGATACTTCATATCTAAAATATTAATTTTCACTCTTAATCATGATCTTTCCATAATTTAAAATTTAATTACCTTTATTCATAAGAAATATAAAAAGTTAAGGCACAATTCACTCAATTTGTGTTAATATATACATTATTATTTAGAAAAAACAATAATATGTGTCCATTTTTAGAGAGCAGCTACATACTAGTTCTCTATTGTGCTTAATATAGAGTATCATACCATTACATTGGCTGTAGCCGAGCTGCCACAATAAGGCAATAAAGCTGAAGCTATTAAAATGTTCTATTGTGCACATGAACATGTATAGCATACACAGAATATGTTATTAGAATAAATGTGCAAGATGGTCGACTTTGTTAGAGTCGACAATCCCCAATTAATACGTACCGGTAGGCCTACACATCTTACAAATATGGTTTGTGTGATGTTCGTGGATTGTTATGTCAATTTGGCACAATTTTTTGAGTTACGACACATTTTAAAATGAGAGAGAATTGATATACTTTGAAATTTCAGCTACATCTGTAGGCATAAATTCATGTTTCAATTTCAGAGCAATACCGCTCACCGTTCTCATTGATTTTCATTCACTGTTTTTGTTCCCTCATAAGCAGTATCAAAAAATTCTTTAAAATATCAAGGTGAAAAATCAAAATGCTTTTAAAAACTGTTTGGCACTGTACGTATCTTCTGATTCAGAATGTTCCCCCCCCCCCCAAATATCCACGAGAAGAAACAGCTTCACGAACAGTTAGCAACTAAATTGTCCATATAAATTTTGTACTACTCATGATGATGGGTCACTTGTTTTCTGTTCTATTCTTAAAAGTTTCTGCCACGGCTGACTGAGCACTAGCATTTCACAACAATTTCTCACAATCATAAACTGCATGACTCTGCAAAGCAAAGTTGCCATTTGTGAGCAAGAATTCCGCAGCTAATATTTACACAAAATTGTTCAAGTACACATGGTATAAGGCACAGGTACGTGTATGAAATGTTCTTTAAGTACAATATTTATAAGTAGAATAAGTGTCCAAAGTTTAAAATTGAAGACATTCAAGAGACATCCTTCTATACGTCTTATGCTGCCTTGTGTACTAGTTTTTTCTAATAATTTGATTAACATACATGATATCTCATTAGGAATGTGAGAGCATAAGAAATAATGCCTTTGGCTACTTTGTAGCAGAGACATGACAATACATTTTTTTTCAATTTGAGGAAGCAAAGCCGATTCATTAAGCATGTCAGAACAAACTTTCCAGCAACTCCACGAAGTTACAATTGTGCGCAGGAATTCCCGAGCTAATCCACAACGATAAGTGGATCTCTGTCACTGTCGTTCTTTTTTTTTTCCAATTTGAGAAAGCAAAGCTGATTTATTAAGCATTTCAGAACAATTTTCCAGCGACTCTGCGAAGTTGCCAATTGCGAGCAACAATTCCAGAGCTAATCAACAACGATTAGTGGATCTCTGTCGTTGTCGTTCATTTCGGCCGCGTTGAGGGTCGCCGTTGGGTCCTCCATGGGGCGTTGAGCCTGGCGCTCACGATCCTCGAAGCGAGTGCGGTTGCGCAGGGCTTTCTCGTGGTTGCGCTTCAGGAGTCTCTCCTTGAAGCCGCAGAGCGGGAAGTCACGGCGCCCTCTGGTGAGGCGGCGCTGAACGAGGACTCCTGCAACGATCAACACGAACCAGACCCCGATGAGGAAGTAATCTGCAGAGGCATGAGAGAAGAAAATAGAAATAACAAGATATCTATCAAAATATGACCTTTGACCCTATAAAAGATGGAACACTTGAAGCAGCACCACCCAAATCTATAGGTGTGTAGATTATACCAAGACACACCTCCATACAAAATTTGAACAAAATCTGTCAAGGAATGTGGCAGTTAGAGCGCACACAAGAATATGACGCTGCTGATTCCAAAGTACCCCTCCGGCATACTGCCAGGGAATACAATAATTTAATGCTAACCCTTGCCTTTCCTTTGGAAACAAATCCTTCTTGATAATAGCTGACTCAATTAACCTCATTAGACTTTGTCACTTTTAACATTGGTTTGTTTGGTTTACCTGAATTACCACCAAAACAAAATATGTAACCTAAGATTGAGATTTTAACAATACAAATAATACCCTTGTTTGAAGTTTGCATGAAATGAGAACGATATCACATATGTTGGTGACATCACTGACATTGCCAGCTTTCAGATTTTATTTAAATTTTTTCTGAAAAGATCATTTTAGCAATATGTTTTCATGTTTTTTTAATTAAATTTAAAAAAGAAGAAGCAAGAAGCCTCAAAAAGGAAAACAGGTGGGGAAGCTAATCATGATTTTTTTAAAAATAATTTCGCCAAATGATCTATCATTAGTTTCATCACACTTACCAACAGGGTTCATAGGCACAATGACGTAAGCCTCGCTATATCCAGGTATGTAAGATCTGTGGATTACATTGAGAACAATGTAATGGAGAACCCCGCCCGAGTAGTAGCTGATGGCGGCTATGACGAGATAGCTGCCCCATGCTGCACAGGCAAGCATACTCAGCTGAAAAATAGAAAGAAAAGACATAATTTGATGTTGCTATGTCAGGTAAATTTCTAACAATAATATAGAAAATAATACTAGCTTTGAGTTGGCTTCCTCATACAGCATATGTAAGCATGCTCAGCTGACAGAAAAAGAAGACATAGATTTATCCAGTGAACATAAGATTGAGCTGCTACAGGTGCTATGTTAGATAGCTCTCAGGCAAGACCATAAAGTCGGCAAGCTTACTCAGCTGAAAGACAGAAAGAAAAGCAACAATTTGATGTTGCTATGTTGGGTAAACCATTAACAAGATCATAAGATAAGCTAATATCTATAATGTGGTGGTTCTTACTCGAATCAACAAATATAAATATTGTTTGATCTTTATTTCATTCATCATAACAACATATAAAATACAACACATAGTGTACAAGTTAAAGAAAAGTATTTTCAATAGAATACAACAACAACAAAAATGCTATATGAATGTGGAGACAGCTTTATTGGTGCTGCCACCGAAACAAAAATAAAGTATGATATCAGTTGTTGTTTCTTTGAAGTATATGCTTTACCTAAAGGCTGCTAGGTCCTAGAAATATAGTAGTAGGCACATTAGAAATACAACGTAATATTAACATAAGTGTAGGCAGAACATTTTGTTTTCTTGTATAGATCGAACAAAGTTATTGATAAACTTTAAAGAATTGGTTTAGTGATGTTAGGTTTACGAACAAGTTGTCTACTACCCAATCGGTCTATTCCCATTTGGTCTCTACCCAGCCTGTATACTATCCTAGATCATGGTCTAATAATCATTTAATCATGAATAATAATAATCATTAAATGATTATTACACCATATTGATGGTAGACGAAGTGGGCATTAGACAAATGTAGAATCAGACCAACTGATTATAATAAATAAACAATAGACCAAATGGGTAGTAGACTCATTGGAGATTAGACCATATGGAAATTAGACCAAGTGACTACTAGCCTAAATGGTCATTAGACCAAATGATAAGTAGACAAAATGATTATTAGACCATGTGAATAGTAGAGGAGCTGGGTGTAGACCAAATGGGAATAGACCGACTGGTTGTAGACTAAACGGCAATTCCTAAGAATCAGCATGGCTACAGATACTAATGTATAACAGGCGCAAATACAATGAAATCATATTACGATATTAACTTGTGGAAATAAACTACCCTTCTTTTTACAGATATGATATCATGTATCCTGAGATGAATAAATCCCTTCTTGCAACATCGTTCACTATAATTATTAATTGGTAGGAAACCGAAACTCATCGATCAAGAAAAGGTATTCACTTACCGCAGATCATAATAATGGACCTAATTAAATGGGCGACAATAAAAGCCAACTGACGAACACATCAGATCCTATTATTGATACCATCAATAACAGTTCAAATGTTCTTTCACTTTTTATCTTTACAATTAGCACTAGCTTAATGGGACGTGTTCATTTTTTTTTACTGCAATTAAAGAAAGGCATGGTATTATTACTTTATTGACAGTGGGATGGAGGCATATTTTTATATCTGTCTAAAAGAAAGGTGAAGAAAAAATGAATACAAATGAGAAGAATGGAGTGTTGGTGGGATGGGGGGATGGTTGGTAGAGAAAGGGGGCTGGGAGGGAAGAGAGGAAAAAGAGAAAGGAGAAGAGAGATGAGAGGAGAAATGAGAGAGGGATAGAAAGAAGGGAGTGAGAGAAGAAGACAGAGAGGGAAGAAAAGGAGAGGAGAAGAAGAGAGAAAAAAGAGGAATATGAGAGAGGGAAAAAGAAAGTCAGTAACACAAAGAGAAGGAGAGACAGATGGTGAGAGAGGGCGAGAGAGGGGGAGTGGAGAGACATGCAGAGACAGAGGGAGAGGGAGAGGAGAGGAGAGAGAGAGGGGGGGGGGTATAGAAACACGAAGAAAGAGACATATAGGTAGAGACAGAAGGGAGAGAGGGGAGAGAGAAAGAGAAAGACAGAAAGAGATTGGAGAGACATATAGGGAGAGACATGGGTGAGGGGAGATAGAAAGAGAAAGATAAAGATACAAGGAGGGGGGGGGGGGGGGGAGTCAGATAGGGGAGAGACAGAAGGGGACAGAATCACAGAAAGTCTTGAATTCAAATCCTTGTCTCTTGACTAATGTCCCCCCCCCCCCCCTCCATTATTTGCCCCTTAGTTACTTTCGCAAGTACTGTGTATTTATAAACACTAAATGTTACATCTTTTTTTCCTTTTGCTGTAGGCTTTCCAACTAATCGTTGTAAATAGAATTACGGTGTGATTGAACTCAAAAGATTATTTGTATCCTCATTATGTCAGCATACGCAGCTAAACTACATTTTATATTTCCTGTAACGCTTGGCTCTTTCTCTCTTTCTCTCTTTTCTTCACTGCTCTACCAACCTCCTCTGCCTACCTTTTAGTCCTCTTCTACTCTCTTGCTCTGTCGGCATCGTCATTGTACAAATCTGATTTTGTGTAACCTACCCCAAAAAAGCTGTTATAACTTTATTTCCCCATTGATGTAATTGTCTATGATTCTGATTTTTGTAAATTGATCTCTAAACATTTACAAATGAAAAAACATATAAACAATTAATTTCAACTTTCATATTTCCTGTTGACTTTATACCAAAGCTGTCTGGTCGAGTATACATTACAGATATATAAATGAATACAAATATAACGGTTAAAAGATATAAAACTGTACTTTGTATACCTTTGTTAAACAGGGAAGTAAGTAATACACCTAAATGTTCGAGCTCCTAAAAATGGCTAAATATTGCAATAATTATGATATCTGCCATTCTTTTTCTGGTGTAAAGACCGAAGTTCTCCTCACACTTCGGTTACGTGTATGTTGCAAGCACATGAATACTGCGGTTGCATCGTCCGTAGCTGTATCACACCTGATTGGCCCCGGGAAAGACACATAGTCTTGTCATGCTATAGCCCCTTTAACTTTTCCACGTCAAAATTTGCAACTGTATTAATTTCTACTTCAGATCTACTTTTGATCAAAACAGCACTCATCATCATCGCTCATCATCCCCTCTGCACAGTCTTGTCAAGTATATCCTATTACTTTCTACTTTCACTTCTATACTTCCTTGGGCAGGAAGTAATGTCTATTTTGAGCACATCTATGTGCTGTTTCCTGAAAAAACACAAATCTCATTTCATTTCATTTAAGCCTATTCTTAAACACACAATGCAGATGAATTTTATGTTTATCACGTTTAGAAGATCCTGTCTAATCTATTTGTGGCTCTCTCATCTATTAAAGTGAAAGTGATTTTAACCCCTAAATATAGGCCTGTCTTCGTCAGCTTGAGTTTGCCAAATAACCCCCTTTTTTCAAACTTGGGATGTTATCCTGAAGCTCAAAATTGCGTTTTCACAAGACCGTTACGCTCACCACAAACTAGCTCGGACGGGCAAAAATTAGCCCGCTTTTTCCCAAATAGCAGGCTACTTTAGAAACAAGACCAAGATTTCTTGGTATATTTTCTCGACCAAATATCCCACTAATTGCAGCCACGGGCTGATGAAAATACAAATTAACTGGTTAATTTGCATTCAGGATATTTGAAATAGCGGAAAAAACTACACACACCTGGTAGAAAAGCAATATACATTAATTATCACAACTTCACTCATTCCTGCCAACTTTTTACTTCAGGAAGATAGACAAGTTCGGTCTCTGTTTAATATACATCACTAATCACTCAGAGACATTTATATATATGTGACTCTTGATAAGAATGAGTGCAGATTTTTTTCTTTCTTCCCAGGTAAACTTAGAGCCAGCAGTTTTCTAGTTTTTGATACTTACCAGCTTGGTGAAGACGATGAGGATGACTGGAACTATCATCACACCGCACATGTACGCCATACCGTAGGCCAGTGACCTGTACCACACATTCAAATTACCTACAAACAGGAAGAAAAAAAAGACAAAATACACTTTAAAGCGATACTGAACAGATGAAATTTCTGCCCTAGCGTACTGTTTATTGCACAGTGCCATCTCATGGTCTACTTTCCAACAGTGCATCACCCAATACCTTATTCTAACTACCGGTATGCAGAAAGAGGACTTGACATATTTTTTTCAACAAATCAGGACGGGTCAGGCTTCCAAAAGTAAAAACAAATAGATTTAGGGGGTCATTCCTCATACGTGCCATGACACTACACAACGACAGGTTCAGGAGGTAATTGTTAATTATTTATTTATTATTTATTATTAGTTACAGAATCAGTTATTAAGGATATATGGATGTACTGCATAATTATTTAAACTCTTGTAATTTGCCCATAACTGTATAATGATATCACCAGTTGTAATTTGTGTGTAATTATGTTTCTATACCAAAGCCTACACTGTATACCAGTCTGTACTCATATTCTATTGTGTGTTATATTTATTCCTGGTTTTGTACTTTGTATAAATTGATAGTACATGTATGTTAATTGATGTTATATAAATTGAGAAACAGCCGGAAAATGACTTTTATGCCATGTAAATGTGCATGATCAATAAAATTGAACTTGAACTTGAACTTGATGCGAGGACTAATAGTGCAGCTAGAGAAGCAGCGAGTTATGGAACCATACTGCCACAGCTGACCCGAGATGGCACTTAAGGAGATTTTGCAGTAGTGCTTCTACTACAGTATGGCTTTAAATGCCTTCTTTGTTCACTTTGTAAATTATGCATAATATTTTATGTCATATACTCTATATAAGGAAGACATTGACTTATAAGAATGGAATTCTTAGATTCATATTTCCTATCACTAAATAAAGTGTACCATCACACTTTCTGAATGATATTCAAGAGCTATTAAAATGATCAAAACGAGTCACAAGAGATCTTTCGATCCAATGGCCAGCACACTCTATTGTTCTCTAGTTCAAGGCTTTTTTTCTCATGATTTGACCCTGTTAATTCCTGGTATTTCAACATGGCATTATGGTGAAGTTTATGTAAGCATATCTCTATAGAGTAGAGAATCTCTTTTTTTGAAAAATCAGTTCAAAACTTGATCCATGTGAGATTAGTGGCACCGAGTCACATGCATACACGTACACACACATGTAGGACCTACATCTCCCAGTCCTATCCGAGGGATTCTTACGGTACTCACCGAAGGGCGTGAAGAAGACGATCGCAGACAGGAGGAAGCCCAGAGTCAAGGAAACCCACATCATGATAGGAAGGACGTAGCCCCAGCGCCACCAGAGGGCCACCCACATCAGGCCTCCAGGGATGCCAAACACAAGAGCCATTGCCAGGATGACTGGAAAATAAAACGGATTTTCAGTTGATTTTGATTGTATATATATTTTGATGGTTTAACTCATATATGAAAATAAGACATAAAACAGGCTTTTAAAATCTGTCAGCACTTAAATGCTTGGAATGGTATACATAGAGCCAATTCATTGCTTTGTGACGATTTACATTCACTTAAAATTGAATAAATTATAAATATTATAGTTGGGAGAATTCAGGAATAGATCAGATCAATTTTTCCCAATTTTTAGCATTAATAATGGTATGTTTTCACTCAAACTTTCAGATTATCTTTAATTGTACATCTATCATTAAAGTCACTACCTTAGCACGATTTTCTCTCATCTGAACAATGTTACCAAGTCCCTTTAAAAAATGACTAAACTTGGTAAGGGTATAAATAATTCAGTTGTTAACTACAAATGTAATGAAAGCAAGTCTTTTTTTCTTTTGGATCAAAATCAATGACCCATGCACAAAATCTCTAATTGTATCCTCAATTTCTCAAAGAAATTGACATAGCTTGATCTTTAAAAATTTCTCTAAGACTGTTCTCACCTGGTTGTGAGAGGGAGGTGTTCGCGGAGAGGATCATGATCGAGAACAGGCAGAACGGAAGGTATCCAAAGAATAGGAGCTCTGCAAATGTAACCAAAAAAACCAAAAAGATAGCCAAGTAAAAAATTAGGTCAGAAAGAAATATATTTCATAAATTAGTTATCAAGAACATATGTTACAAATTATTGTATTTCAATACCGGTAGTCAGAATGAGAATTGGATACATTAATTGATGACGTCACACTTCACCACTCTATGTAACAGTATAGCTTGTCCTACCTAATGCATTTTACTTGCTCTCTGACTGTCGGAATACATTTATTCATAAAAGGTGTTTTGTAACGAGGCACTTATCAAAGATATATGCATTAAATTTGATTACATTACGAAAATGGCCTATTACTGTTATTTTTGTGTAGAATATCTGTTATTGGTACTGTCATCTGTCTATGTAATGCTGATGCACGTTTTATTTACTGTATTATTTCAATGAACTGTATTGTTTCAATGATATTTCCTTATGGACTTTCCTTCCTTATTCAATCTTTTTGTTATTCTTTTCATGAAACGTGCTAGTCCAGAAGGATATAGTGATATATCACAAAAATAGCATACATAAATATATTTTCTGTGTGAAGCTAGAAAGGCGTGTTCCCTGACAAGCATGGCTTTAACTCAAATGCCTCCATATTCTAAATATGACAAGTAACAGTTTTCAAAATGAGGACCCAGTTTTTATGCCACATGTTTGTGTAGTCCCATATGCATCTTTCTGTGTACAGTACTTGTTACTTTTACCAATACTGGGCCACATTTCTTATCATTTTGATGACTCCAGAACCTTGCAGTACACACCAATGCTACGTGATCAACCATTTCTGATCGATTCCACACCGTTTCTTTAATTTAATTTAATTTTATCTTTACCTGCATGAAAAAAGTGATGTCCTGTGAAGCACATCACCGCTCCTATGATCATAGCCGCAGCAAAAACTATTCCATATAAAGGTTGAACTGTACAGAAAGAAAGAACAGTGAGTCATTACTTAAAGCCTGTCTGCACTAGTTTGGCCAGGAGGGATTAGACCTCCCTGCAAGGTCACTGACAGGTGGTTATCTCAACAAATCAGCTCTCAATTAACATAAGAAAAATAGAGCACCATGAGTGATCAACGGGTACCGCTTAAGCTACAGTCCCATATACGTCCCGGACCGTCCCGGACCCCATCCGGGGTGATCTGGGATTCGGTCCGTGTTGACACCGTGTTGGCACCGGGGTGGTCCTGGATGGTCCTGGGTGGTCCTGGATGGTCCTGGATGGTCCTGGGCGGTCCGGGAGTCGACCCTGGATGTTTTTGACGGTCAAAAACTGCCGGGGTGGTCCGGGACAATAGTTTGATCCGGGGTGATCCGTGTAGCCACCGTGCTGGGTCCGGGGTCATCCGTAGTGGCGCCGGGGCGGTCCGTATTGATCCGTGGCAGTCCGGGAGTGAGTTATTGACCCCGGATCACCCCGGCGCCCCTACGGATGATCCCGGACCCAGCACGGTGGCTACACGGATCACCCCGGATCGTTCCAGGATGATCCGTGTTGGCACCGGGATGGTCCGGTGTCATCCGTGTTGGCACCGTGTTGGCACCGGGGTTGTCCGGGACGGTCCGTGGCGGCTCCGTGCTGGGTCTGGAATGATCTTTACTGCTGCCGGGGCTATGCCCGGAAGGTCCGGGGCGGTCCGTAGTGGTACCGTGTTGGGTCCGGGGAGACGGTCGGCGGTTGCGATTTTTTGAACAAAACATCCCGGACCATCCCGGATCACCCCAGACCATGGTCCGGGATGGTCCGGAGTGGTCCGTGCTCGTCCGTGCTGGTCCGGCTTTATATGGGACTGGGGCTTAAGGCATTATGGCATTATATTATAGAGGGCGCAAGTAGCTACAAGTAGTGCAGTCCCACTTTAAAAGATCTTTTGGATGTACTGTAGGTGTGGACTATTTCAATTCTAAAAATCATGTACACTTCATAAGAAAATTCGCATTTGGCAAATTAATGTTCATCTACATTTCCTTATACATGTACATGTAATTCACAGGAAATATTAGATCTGGGGAGTGTTTCACAAAGACTAAGATCGACTTTAAACTGGACTTACATATGGCAGGCTGTTCATGCCACTGTTTGCTCTTACCATTATGATCTATAGACAATATTTTTTTTTTCAATAATGAATTATCCAAAAATATAAATTCTGTAGATTTGAGACCATGATTTGTACGTTCCTTGAGAGACCAATGCCGGTAAATGGTAAGAGCAAACAGTGGCATGAACAGCCTGCCATAGTTAAGTCCAACTTAAAGTCAATCTTTAATAGTCTTTGTGAAACACTCACCTGGGATCCAAAACATTATTTTGCAAGCCAAAAAGTAGGAATAATTCCTGCGGAATAGGAATGGTTGGCAGCTGTGATAACCAAAAAATGATCACCGATATCTCACAACATGTACTTTGTTCAAATCTATCATTTTGTTCTTGCTCAAGAACTATTAAATAAAATATTGTTTGAAAAAAAAAAAATAAATAAATAAATGATAAAATAAATCTGTAAACTCACCCCGACCATAGCACAAACTCCCATGGCTGTTCCCACAGGCATACGTGACTCTGGGTATGTACGGCGACATGGCTCCGGTTATTGAATTTCTCACTATCGTGTTCAGGATGACCCCACGGCCGTTAAACATCGCCAACCTCAGCTCCAGCTTATCGTTCTTCCCAAACATATGAATCTAAAATGAACAAGGAACATCCTTAAAGGCACCTTTTCTACTTTTAGTGATAACCGTTAAACATCGCCAACCTCAGCTCCAGCTTATTGTTCTTGCCACACATATGAATCTAAAAGGAACAAGGAATACATCCTCACATGAACCGTTTCCATTTTACTGATGTTTTTGCATTGTCTTTTGATCCGGAATGCTAGGAATCGCACATTAAACAATAAGAGGAAAATTTTAGGCCATTTCTAATGAAGTACGTTGTGCCATTATCAAATAAGAGTGATTTTTATTGTAACTGATCATTGACATCTCTAAATTGGCAATGCAGAGTAATGTAAAATCACTAGTTTTGTGTATTAATTGGCAATTTGTTTGCGATATTTTGCAATTTTCTTTCGCATTGGTTTACTTAATAAATATTGTCCTTTTCAGTTATAAAGATGGCATGATGTAAGCATTTCAGAATTAAAAAAAACTGATCATGATAAAATAAGGTTTCTCTAATCCTCCAAACAACAGGTATTTTTTTGTGTGCTCACCTTACGGCCATGTTTCATGATGCCTTCGACGGTCATCATCTTCTTCAACTCGCCAAAGAGGGAGTCCTTGGAATACATGTTCCATGGGATGAACATGATGTAGAAGTCGTAGCGAAGCACGCTGCGTTTGGGAGCGGATGAGTCGCAGTCAGGCGGGTTCTTGTCAAAGCCCACGTTTGCCAGCGAGAACGTGACATTGATGAGGACGTTCTCAACTTGATAATGAATATTAAGGTTGGGATTTAATTCCGGGTTGGTCTCCATGTTGCATGATCCTGGGACAGGCACTATATGGTGATAGATAGGGAGAGAAGAACAATTTTTTGGTCAGGCTGCCAAAGAATATTTCATTTATATGTTTTTTTAAAGCCCAACTGCACTACTTGTAGCTACTTGCTCCGTCTACCGGTATATAGAAATCAATGCCTAAGCGGTGCCCATTGGTCCCCCACGATCCTCTTTTTCCTATGTTAATTGAGAACTGATTTGTTGAGCTAACCACCTGTCAATGACCTTGCAGGGAGGTCTAATCCCCCTGGCCAAACTAGTACAGACGGCCTGTAAAACAGTTTATTGACAAGAAATTATTTGTGACTAAATAAATTGTTTCCAGATCCAGAGCCACATGACTGTAATTCAATGAATTCACATATCTGCACTTCATATTTTTACACACAATTTTACGGAGATGGAATAGAGGATGTAAAGTTCCATCATTCTATAATATATCCCAAGTTGGCCACCCAATATTCAAATATGTATCTTCTTTTTCATCTTCATACATGTATATCAAATTAAAATCCAACTACCACACACATCTGTGAATCTTGATGTACACCCCCTCTTTCTTTCTTTCTTTTTCTCTCTCTTTTTCCCCTTTTACCAATATTTTTTCTTCCATATGAGCCACTTTGTATTCATGGAGACGTCATTGAGCAGGTACATGAGTACAAATACCTGGGAACAATCATTGATGATAAGCTTTCTTGGAAGCAAAACTGTCTGTCTGTTCAAAAGAAAACGAACACAAGGATGTTTTTCTTACGGAAACTAAAGAGCTGACGGGAAATGAAATATCATATTATGAGACATTTTAATTTATGACTCATGTTATTTATTCATACGATTGTGCCGGTAAATTGTTAACTTGATTTCTTCAATCGTTAAGAGTTCATTTTACTGTAGAAGTGTTGCGTAATTATATCACGCATTTATAATTAAGAAATCTGAATGTAAATGTATTTATTCCTGTTATTTTTCTGCAAATCCAAAACCATCTGTGGATCGGGAGCTAGCGGATGGGGGGGGGGGGGGGGGGGGGGGGGTGGTGACAAGAAATACTATATTATATTATGAGACATTTTAATTTATGACGCATGTTTAATGTAGGCAATAGGAAATTGAGGGGCATATGCACACTATAAATAGTTATCCATATTTATGTACATAGTTTTCTATTGTTAAATGTTATATTGTATTTTCTATCATTTGTATTTTCTATCATTTGTATTTTCATTGTCAAAAAAGCCATTGGAAGCAAAATTTCTATGTAATGTTTGCATGCATGGACCAATAAAATAATCTTGAATCTTGAATCTTGAATCTTGAATATTTGTATTTTATTCATTGAGGGTATACATGTAGTCATGCTATCAAGCTTTGCTTTTCTTGTCAACCCTCCCGTTTGATGTTTTCGATTAGTTACAGCCATCCTTACGTTATTCTACATACATATTCTTTTATACAGTAGGCTTGCAGGTGCACCATGTGAGAGAGAGAGAGAAGATTGAGGAGTCCTGATTCTTATTATTTTTGTCATGTGCAAAATTTGCTAGGTTTTGGTTGTTTTATATTTGTAAAAGACTGCAAAAGAAAAAGAAAATCAAACAGAAATAAATTAAATCAAATTACATCAAATCATATGAAGTACCTGAACTGTTCAGAGGCGTGTATAAAATCAAGGCTTCCGTTGCCGTCATATTAGGCTCCGTCAGCGCCACGTAACTCTGCACGTCTTGCTGGTAACTGTTCATTCGCCATAGGAGACCGATGTGATCGCCCCTGATGGCGTATTCCCGGCGGGGCGTGTAGTACAGCGATGCAGTCAGATTGGAGTTCCATACGTGGTACTGTATGAGGACGGAGGAGTAGGTCGTGTTCATACTGGGAAGGCTCATGTTGGTGCAGATGAAGTTTGGGCGAGACGTAGAGACATTGTAGAGTGTGAACTCATCCGCGATGATCTGTAAATGGTCTGGATTACACACAAAACAAAACAAAATCACAAAAACATCAAAACAAGGAGTAGGTTGTGTTCAGACTAGGGAGGCTGAGGTTGGTGCAGATGAAGTTTGGGGGAAGCATAGAGACATTGTAGAGTGTGAACTCATCTGCGATGATCTGTAAGTGGCCTGGATTTCAAACAACAACAAAATTACAAAAAAACATAAAAATGGACTAAATTACCACTTTGACTAGCTCGACTAATTAAAGGTAAAGACCAGTTTTGGAAACAAAAAATGACATGGAAGCTGTTATTACCAATCATGTGAAATAATGTTTTGACTAATACGTGATGATACAAATTTTGCTTGAAAACCGCCTACCGTACTAATTGATTTATAGATATCGCGTAGTCCCATATACATGTACATCTTTCTGTGTACAGTGCTTATATCTTAACCAACCAAGACTGGGCCAAATTTCTTATCATTTTGCTGATTCCAGAACCTTGCAGTACACACCAATACTTGCATGCTAGATGATCTACCTTTTTTGATCGATTCCATGTTTCTTTCACGATGCAATCGCATGACCAGAACTGGTCTATAGGCCCTACCTTTAAACTAAAGAACCATGCTAGGCGCAAATAGTAACATTTGACTGAATGCCCAAAATGCAAACACAACGACAACCCATTGACTACTGAAATTGTTCATCTTCAAAGCAGAACTTTTTCATCTTAAATGCAGACAGTTTATATCAGTTTGGTGTCGGCTGGTCGGAGCTTCCTGGAGTTACAGTTTGCTGTGAATCCCGTGAGAAAGTGCATAGACTATTATAAGTCTTCATTTTTAGGAAAAATACTCCAAAAAAGATAAGAAAAATGACACGAAACAGGCAACAAACATATCAACTTTTAAATCACGACCTTTATTTGGACATTAGATGAATATTTACTTAATTTTGGGCATGTTTTAGTAGGGTATCTCTACGCCAGAGTTACGGGTCAAATTTTGGATAGACTTCTGAACTAGCGCCCTTTTTTTTATGCGCTCTTAATTCCGATGACATGTGATTATTGATTATATTTTAATTGTGCTTTATGGTACTTGTGATTGACTGATTGCCAAATAAATAATAATAATAAGCAAAATAATACTCATTCAATACTTATAACACTAATAATAGGGATCTCCATTCACATGATGATTCAAGTCTCAAGAATCAAGTTTTGTTCAACTGTTAACAAAAACAAACAATGAAACATAGATCTATCTCACCTGCGGAATTCCGACAGTCTTCCCCGTACGACAGAACTGATCCAAGAATCGCGAATTCTACCAGCACTGTGATCCAATAATACTTCATTTTGCCGACGAAATGATAACAAAATGGTGAGCAGTTTTATGACTGAACAACAAGTGAAAATGACGCCAAAGATTCATGCACTTCCGAGTTCCGTGTTCAATTCAGAGAGTTACTTGCCTTTTGATGCGCTATGCACGCAACGCCCGCATACTGTGTACAAATGAGATACGATGTGGTGCGCATTTGGTCATGTGACATTACGTAATGGGATAGACAAAAGGGACTTCCCCTAAAAAAAAAAGTCGCACACCCGGCCCGCGCTCTGAAAATGTTGGATCGGGGTCTATTTCGTTTTAGTGCAAAATACGGGCATTAGAGAATGTTCACAATTACCACTAATTTTACAGAAACAATAATCGAGCTTCTACATAGCTAACCCCATTCCCCCCCCCCCCCGAAAAACCAAACAGGGAGAGACTAGGAAGAAGAAGGCCGATGTTAGGAAAATTGAAAAGAAACAAGAAAAGAAGACCGCCACATGGATATGGACATATAAAAGTTATCGTCCCGATACGTGCATAAAATGTGTAGTCAGGGGAGCTTAACCCACACTTGTTTAGGTACTCCCAAAGTACCCGTTAATACATAGAACAAGTGCACCTTTTCTTTTTAAAAAACTACCCCTTCTTATAAGTGCCCCTTTTGATAAGTGCACCCCCTCCCCATTTTTTCATAAGATCTCCTTCCCTTTCTCAAAAATGTCCTTATTAAAATCTGATAAGTGCTCCTTTTCCTTCAACAACTGCCCCCTTTTCCTTTGCAGTAATTGGATCTTTTCCATCTCTGGTAAGGTCCCATTTTCAGGTACGAGAAGTACCCTTACCACCTTCAAGGAGTACCCCTTCACCTCTGATAATTTCCCCTATCAAAATCTGACAGGTACACGTTTTACTTTGACTGCCCCTTTTCATTTGTAATAATTGCCCGCTTCCCTTTCTGATAAGTGCTTCCATTCTTCTGTGATGAGTGCCCCTATTAACATCTGATAAATGCCCCTTTTATTTTGATACGTGCCACTTTTCCTTTCTAAAAAAGTACCCCTTTTTTCCTTATAATAAGCGTCCTTTTCTATTCTAATAAGAGCCCCTATTCATCTCTTGTGAGTGCCTCTTTTCAGTTGAAATAAATTCCCCTTTTCACCTCTGATATTTTTAAAGAGATAAACAAAGGTTGATTTCATCCCTGATAGCTAGTGTAATCACAACCATGACGATTCAGGGGTATATACCAACGTCTAAAAATGATGTATGTTCACTTTGAGGTTTCCCTTTCTAGTTCTGTATATGTTCAAATATAAAAGTTACACGTCTAAATCTTCTGGCTCTTTTCTTTATATTATTTATCTTCCTCCTATTTGCTTCTTATTCTTTATCTCCTCTTTCTCTTCCTTTTTAAAATGTTATTTTCTTCTTCTTTTTCTCCTTCCCCTTTCTTCCTCTTCCAATTCTTCCCCTTCTTCTTCTAGTTCCTCTCATTCTTCATTTTCTTCTTACTCCTCCAATTCTTCTTCCCCTCCTTCTTTCTCTTCTTCTTTTTCTTCCAATTCTTCTTCTTCCCCTCCTTCTTCTTTTTCTTCCTATTCTTCTTCCCCTCCTTCTTTTTTTTCTTCTTTTTCTTCCAACTTTTCTTCTTTCTCTTCTTCTTTTTCTTCCAATTCTTCTTCTTCCCCTCCTTCTTTCTCTTCTTCTTTTTCTTCCTATTCTTCTTCTTCCCCTCCTTCTTTCTTTTCTTCTTTTTCTTCCAACTTTTCTTCTTTCTCTTCTTCTTTTTCTTCCAATACTTCTTTTTCCCCTCCTTCTTTCTCTTCTTCTTTCTCTTCCAATTCTTCTTCTTCCCCTCCTTCTTTCTCTTCTTCTTCTTTCTCTTCCAATTCTCTTCTGCCCCTCCTTTTTCTTGATACTTGATGTTCCCCTGGAACACTCCTCATTTAAAAATAAACACAATCATAAATCATGAAGGCTTTCAAGAAATCAACCCAAGGGCATTCCAAACGGTGACACAAAAGGCCACTGAAATGCACCATTTTCGTTATGTAATAAAATTTAATGCCCCGATCTTTGTTATAAGTACCTCGTTACAAATTATTTCACTCACCTGTCACATATTATGGAGTCAGAAGGCAAATTGCATACATTAATTGTTGCTAGGTAGGACAAACATGACGGCTTATACTACCTAATAACACGCAATGTATACAATTCGCCTTCGGACTATTGAAATTCAATATTTGTAACAGGGGTGAATTAAATAATTTGTAACGAGGCACGTAACACAGAATTGTGCATTAAAATTGATTACATTACAAAAAATGGCCTATTGCATAAGGTAAATTTCCAGGAAGCCTTTGCTATTGTGTTCATAGTATGAACAATCGCACAATATACAAAAGTAGGTCAAATAAAACACCAAAGGTAAAGAAACAGAGATTTTATATACAATAGTTTATTACAGATCTGTTATATTTAAACATACCAGGCTTGTGCTGTGTACATAATATTCATAAATAATCAAATTCAAACATTGAAATGGTAACTGTCAACTAATACTTTGTGAGGAGTATTCCTGCTTTTGAGAAAAGGAATGATGATTGAATGTTTGACCCCAGAAGGAACAGAGCTGATTAATTTCCACTCAAATGATACGCCTGTTTATACCAGGCAAAGTATCAATGGTTTAAACTGCTGCTGGAAAGGAGGGGGGGGGGGGGGGGTAATTTGGGGAACAGTTTCTAGTTGTAATTACAGTTAACTCTGCATAACAAAAAGGTGAATCTGTTGAGTCGGCAAAAATAGTTTGACTCCTGCAAAATGCAACTTAGAAAGTGAAAATAATACATTTTGCAAATTTAGGTCAAACAAATTGATTAGACTTAAAGTATGTGCCCCCCCCCCCAAATTCACAAGTTCTTTTCTATCATTACATCTTAAATACTCCTAAAAGAGTGACCACTATATAGCTTTGCAATTTACAAATATATTTACATAATATACAAAAAGAAAACAAAAAACATGACATCATCATGTTTACAAAAATACTCTTCTTTGACACTTTTATATCAAACGTTGGAAATGGATAATATAGATTTTGGGGGTAACTCTTTAGACCACTTTGGATAAAGCACATGTACAAATGACCCCAAAATATCCAGAGATCTTTTAAACATGGAAAAGTCCCACTTCGTGCATTTTGGACTGATCACGGATTACTTTTGTTTTCCCTCTTGAAAAGAATATTTCCACTTGGGAATCATAGAATGTAACGCGGGTGCAAAACTGAATAAGGATAACATAGCTTTCATGAACACATACATGTATGCAGCATTCATCTCAATCAGTTTTACAGTATTGTACAAATTATCTTTTTTCTGCCTACACTAATATCATTAATTGCTGCTCATTGTTTGTGCCCAATGCCATTTAACTACTGGGCAACAAAAATAAGATCAATTCATCACCCTTTTGTCCCAGCTCTCATATTTGTCATTCTTCAAAACTGCATGGTTTTGCACACAGATGGGAATAGGATTAAGGAAGTATTTAGATTGCCCTCGCCTATTTGTCAATTCACAATGCACTCCTTGGGAAACTGAAAGTACTTTCCCTCGAGTAAAAAAGAAAGTAATTTTGAAATGTGAAACTCAGCATCTATCAAGTTATTATCTTCAGCAATGCAAACTCATTCACTTTTGTATTCATGAATCACTTTGTGTTAGGGATCTTAAAGATAAAGACCAGTTATGGCCATGCGATGGCATTGTCAAAGAAACGGTGTTGAGTCGATCAGAAAAGGTTGATCATCTAGCAGATAAGTATTTGTGTGTACTGCAAGGTTCTGGAATCATCAAAATGATAATAAATTTGGCCATGTCTTGGTAAGTTACAAGCATTGTACACAGAAAGATGTATATGGGACTACACGAACATGTGGCGTAAAAAATGATAACGCTCACAAATTATTTTTCACCTCTTTAAGCCTCACAATACAAAAAGACTTTGCAGATCTTGGCAATGTTGGGAAATGAATTCAAACAGAATTAAACAAAACTTTATACACCTGAATATTTTTAAAGGTACAAATACATGATATCTCCCAAAACAATGTTAGTAGAAACATTACAGCAGACAAATAAGCAACAAGATAAAGGTAATACACAGTCCGTTGTGAGTAAATGTGAGTTGTGCTTTTCTTTGAAGTCAATCTCCATGTGCAGTAGCCTGTAGGTTCTAAATTTATTGACACCAGACTTGGTGGAAATACCATTAATGGGTGTGCATGTCTCGCACCCAGCAAATCCGAGGTCCCATCGAGATATACCCCCTTGTCTCTCAGAGAGTCTTCGGGTGAGGAAATTGTAAGATGACTTTTCCATATGGGGCGATTGATGGAAAATGCAGAGCATTGCATAAGGCCTATTGGTCTGAAGGCTAAACCTGGTGAATGACATCTTTTATTAGGTAAACACTCAAATGGTGTCAAATTCCCAATGAGAGCCCACTACTATGCGTATTTAACTGTAATTTTCAGCAAGCTTTCCTTAGTTTGTCTATGTTTTGTTACTCTCAACAACCACCTAATGATAGTAAGTAGTTGATTTTACTTTTTTAGCAAATTCTCTCACCCTGGAATTCAATAACCAAACGTCAAAATAAAGGCATTATTGCCTGTGGCATAGAGTGTACAATATTACATTAATAATAATATTTTGCTTTTATTTAGCAATCCATCGACGAGGCCTGTAAGCGCTTTATTATTGCCCGGGCATCGGATTCAGACTTGCCCACACACAGTGTATGCGCATTCTCCACTCCCTGGGGAGCATTCCAGCCAGGTGCCATTTTATAGATTAAATTTCGCATTCTACCGGGTCCCCATTTAATACCTGGGTGGAGAGTGGCAAATGTAGATTTTGTCTTGCCAAAGGACGTAGTGCCAGGCTGGGAGTTAAATTTTACACGCATTTTAATGGGATGTTGGTGAATTTGTACTTATCACGTGACATTTTGGTGAAAACGACACAATGAAGTACACCATTCAGCAAGTCCTCTGTTGACAGCCACAAGGTGTTAACTCTGTGTAAAAGTGTATGAGTTAACACCCTTCGGGCTCTTGGAAGACGATATCTAATTCGGAGATGGCGCATCATTGCATGTTATCGTCTACAGATGGCGCTCTGTACTCGGCCATGTTCTCGTGATGTTGTTTCATGTTGAGCAGCTTGAGGGCCATAGTGTCCATGCCTTCGTCGCCGGGGCCTTTACTCGTCACTTCTACGTTGTAGTTGTTGGCCTGGGGTGAAGAGAGAGGTATCAAGGAGAAGTGGGGAGAAGGAGAGAGGGGGAAGGTGAGAGGAGGGAAAGGAGAGGAGAGAGGGGGAAGGTGAGAGGAGGGAAAGGAGAGGAGAGAAGAGGAAAGGAGAGAAAAGGAGAGACAAGGAGAGGAGAGAACAGGAGAGAAGAGAGGAAAGGAGAGAAAAGGAGAGAAAAGGAGAGGAGAGAAAAGGAGAGGAGAGAACAGGAGAGAAGAGAGGAGGAAAGGAGAGAAAAGGAGAGAAAAGGAGAGGAGAGAACAGGAGAGAAGAGAGGAAAGGAGAGAAAAGGAGAAGAGAGAAAAGAAGAGAGAAAAGGATAAAGAGAAAAAGGGAGAGAGGAGAGAAAAGGAGAGGAGAGAAGAGGTAAGGAGAGAAAAGGAAAGGAGAGAAAAGGAAAGGAGAGAAAAGGAAAGGAGAGAAAATGAGAGGAAAGGAGAGGAGAGAACAGGAGAGAAGTGAGGAAAGGAGAGAAAAGGAGAGAAAAGGAGAGAAAAGGAGAGGAGAGAACAGGAGAGACGAGAGGAAAGGAGAGGAAAGGAGAGAAAAGGAGAGAAAAGGAGAGGAGAGAACAGGAGAGAAGAGAGGAAAGGAAAGGAGAGGAGAGAAAAGGAAAGGAGAGAAAAGGAGAAGAGAGAAAAGAAGAGAGAAAAGGATAAAGAGAAAAGGATAAAGAGAAAAAGGGAGAGAGGAGAGAAAAGGAGAGGAGAGAAGAGGTAAGGAGAGAAAAGGAAAGGAGAGAAAAGGAAATGAGAGAAAAGGAAAGGAGAGAAAATGAGAGGAAAGGAGAGGAGAGAACAGGAGAGAAGTGAGGAAAGGAGAGAAAAGGAGAGAAAAGGAGAGGAGAGAACAGGAGCGAAAGAGAGGAAAGGAGAGAAAAGGAGAGAAAAGGAGAGGAGAGAACAGGAGCGAAAGAGAGGAAAGGAGAGAAAAGGAGAGGAGAGAAAAGGAAAGGAGAGAAAAGGAGAAGAGAGAAAAGAAGAGAGAAAAGGATAAAGAGAAAAAGGGAGAGAGGAGAGAAAAGGAGAGGAGAGAAGAGGTAAGGAGAGAAAAGGAGAGGAGATAAAAGAAGAGGCAAGAGTAGACAAAGGAGAGAAGAGGAAAGGAGAAATAAAGAAAGAAAAAAAAAGAAGAGAGAAAAGGAGAGGAGAGAAAAGGAGAGAGAAAAGGAGAGGAAAGAAAAAGGAGAGAGGAGAGAAAAGAGAAGAGAGAAAAAGAGAGAGAGTAGAAGGAGAGTCTATTATCGCATCAAAGTTGTCAATGACCACATAATAACACATAGAAACTGTTCAATAACTGAGGTGGCTGCTGTAAAAACCACAAAATATTCCAGGAATTTAGATTCCAAATAACTTCCTTAATGTTGCAATGCCATTTCCAATTCTTGATTAATTTGTTTGGTAGCTAAGTACTGTGAATTAAAAATACCTAATAACTGTGAGACTTGGAAAATTAATGAGAAAATTTGGGGGAATAAAAATCCCATGGCCCTGTAACAAACGGATTCCTATTAATTGTATCCCCCGGTATCTCCCCAAAAGTAATTGTTTCTCCTCCCATTGATGGTAACATTAAAAAAAATTAATAATTGTAACTATCGTAACTGTAAAAGTAGAAAAATTGGTACATTAATTTTCACAGATTTCACGCTAAGCTCTGCAAGCGCAAATTTTAGGACTCACAAAAATATAAGCATGACTTCTTACGCGTGTTTTGGCTGAATTGCATGCAACACGAATTTAAGAACGAGCGAATACGTTTTGGGGATGCTCAGCGCAAAATAATTAATCGTGCGAAAATAACAGAGTTTACAGTAGCTTATAACAGTTATTGTAACTTATTATTGATGAAAATTATGAAACAGGCCCCAAGATCTATTTCCTCATACTTTAATGATAACTTTTATGGAAAGTACTATCCCGTTGTACATGTACGTCTTCAGGAAATGTGCAATCACAGTGGTGAAACTAAAGGAATCAAATTTCTGGAATGACATTTCGGTGAACTTTCTGTGCGTCACTTGATATATGGGATCTTCCAATAACAAGAAGCCCTTGATTAAGCAGACTACAGAATAACAGACTCTAGAGATTAATTGCTAAGCATCCAACCATGTATTAAGGTCATGCCTCAGTCACACCTTCACGTATTTGGCTTGCGTTTTGCACGAACACAGACATAGGCAGTCATACCCAATAATGCGCAACTTGGCGAGCAAACTGTGCATTGAATCGTACCGCTATGAGCAACAGCGAACTATAGCATGGTCATAGGCAACCATAGGCAACCGCAGGTAGTCTTTATACAAGAGGCATACAAGCTACCTACAGCTAGATACCTAATAGTATGACTGCTACGTTCTAATTTGCCGCGTATTGCTGCGCACGGCTGCGTATTGATATACCCTGCATAGCGCAGCAATACGCAGCAACATACGCAAAGGTGTGACTGAGGCATAAGGTTGAGGTCAAGGGTTGGGTCAGGGTCAAACTCACCAACTGAAGCGTTGCAAGGAAGTAGCGGCTGACCTCATGGATCTGCCTGTCCTCCATGACCTCACAGAAGGTCGTGACCTTCTCTTTCTTCTGCGACTCCTTCTGGACCTTGTCCAACCTATCCAGGACAAACTTGCCGTACTGGTTGATGTCGAAATATGCAAATTTTTCCTGCATAAGACAAAATGAAAACATCAATGTTTTTTCCAAAAATGACAAAGAAACAGACAAACACTTTATAGTCCCATATTCCATATACCCAAGGTCCAAAACAATGTTTAACAAAAGGAAAACTTCAAGCCCAGATTAACCTTTATACTCTTTGATAGGTAATATTATATCCACATACTAAGAATCTTGCTCTACGATTGGTCAAAAGTAAATCATGTGATGAAAGATAGTTTGCCCATCATTGACGGGAGAAGAAAAGTTTGTTACACAGTGCAACGCACTTTCAGTGAAAATTATATACGTTGCGTATACGTACGTACTGCATGCACTTGCTAGCTTGTTAATTGATGACTTGCATGTTACTCTAGAATGACGGAAGAAGTGAAATGTTTCCGATATGGAATATAAAGCAAATAATCACCTTTTGGTTTCTGGCGATGGCAAACTATCACTTCCTCGGCGATCTGAATGTAGTAGGCTATCTTTCCTGAGATCGCCTCGGAAGTGATAGTTTGTCCCATCACCTTGACCGATAGTAATTATTTGCTTATTACTCTCTTAGTAAGCTACTATTTCTTACCTCTCTTGCTAGTACAGGTGTTATTCTATCCTCCCACTGCTGGACTCTCTTGGATAACTCAGTCATCTGGGCATACTCTGAAGCACTCGCTAGGTATGCTTCCTGTAAGGGCCAAAGGTCGGGTCAAAGGTTACATACATCAACAAGCACATCCACAACAAAGTAACAATATCTAGTAGGTACTGCATCAATGAAAGATTTTGAACAAAATAAACAAAAGTAACTTATACATTTACCTTTCTTGTAAAAACCCTTAAAACATAGCAGATGCTAGAGCAGAAAGTGCAATAAACTTCTGCTTGTCTGTGTCCATTTTCCTTGTATTATAACAGGATGGCCGATTCCACAGATTTTTTTCAAGAGGAAAACAAGCTTTTAAGTTTACGAATTGGCCACATGATGACAAGGTCAAATCTCTCTTCCCAATTTTAATTAAATATTAAATTGTTTTCAACCATTTTTTTCAGACCCATGTCTGATTTTGTTCATGGAAAAGAAAAAGTATTTGAAAATAGACAGGCTATTTCTCGGACAAGAAACGGATGCTTACCACATGTTTTCTAACAAGTTCTTCATAGCTGGTTACTATTGCATCCTGACTGTTCGCCATGAAATCATCTAAGAGAGAGAGACAAACAAAAAGGAAATGAGTGACAAGTTATATTCACATGAGAGAAGATGTAAACTACTACTGTTTTTCAATATGAGTATTTTGAGCAGAAGACAAGACTTTAATCACTCTCCTGGCAGGGTTGTTATCCATTTGTGTCCTAATATCAAAGGAGTGTATATTATATTTGATCCATGTTGATGGTAAGAACATCCTTTCTTTCTTTCTTGTATCCATCAAGTAATTAATCCATTTACTCATTTCAGGACGTTCCGCAGTTATGATCGTGTGCACCTTCGCTGTGCAGGGTCAGCTGATCAGCGGAGAGTTTCACAAAGACTAAGATCGACTTTAAGTTGGACTTGACTATGGCAGGCCATTCATGCCACTGGTTGCTCTCATCATTGGTCTCTCAATTATGATCTTTAGATACTATTTTTTCCTTCAATAATGAACTATCAAAAAATGTAAATTCTGTAGACTTGTGACCACGATTTGTACGTCCCTTGAGAGACCAATGCCAGTAAACGGTGAGAGCAAACAGTGGTATGAACAGCCTGCCATAGTTAAGTCCAACAGATGCATCAAGACTGGCTGCAGACAGAAATACTTGGCATACCATCACCATACAGAAGCCATCACGAGACCTCTGGACGGCATAAGTCAAGTCAAAGTCGATCTTAGTCTTTGTGAAACACTCCCCTGGTATTATAACAGGAACTCCAGGCGTTGTACATGATGAATACATAAATCAGTGTTCATCTTGAATATAACACTTTGACTCACCCTGTCCTCCTCCTCCTAGTCTATCTTCCTGGACCTGGTCCTCATCATCTACATCTTCAGGCCCGTCAAAACCAAAGTTATCTCCTCCATCATCCATCTCCGGGATCGCATCACCACCGCCGTTACCATGGTAATCCTCAGCCTCTGCAGCCTCCTGCATCTCTCTCTTGGCAAGCTCTTCAAACTTGCCCTGTTGAGCCTGAAATAAAAATGTCAAAGAGGAGGGTCAGTCATATTATTATTAAAGAGAAGGTTGACTTCTGGGAAAAGGTGAACAATAATTTGTGAGCATTATCATTGTATTATGCAAGTGTGCAAGAACATCAGATAAAAAAATGTCCCAGAAAAGCATGGCTCTTCATATTCTAAATATGGCATGTAACATCATAAAAATCGGGACAGATTGTTATGCCACATGATTGTGTAGTCCCATATACATCTTTCTGTGTACAGTGCTTGTAACATTACCAAGACTGGGCCAAATTTCTTATTATTTTGAGGATTCCAGAACCTTGCAGTACACACCAATACTTATATGCTAGATGATCAACCTTTTCTGATCGTTTCCACAGCGTAGTTTCTTTCACAATGTAATCGCATGACCAGAACTCAACTTTATCTATAAGCTGAAAAAAATCAATTTGTAATGCGACAGTACATTTGAATTAATAAAAAGATAAATAATAATAATAAATAGTGTGAAAGTACTACCCAGGTAGTAGTATACAGCAAGCAAATACAAGTTAGTTGCAAAATTGTTTTTTTTTTTTTTTATGGTATAACTCTTATTATCAAATTAACATTTACTTTACTTGTATTAAAGAGAACTGTTGCTGAGCTAGTGCCATGATCGTCCCTAGACAGTGTGTGCGCTCTATAAGTTTACACTATTATTTTATTATTAATAGAGAACAACTTATTCTTTTATTTTTTAGAGTACAACTTATTTTTCTATTTTTGATACAGTTAAATTTGTCTAATAATAATAATAATACTAATAGTGGGTTCTTGTATAGCGCTCATGTCAGTCAGATTTGACCCTCCTGGCGCTCCCGATTATTACCCTGGCTTTAGCACGGCTGCCATACGGCGCTCTAGCATTTCAAGGAATAAATTCCTACCAGGTACCCATTTACTTCACCTGGGTGGAGTGTGGCAAATGTAGATCAATGTCTTGCCAAAGGACATTAGTGCGGCGGCGGGACTCGAACCGCGGACCTTGTGATCGACAGTCCGGCGACGTATCCACTCGACCACAACACCTAAGTGGCCAGCTCTTTATCAGGCCACCCATCTAAAGCGGTCACATACAGTATATGTTGTCCTCTTCTACGAAGAAAGAAGTGTTTTCCAACCTGTCCAGAAAGGCCACATATCTACATTGGTCACTTTTTCCTTGAGTGGCCTTAGAAGATCAAATATTTTTCCAGTCAAAATTTGAAGTTATAAAAATGTGTTTGTCCATGACCTAATTGCGGTTTAAAGAAAAATCAAAGAAAAGGGAAGAAGAAAAGAGGGAAAGAAAATACTCACCAATCGTCTTTTCTCTCTCCTGCTGGTGTCCAATTGTTTCTTATATTCTGTGTAGTAGAGGTATTCAAACTCTTCATGGTATGGTAGCTTTAAAGGGTTGCTTGGAAGCTTGGACGCGTGTGAGAAATCTAGGAGAGATTTTATTTTAAAAAATTGTATTTTTTGTATTTTTAGAATTTCAAAGTCCATGATTGAACTATGTGAATGAATTTTGATAGTTTTTATCTCAATTTTCTGCATTACTGAATATTTCTTGCCATCTCCCCTCATCTGTAATGATCAGGTACCCTTTGTCTGTCTGTCTCTCTCTCTCTTTCGGTCTCTCTCTTTCGTCCCCCATCTCTCTCTTTCATTCTCTCTTTCTTTCCTCTCTCTTTGTCATCACTCCAACTCTCCCTCTCCTACACCTCTCCCTATCTCTTTCTTTTTTTAACAAAAATTTGAATTTGATCAATGAGTTTTTATGAAATGTCTATATGTTTGATTATTGATTTATGTCATATTTTGTGTTATTTCAATTTGAATTGCAATTGTATCGTATATGTGAAAAGGATCGTAATTCAGCCATTGGCTGCGATGATTTTTTTAATAAAAACCATTTCTATCTATCTATCTATCTATTCATTGATCAAAGACACTTATCATGGGCTATATTTGGGAGTTTAACGCCATATGGCTATTTACCCGATAAATGGTGTCATCAATCGCAGAGTGTGGACTTCAAATGTATGACCAATCCCGTCTTATTAAATGCATATATACCATCCATCAAGTTCAGAAGAATCCCATTATTATAAATTTGACTTGAATGTATGGTGACGTTGTATGGTCATTTTCATGAAAACCTTTGAGAAATATTGACGAATCTCATGAGGACTTGAGGGAAATTTGCGAGGCGTCCTAACCAAAATGACCTAGCACTACATTTAAATAAATAAGTACATCACTACATAAGTGAAACTTACAAGCTTTGTTGATGAATTCTACGATCGGACAGAGTTCTGCTTTCTCTTGGGCCGGCTCCTTTTTTCTTTTCCGGCCCTTCCCACCATTCTTTGTCATCGATGCTGGAATCTTGAAACACTTTCCTACATGGAAAAGAAACAATAACTCTTATTATTTGTTATTAACATTGTTTTTGTCTTGTTTTGTCCTGTCATGTCTTTTTGTTTGTCTTGTCCTGTTATGAATTGTTTTTTGTCTTGTCTTATCTTATTATGTCAGTTTCCTATCCTTTGTGTCCCGTTTTGTCTTTTTTTTTTCTTTTTGTATATTTTGATTATTTAGATACTTAAAAATGATTTATGAAAATAATGTTCATATTATATTTATTCTTGGGAACCTACAAAAACAAGCTATGCTTTCCATTAGGTTCCTGTTTCATTTCATAATTTCGATCTTGCTTTGCTTTCCAGATCAAGTTAGAGAGAGAGAGAGAGAGAGAGAGAGAGAGAGAAGAGGGGGGGGGGGGGGATAAAATGGAGAAGAAAGAAGGAAAGAGATGGAGACTTATATTCGGTATAGAATGAAGAGATATAGAGAATGCAAAGATTATGGGAGGAAATTGCAATGGGGTGAGAGAGAAGACAGAGACAATACAAACAACTAGACTACTTAAAATACAGACAGAGAACAAAAATGGACAGATGAAAATAATAGATATGGGCAGGCTTAAAATGAATAGGGAAAGAAGAAAAAAAAGGAGAGAAGAGTGAAAGAAGAAGTAGAAAGAGAGACAGATAGAGAGACAGAGAGAGAGGGAGAGAGACAGACACAGATAGAGACAGATAGAGAGAGAGAGACAGAGAGACAGACAGAGAGACAGACAGACACAGATAGAGACGGACAGAGAAAAACAGAGAGACAGACACAGATAGAGAGGGAGAGAGACAGACACAGATAGAGACAGAGAGAGACAGACACAGATAGAGAGAGACAGAAAGACAGGCAGACAGAGAGACAGACACAGATAGAGACAGACAGAGAAAAACAGAGAGAGAGACAGACACAGATAGAGACACAGAGAGAGAGGGAGAGAGACAGACACAGATAGAGACAGAGAGAGACAGACACAGATAGAGACAGAGAGAGAGACAGACACAGATAGAGACAGACAGAGAAAAACAGAGAGAGACAGACACAGATAGAGACAGAGAGAGAGACAGACACAGATAGAGACAGACAGAGAAAAACAGAGAGAGAGAGACAGACACAGACAGAGACAGAGAGAGATAGAGAGAGAGAGAAAGGAAGAAAAGAGAAGGATAGAAAGGGTGGAGGATGGACCTACCTTTCTTGTATGGTTTAGATACCACTCCTTTGCTATCATGAGGATCGAGAGGTTCCCAGGGGTCAACAAACTCTTTGATTGGCTTGATGGGGGCAACGACCCTTGCCCTCAACGCTCTCTTCTCTTCAACCTGTATTAAATGCAAACAAGGGAAATTAAGTAGACTAAGGGTCATGTGACACAAGCTTCAACAACAATCGTTCATTGGTCAATATACAGTGAAACCTGTCTATTAAAACCATCCAAGGGAGATAAGAAAAGTGGTCTCTGTAGGCAGGTGGTCTTTATGTACAGGTTCCTTTAGTACACGTTTCAATGAGAAACCATTTTCAAGGGAAACAAAAATGTGGTCTTTGTAGACAGGTGTTCACTAAAGCAGGTTTGACTGTACTACGCTAACCAAATTCTTAAATAAATTTGTATGAAAGCAGGAAAAATAAGAATGAACAGAATAACAAAAGTTTTAAATAAATCAGATCAATAATAAGAAAGTTATGAATATTTCAAATATGAGATCACTAAGTCTATGTGATTCTCAAATTGGCAGTTTGGTCAGTGGAATATGATGTAGTCTTGGATAACTCTCCCGTTGTGGAGTGCGCCTGTAATCCAGCTAACAATGGAAGTTACAAACTGATTTAGCCAAGGACGCAGGTTCGAAACTGAGTCACGTCTTTCGGATGGTGACATTTAAAGGTCGGTCCCCAGACGTTAATAATAATTTCTGATTGATACACGTCTGTAAAAACCCAATCGCACACACGTTTGTCAGGCTCAAACTAATGATAAGAACGGTAGTAAAGGTGAATAAGTGAGTGGATGAAACTGACCTGCATGGGCTGTTGCTCCTCAAACGAGTCATCGAAAGGCATCCCCATCTCAACATCATCAGCTGCATAGGAAATTAAGATCAAGAAAGAATGACTATGAAATGAAATGAATCTATGTATAATTTTTCAAGCTAATATATTTATATGTTACAAAAATTATGTTTGTCATTATTTTGAGGGATCCACATTTTACAAGCTCTGCTCTTCAGTGGATCTGTGTATAAACTTAAAAAAATGAAAAATAACTATTATACTGGATGATTATGTATACTTTCTATTTTATAACTTTAAACCATGTAAAATGTATTATATTATTAAATACTGAACTGTATGTCTGATTTCTTGTCAAAATCAATGTTCTGTTGGAAATGAAAAATAAAAGTGAAACTGAAACTATGCTACAGTGAAACCTGTATATAAAAACCGCTCAGGGAAACAAGCAAAGTGGTCTCGATAGGCAGGTGGTCGCTAAAGCAGGCTCGATTGTATTAAGGGTAGGAGAAATATGCCTGTACTCTTAAGTTTCTATACATTGGGGAAAATAATCACACCAACATTTTTCTTGAATTACTTTGTCTGTTGGGACCCAGACCCTGTTTCATAAAACTTTTTACCAATACCAAATGCTATGATTCTATGACAAATTTGCTCTCAGCCAATCAAATGCAAGGATTCCAGTAGCTTATTGTAACTTGTATTGATAACAAATTTTGTGAAACAGGGACCAGAAGGGTGTTAACTTAAGTATACGAGTCAACTCAATAACAGTGAAAATATGAGGGGGATATTGGGTGGTATTCCGGTAGCGCGTACTAAGTTAGCGCGTGCTTAGTTAGTTCACACTTTTATGGAGTGCCTGTTGTGAACTAATTTACCCTGAACAGATTATTTTAATCCTCCAATGAAAAGTGTCCAAAAAGTTAATTTTGCACTGAAATGGAAAGAAATAGATAATATGAGTATGAACTGAATTTCAACAAAGTCTTTGGTAGATTATCTTTGTCATGAATATTTAAGGAGGAAGATGAAACCTAGCATTCCATAGAAGTGTGAACTAAAATTCTTGTTTAATCTGGACTTAGTCCCGGCTTAACTTATGAGAATACCACCAATTGAATATAGCAATTCGTCTGTACAGTAGTAGCTACACATATTGATGTCGGTGACATATCCACTGATTAAAAACATTTGACCTATGACCTACCACTAATGTCATGCTTAGGAATGTCATCGTCGATGTCATCTGGAATCTCAGGCAGGACGTTGTCATTCTTCTCTGGACTGAAGGCAGCTATGGAGAAAAATGAGAGAAAAAATGATTCATTAGGAAACATTAGGCAAAAATATAGGCAGATATCAATCATTCATATATATCAATTTTAAATTGGTGACAATTTGTTGGATTCTGCAACAGTGATCTTTATATCATGCTTCAAGGTTACTTACATGTACAAAATGTTGACAGGATAACTCTACACTACGGCTAACTCTGCTTTATTTCTTTTTCACTCCTCATTATTCTCATCACTGTAATCATTATATAATAAATTATAAATGCTGTATTTTCATTGACTTAATAAAACATACAACAACCAAATAAAACCCTCCGCTTTGAAGTTCAATTAGGTTACAAGAGCTCAAGTGCTAGCTACACACCAAGGGGGACAGTTTCCCCAACCCATCATATGCCTAGGTTCATTGACATCTCTTTGAAACGCGTGATAAGTCAATATCATATATTTCTACCAAATGTCCACAAACTTTGATGACGATCTTGTGAAACTGGCCCCTCACCTAAATGTTACCTAAATAGCCCTAGATATTCAGGTTGTGTAGAATTTCACTTCAGGAAATTTTCAAAAATCACTACTTTGCATAACATTATCGAGAATTGAAAACTGTTTTTTAAAAGATATACTTCATGCAAAATTCATAACATATTTGCGATGGAGTTGTTTATCGGGTATAATACGACTACGGACAACACGACCGCAGCAGTCATGTACGCGAACATACGCGAAACCGAAGCCTGGGGTGAATGTTGAGATAAAGTTGCTGACTACAGTTAATCAAGTCCATTCGTTTATGTACAGTTATACAAAAGAAGACGTAGATGGCGTTAACCAGTATTTGCCAGGCTACACTCCCTTTAAAAAAAATTGACATGGCCCCTGAAAGGAAACTCACCCTTGAGTATGAAGTTAGCCGGTGTAGACGAGGGATGTCTCATCATGGATTGCTCTAGGAGGGACAGGTGGGAGGGGTCTATGAGGAGGGCTCGCGAGGAGTGGAACATGGAGCTGTTGATCCGGAAGTCTCCCTTGTAACCCACCGTCTCACCCTTACGGCTGAAACAAAACGATACACAAAATCAAAGATGATAGTAATAATACAGTAGGTTTACGGCTGCACCATGTGAGAGAGAGGGGGAGGATCGGGGAGTCCTGAAAAGGACTGTCTGTAATCTTTCTTTCTTTCTTGAGTGTGTAGTCCTGAAAAAGACTATTGGTAATCTGTCTTGAGCTTATAGTTCTAAGAAGATCTATAGCGCCGGTTGGAGAGGATGGGTAGTACTAATACCTACATTTATATTGTGCACAAAACCATCGCAGGGGATGCTCAAGGCGCCTAGAAAGTACTATTATTACCCTAGCTTTAGCCCAGCTGGCCTAAGGCCCTAAAATTGGTTCAAATGGACCTATTGGAAGCATATGTGATCCTACAATATTCAGTGATCGTTGTCGCGGTTGAAAGCGAGCTTTAAGTTATGAAATTGTAAATAATTCACTCTTTATGTTGTATAGCTCCCTCTCAAGGTCATATTAATTACGCTATAAAACAATGATTCTTGACTAAAATCGACTGATTAGCTATTCCCGTTTGGAAATTATATATCACAACTACATATACTGAGATTTTCATGGTCGCAGCTAACATTGTACGGCCGTAGGCGCTATTTGAAATGTATCATAATTTACCCCACTGGGAGCACCGGTAAATTTTTATATTAAATTTTTCTCGAAATCAGAAGTGTTTTTAGGAGCTACATTTTCTAGTGCTTATAATACATCCACAGGGGCATCCAAATATATCAAAATTGTAAAGAATCACTACCATCCAATTTTCAAAATTTCCCAAAACTTTGAATTACCTTTAATGCATACATTTATTAGGTACAAATAATATCAAGTTAGAAGGGACTATGGTTAAAAATTATAATCCCTCTAATTCTACACCCTTAATGGGCAATGGACTATCCCTTTCACTAACTTTGTCAATGGGATCCCTCTGTCGGCACCTTCCACTTTGAGTAGTGATAGGGGTGTTTGTGCTAGGAGGTGCCCAGTCATGTTGTGATTGCGCTCATTTTCTTCCTTTAGGTCAATGTTCTTTGCCACTGGGAGATCATCTAATGATAAAAACTAACGTTTGGAAAAAGAAGAGAAAACTAAAATTAGATAATGAAAACTCAAATGGAAACATTCAATTTCACAATGAAATAATATACACATATATTGACTGCTGTGAGGGGCACAGTTAAAACTATCACCCAAGGTAATCTTTAAACGGTACTGTGGCCTGAGACGTAGTCGAGAGGCATCCATAGTGTAGTCTCGCAATCACAGAGGAGCTATACTTTTAGCCATGACCCAAAAACTGGGCAGTCAATATTCCATTGATATACCACATTCCTTGTGTCAATTTACAAGCAGTAAAAACACTTCAACAAACACATGCCTGTCAAAGCATCGAGTTGAAGGGTATTTACAAGTCAAAGGGCGTTGCGTGTGTGACATTTCAAGCATCCATTGTTAAGTTCATCCTGAACCATTGTATGAAGATTTAATCCTGGTCAAAATATTTCGTTAATTTGTCAAGTAGTCAGTAGCGTTCATATGCATTATTTAATAGCCCTCGCATACTGAAATTCTTTGTAATTCCCACATAAATGTACAATTGCAAAACTTATTCCACATTCCTAATTTCTCACTATTTCAAATTTCAAAATTAGTCCATATCTATCTCTGCAGAGCTCTGAAAGACTGAACTCAAGATGATAATACCACCTCTGATGAAATCATACTTTTTTATATAAGGATAAAAAAGGTACAAAAAGTGTTTTCTATACCGTTTCTCACCTCAATCTCATTCTTTTTAAATGCAAACGATGCGTCTGTGTCCTTTCCTTCTGCATCAACCGAACAAGCCTGCGTCATTTTTCTATGTAAACAAATAAGGTAATCAAGTAAATAAACAAACACATGACTAGTATGGGGCTAACGAATTGCAGTGAGAACAGCATGAATTTTCTTAATCCAGGATAGGCGCTTAGTACAGGAGTAAAAAGAGCATGTGTGAAAAGCCAAACAAATTAGTAAGTTAGAGCTATGATCAGATCAGATAATCGGGAGGGAAGTCTGATAAAATCTTTTGAAAACCTGCCTCAAAAAATTACCACAATTTGACAACTTTGAGCACTGTAATTCTACCTGACATCACTCATAATTGGGATTATTTTGTAATTTGGTGTTGTTGTACACCATGTCTGTTGATGCTTAGTGCCTTTTCATGCTTCCAAATTTATTTTTAAAAATCGTCTTTTTGTGGGTATACATTTTTTTTCTTCATTGCTATTTGATCTTCCCGTCAGTTTTCATTGACCAGCGATCGGATTTGATCATCCGATTTATGTAAAATCTAAATTGATCGGCCCTCGATCCATTTACCTGTTACATGGTTAGTTGTGCCTGCAAATGATTTACACTAGTGACTTACTTTTTACTCGCGAGCAGGTCTAGTGTCTGGTAGACCAAGGCATAGAGGTATTCCACCTTCTTGCTGTAGATACAGGCCGTGCCTTGGATAAGGAGTGCAGCTTCAGCAAAGTTCATGGTGGTGGAACCCCCGTCAAAGCTGATCACTATTGCCTCCATCTAGGATAGAATCAATGAGAATTTTTCACTCGTAATAGTTTACAGATTAATTTACAAAAAGATATAATCTGAATCAAAGACAATTATGGTGGTGGAACCCCTGTCGAAGCTGATCACTATCCTCTATCTAGGATAGAATCAGTGAGATATGAAATGAAATTGGAAATTGAAATTATGGTTTTATTATGATTTTATTTGGACATTTGTTTTTCACTCGTAAAAGTTTACAGATCAATTTACAAAAGAAAAAAATCATAATATAACCATAGAGCACAGACAAAGGGAGGATTCATCTTCACGGGGAGGGAAAATGCATGTATGCCCCACCATCCAGTACTCCCCTTATCCACACTATGGACCAACAGTTAGAAGTACAACTTACCTCTCTGCAGCAGATTTTTTTTTTTAATTGGCCGTTTGCCATGTTATGTCTTACCAAGCATTAAAGCCCATCTGTACTAGTTTGGCTAGGTGAGGACAGGTGGCTATCTCATCAACTCAGCTCTTAATTAACATAAGAAAAAGAGGATCATGGGGGACCAATGGTCACTGATTAGGCATTGTTTTCTTTTTAGAGGGAGCAAGTAGCTACCACTACTGTAGTAAAGTAGGCCTTTAACTTTAAGAGGGGAAAGTTCGTTTTAACTCCCCCCCCCCCCCCCTCCCCCACACACGCAATAAAAAGGACCGCAGCCATACCTCAGTAACATAGTCCTCTAGATGGGATGCTATATCCACCTCCCAGTTCTTAGCTAGATCCCTGATTGGCTGGAGCAGATGGGCAAACCTCGTGTCCGATTCCATTGTGCCTGGTGCTGCAAAGAGAAACACGTTGGAGAGTTCACTAACAGCTTTGTTCGAACATGATCAGGGTTAAAAATATATCTTTTTTTTTCTTCTTTAAAAATATAGGCCTAGACTACATAGATCTATCATTCAACATAAATTTGGTTTCTTTGTTAATTTTATTGTATTCTTATTAGTCTATCTGCAATGAATTTCGCACATGATCAGGGTTAAAAATAGATCTAAAGTTAGATCTAAAAGTTAGACCTAGAGTAGAGTCTCCGGTTTGCGGCATCGCCCGGTTTGCGGCCAGGGGTATTTGTTTCAAAAATAAAATGAATATGACTCGATAATAATCATTGAAACCTACCGTGGATTCCACGGTAAGTTCTGCTTTGCCGAAAATGTCCGTAGCAGGTGCTCCTATCGGTACGGAGTATCCGTCAGCGATGTCGGAAATCTACGGCACCAGTCGCCGATGAAAATTCCAGCAGGTGCTAACTTTTAAGTTAAGAGATCGAGGCATGACTAGATCAATATTGTAGCTCTATTTGTCCGATATTTGTCCGATTGGAGGTGAAATTTGATGTTTTTGTGGAAGCATGATGGCTGTGGTCTGTCTCCTATCGCAGATATTTTGATTGTGCCACCGCATGGCTAGTTGCATGGGGTGACCGCAAACCGGCACATAATTACGTGTTTTTCTGGTTTGCGGCGGGGGGTGTTAATACACACATAACATGCGGGATCGTGTATGATGGTATGTGTGCTGATGTGTGTACCCCCTATGACCCGATAGTTTCTAGTAGTACGTACCCCCGTATGGGATGATCCATTCGAGGAAAAGGTGAAATTGTTTAAAACTTCACAAATTTACCGTAGCAACAGATAAACATGAGAATTTGGGTTACCCGTAGTAATTTGGTACATGCTTTCATCGTGACGTAGCGCATAAAGCTTTGTGACGTACGCGTGCCGCAAACCGCTACTGCGTTCCCGCAAACCGGGGAACTCGAAGCATTTCGAAACATGGTCAATGCTGACCACGCTGTGGGTCAGTTTGGTTATTTGTGACTTCTATTTAATAAGTAAGTATATGGACTCTTTATTGAGGGTATTGAAGTATTCTGTGAGTATTCCAATAAAAATAGAATCGGCAGTTCCCGCCGATCGGCCGCAGACCGGAGCCACTACTCTAGACTTCTAGATAGAAGATCTAGACCTAGTACTAGTAGGCCTAGACTAGACTAGTTCTAGACTCTATATCGACCTCATTATCTTTTTTTTTCTTGTTTAAAAATATAGACTACATATATCATTCAACATAAATTTGCTTTCTTTGTTAATTTTATTGTATTCTTATTAGGTCTATCTGCAATGAATACCCTTTTAGAGTCTACATGTTTTTATGTATTTCAAATTTTTTGGCTGGATATTGGTAGCCGCTACCGCAGCTGATGACGAGCGCCCCGATGATTCGGGCGGCAATCACAGCAGTAAGTAAGCCTTCACTCACTGACTCAGTCTCAGCTGCGCCACTCTCTAGCTCTCGGCAAAGCTGTTCTTTTTCCTGCATTATAAAAGAACGAAATAATATCTTTGAGCAAAATGAAAACTTACGATCTCTAGACGATGAAGCAAAACAGGTGGACACTGGACAGATCCCTTTTTCTGTGAGGAGATGCAGTTCAATGTAGGCTAGTGTCAAATTTGTCGCTGCTTGTTTTCGAAATCAAGACGCCATTTTCTTCGAAAAATCGCGCGCTGGCGCTTACTTAGTCTGTATACCAGGAAAATATATATTTTTCAAAAAAATATTCTAATGAGCAATAAAAAATGTGAAATAAATGTATAAAATATCGAATGTTTATTAATTCCAAGTAAAGAATGAATTTATAACTTGATATAAAAAGGTGTTCTTCATAGTTATTACCCCTCCGAAGATTCCCCAAGGAGTTTTCTTATGAACCTATTTCCCCCTTCATCAGTTTCGAAAATACTATTTTGACTTGTAAACGTCTACACCTCAACGTGAGTGGCGTAAATATTCACAACTGAATGATGTACACGCGAATAAAAATAAAACAGCAACAACATGAATATCCAAGCGCAAGAAAAAGACCAACAAAAATAGGGGAGGGTGGGGTAGCTAGGGCATAGGGGCGAAATAAAACTTAAAGTTCTACGTCATGTGAATTATTATGTAGTGTAGTGCCAGGCGCGGATCAAGGAGGGGGGCGAGCAGCCCTCGGCCCCCCTCGCCCCCGCCCCCCCCCCCCCCGCAAAAGAGAGAGATCGAGAGAGAGAGAAGGAAAAGAAGGGAAAGAAAGAAGGAAAAGATGAGATAAATGAGATAATGCGTACATGTCAGGGCCCGCGAAACGGCGGGGATCGGGAGTATATAGCTCCCTCCCCCCCCCCCCCCAACTTTTTTGAAAAAATATATTAAAGAGATATAAAGAAAGAGAGCAAGAAAGAAAAAATAGTTAACTGCCAGTGTCACAAAATAAGGAGGTATCAAAATATGCTCATCTGACGGTAATCAATGCCTAAAACCCCTGATTTCAAGGGGGCTCCGCCCCCTGGACCCCACGCCAATTAGTGTCCAGCCAGTGTCACAAAATAATAAGGTATCAAAAAATGCTCATCTGACCGTAATTTAAAGCCTAAAACCCTTGAGCTTCCGGGGGCTCCGCCCCTGAACCCCACGCCAATTAGTGACCTGCCAGTGTCATATTTTGATACCTTATTTTGATACCTTATTGTGACCTGCCAGTGTCACAATAAGGTATCAAAATATGCTCATCTGACCGTAATTAAATGCCTATAACCCCTGAGCTTCCGGGTGCTCTGCCCCTGTAGTGGTGTATCCAGGGGGGCGGGGGGCCGGCCCCCCTCCCCCTGGGAAAAAAACGTGTAAAAACATGTGATTTCTACCTTTTTCTTTAAATTTTCGAATAATTCCCCCCCCCCTAAAAAAAAAAAATCCAACCCCCCCCCCCCCCCCCCCGCTTCTTCAGCGGTTGGCTGAGTCGTTGCGATATTTTTGGGGGGAGCAAATTTTCGGGAGCAAAAAAAAAAATAGTGATCACTACCTTCCCCCCCCCCCCCCCTCCCCTTTTTTCGGCCGGCGCGATTTTCAAATCTTGGGGAGCAAAGAAAAAGACCCTAAGGCGGACCCCTGGACGCTAATCTGACGGTAATTTAATGTCTAAAACCCCTGAGCTTCTGGGGGCTCCGCCGGCTGGACCTCACGTCAATTAATATCCTGCCAGCGTCACAAATAAGGTATAAAAATATGTTCATCTGACCGTAATCAAATGCCTATAACCCCTGAGCTTCAGGGGGCTCCGCCCCCCTCGACTCCACCATGGGCCCTAAGGCGGGCCTCTCAATGCATATCTGACCGTAATTTATTGTCTTAAACCCCTGAGCTTCCGGGGGCGGACAAGGTATATCAATTATGTTCATCTGACCGCAGGCGCGTAGCCAAGGGCCCCCCCCCCCAAAAAAAAAGAGAGAGAGAGAGAGAGAGAGAGAGAGAGAGAGAGAGAGAGGAGAGAAAAGGAAGAGGACGTAGAAAGAAAAAGGAGCAGACAAAGAACATTTTGAAATTCAGACAAGGATTAAGAATCATGAACGGTACAACGAATCGTCTTCTTTCTCTCTATTCATTTAATGAAACGTCAAAGCGTACGCGCTTCGCGCAGGAGGGGGGACGAAATTCAGACAAGTATTAAGAGTCGAGAACGGTACAACGAATCGTCTTCTTTCTCTAATAGTTTAAGGAAACTTAAAAGCTTCGCGCAGGAGGGTGAAAACTGAATTCAGACGAGGATTAATTAGGAGTCGATAATCATTGCCGAATCATCTTCTTTCTCCCATGATTTGATGAAACGTAAAAGCCCCCTCGCTTGTTCGCTATCGCCCCTCACTAAAATAAGATCCTGGATAAGGTGAAAACTGAATGCAGACGAGGATTAATTAGGAGTCGAGAACGGTACAACGATTCGTCTTCTTTCTCCAATGATTAAATGAAACGTAAAACCAGCCTGCATTAAACTGCTATGATGCTGACTAAGTCGATGAAATAATTCGTATATTTGTGTCGTCGAGGAAATTTTGCAAGTACTTTAGAGTTTATAGGAAAAACAATTTAGCCTTTGGCCCCGGGTTTATTGGGTTAAATTTGTAAATATTGGGAAATTTGATTTTGTCGGTAATTGTGGCTAGTTTTGTCGGTAATCGTTGGCCTTTACACCCCCCCCCCCTACAGTGAAAAAGGTCTATATAGCGACGCCCCTGGATGTAAGGCCTATTTCCTGTAAATCATTAATCATCTTCATCCTCTTAGTAGTATTCACATCTGTTGTCTTAGTTTTATTTTCCTCAACTTCTAGTCTATATTTTAACATAAACAAAAAATATTTGCTTAAATTTTTGTTACTACATTTTTATAACATTTATTTACAACACTCGCTGTATAAATTGCAAATAAAGCATAACGAAGTATTAAATTAATATCTGTAATATTTTCCTTTGCGTCATAAAAACCATATACAACAAAAATGGGTAGAAATTAAAAATTCTACCGAAGGAGTTACATAATAATATTTCAATAAAGTTCCAATATGGATAAATCTTTTCGCATTAAAAAAAAAATGTTTGTACCAGGTTTGGTACAGTAATAACACAAATCGTTTTCTTTGATTTGCCATTTGAATAAATTAACAGGTGTTTGTAAAATATTATACGTAAATTTAAAGTTGAATTGTATTAAGTAATTATCACGAACATATTTCAATTTAAGTAACAACAGAGAATCCCACTTAATACCAAAATTTGTCGGTAAAGTGTTGTTCCAGAAATCTACCGCCCTAAATTGTTTTGGGGTTAATTTTACGAGTTCCGTATAGATTTGTTTCACAGTAATACAGTGTATTGATAATTCAAAACTATTCAAATTCAAATTAGAATATATCATTGATTTACGTTTGTAATCTTTACAATCATAAACTTGTTTACCATATTTAATTTGCCTACATCTTTTTTGTATTGCGGTTCGTATTTTGGCATATTCACTCAACCATCTACCATCTACCATGATCGTAATAAATAAGTTTATCTTTCAATTCTTTGACCGTCAAAAATCTACTTCCTATCACTATACCCCCTAAAAATAATATACCTGACTTTATCAAATGTTTATACAACAATGCTTCTCCTTTAAATTTGATATCACAATTTAACCAATTCATTTCTTTCGTAACACTTCCATAAGTGGGTTGTATAATTTTTTTACATAATTTACTTGCTTTACTGTTAACAACGTATAAATTAAATCACAATAGAAATCAGGTATTTTTCCTCTATAAGAAGTCACATATTTTGGTAAACATTTACAATTCCTGATACTAATCCCTCCAATTTGTTCAATCCAATACTAAAATGAAATAGTCCATTTTCCTTTTTTTTTCATGGAGTTCTTTAAAACTCAGGAAGCTAAACAACCATTTTATTCTTAACGACATAAATTTTGTATGCATGTCAACCATATTCATGCCTCCATTTTGAAGAGTATCTATTATGTTTTCCTTTTTTCACTTTCGCTCTACTACCCCATAACATATAAAATTACTTTTCATACGCTTTTATCCATTCAATAGGGCACGATAAAACTTGAGTTTTAACATCAATTTTAAATCACGTGTCGATCACATATACATGGCCTGTCTAGAACCCCCCGTCCAGTTTAAAGACTATAATAAGTCCACTCCAAAAATAATTTGCTTCTAATAGATGCAAAAAAACAAGAGAAACAGAGCAAAACAAATTTGAGTGAAATCGGATAACTAATAAGGAAGTTATACATTTTTTGATAAAGTATGACAAAGTATGGAACAATGGAAATCACTACACAAATCGCCAATTCGGTTATCAGTTTGTGACGTCATGTCCTCACTATTTATCAATTGCTTTATATATTTTAATCCAATTAATTTTCCTTTTTATATGATTTGTATCATATTGCGTACATGACATTACACAAAATCTTTGATGAACTTTGAAGAATTGATATTATTTTCTGAATATTGTATCATAATTATTGAATTTTACATAAATAGTTTATCAAAATTCACATTTTCCATGATTTAACTGAACAAAAAATAACTCTATACTTTGGGCACCCACACAAAAACATATTACTATCAATATAACTTGGATGCTGGTGTGAAGGAATACGATTCTAATAGGGGGAATGGGAAGTTTATAATATAAATATAAAGAAAGCAATGAGTGGATAGTGAGGCAATGACGTCACAGACTCATGAGTGAGTTGCAATTTGTCTTGTGATTTTCAAAGTTGTTCATTTCATTAAGAATTCATTACTTTCTTTTTAGTTATCCGATTTTGCTCAAACTTGATTGGTTTGTCTGATTTTTCTGCTTTTATTGAAAGTAAGTTATTTTTGGAGTGGACTTGCCCTTTAAGATACAGTCGTCAGTAACCTTCACGGTTATTTCCGAGTCAAGACGACGCTAATCGCTTGGAATATCAAAATGGTGACCACAGGTTTTCCAGACACCTCCTAAACGAGGATTTCTTCTGAAGCCAAAACACACTCTACTTGAGGATTTCGCGTGTTTTTTTTCTCCCGAATTCACACCCCGGTATTTCAAAAAGTGTACTCCTATAAACAAGTATTGTAAAATTGTAATCCCTTGAGCATTTTGAAGTGCGTTTGGGATTACCATTTAAAGATGAAGTTGAGTACTGGTCATGCAATTGCATTGTGAAAGAAACGGGGTGGAACCGACCAGAAAAGGTTGATCATCTAGCATATAAGAATTTGTGTGTATTGCAAGGTTCTGGAATCATCAAAATGATAAGAAATTTGGCCAAGTCTTGGTAAAGTTACACTTGCACAGAAAGATGTATATGGGACTACACGAACACGTGGCGTAAAAAGCCGGCCCCCGATTTTTACGATGTTACATGCATATTTAGAATATGAAGGCATTTGAAGAGCCATGCTTTTCAGGGAACATGTCTTAACTGATGTTCTTCCACACTTGCATAATAAGAATGAGTAATGCTCACAAATTATTTTTCACCTCTTCCCAGAACTCACCCTTCTCTTTAAGTGGTTGACAATGTGAAATGAATAAAAAATTGCGCTTCTGATGATGTAGAAATTCACAATGTAAGAATTTATTTAAATAGAGAAGCAATAACATCAACCTGTATACTGCCAAATAATAATAATAATAATAATAATAATAATGAACATTAATGCGCCGTGTCTGTCAAAGTGACACTCCTGGCGCAGCTGTGTGGAAATGATATAGTTGAGGACATACGACCATAAAGTAATTTAAGAAAGAAAGTACCACACATAAGTTAAAGTATAACATACTTCATGACATAATTTGCAATAATAGAATAATACAATACAAAGCATATTACAATAATAAAAGGGTTTAATGCACATCCTTCATAAGGCTTAGCTTTCTTTGAAGAAAAAAAAATTACATTTCATATTTGGTTTATTTTATATAAAGTACATGAAGTGATTACAAACAGTACACAATGTACAATGAACAATTACTATTCTAATATGCAAAACAAAATATAAGGACCATCTATAGGCGTGATACTTGGTAGGTTGGGTCGGTATCGTAAGCATCTATCTTGATCTACTGAAGATCACACCGGCAGGCGCAGGCGGTAGCCAGTAGTCTCGCCAAAGGGCAATTATTATCTCTTTTTTCCTCTTCCCCGGTCTGGCCCCGAGGGCTATATAGAAAAATACCCCTAAACGGTATAACGGCGCGTACGGCAGGATTTTGAACCATTTTGGAAGAGTACCCTTTTACTTGAAAATGGCCCAAAGTTTTCGAGCCCCTTAAAGGGACTTGGTAACATTGTTAATTTGTGAGATAGTGGTGCTAAGGTAGTGACTTCAATGCTAAATGTACAATTAAAGATAATCTGAAAATTTTAGTGAAAACGGACCATTATTCATGGTACATTAAATTGGGAAAAACTGATCTGATCGATTCCTTAATTTTCCCAACTATATTATTACAATTTAATTACATTTTAGGTGAATGTAAATAGTCACAAAGCAATAAAATGGCTCCACATTCCATTCCAGACATTTAAATGTTGACAGATTTTTTTATAGCCTGTTTATGTCTTTTTTTTTCATGGAAAAATGGTTGGGAAAAATTCAAAAATGGTTGCGAGAATCTACTGTTAATCACTTTTAGAGGGTGTCGTACATCGACGCCTTCAAAGAAAACCATAGATATCTTTGTGGTTTGAGAATTTTTTCAGGATTTTTTGCTTGTCAGAGGGTTAGAACAGTAGGGGGCATATAGTAAGTAACATTTTATACAGAAATTAAGCAATTTTTTCATCAACCTTCAACAATGTTACCGAGTCACTTTAATGCGGCAACGCGCGGAACCCGTCCAATAATTATACGCGTTTTCTAACGCTCTTCCAGTATGATCTCGTATGCCTTGGGAACCAGCGTCGTTACACGGTGCCCAAAGTCATAGTTAGGCTGCACACCAGGAGGCAAGGTGATCTTGAACTGCTGAAGAATGTTGGTGAAGAAGAGAAACAACTCCATCTTAGCTAGCTGCTCACCGAGGCAAATTCGACGCCCTGTAAGGAAAATGAAAGAAAGCGTAGAAAGTAGGCCTATATGAATAATTAAGAACAAACTTTCCGGTTTTTGTTTAAAGACGCACAATCCCCGTATTCGAGAGGGCGTTCAAAATACGTACACGCTGGCGGACGGTACTAGCTGCCTTTTGACACCAACAGAATACGGCTCTTACGGATATGTTCCGATGGCGATGACTAGAGCAGCGATAACTACACTGGCGGGATTGTGCGCCTTTAAATCAATATATTGCTATAGCTACCGGGAACATTCATAATCAATGGATATATGTGATTTAAATCACAATTTCCAGACATTCGATCATATATAGTCAAAGATAATTTACCATAATGACAGGCTAACGATAAGATTGATATAATCTCAAGCACTGCTCTTTTTTGAACGAGGCCATGGAAAAAAGAATAACATCTTTTGAAATGTGGATCTACAGAAGAATGATGAAAATATCCTGGAAACGAATGAAAACCAACAAAGAGATATTGCACATGGCAGGGCGTAAACAATTTGCACTAGTAGGATTAGTTAAGGAGAAAAAATCAAATACTTTGGTCATGGCACCAAAATCTCTTAAAGGATGTATTTGAAGGAAGAGTGGACGGAAGTAGACCTAGAGGGAGACCCAGAATCAACTGGGAAGAGAATGTCAAAAACTGGAGTGGACTAAAACTGCATGAGGGCACCAGAATGGCAGAAGATAGAGTGAAATGGAGAGAATGTTGCAATCAACCTCCGAACCGGGAGAAAATACTTAGATACATAGATAGAAAGAGAAAAACAAATTATAATGCACCCCCTTGCACCCTACCACTAACCGGAAATGAAAAGCACCCCCCCCCCCCCCACTGACAAACTAGAGCTGATAGGTATGAATGATCATTTTGTTGCAATACTGTTATTATAATAACAATCAAAGAAGACAAGGAAAAATCCGAAACCATAAAAGGGTGGGCAGAACCAAAAAAGGATATGCCAGTAATCAAAATTTGATATCATGATTTTTATACTAGAAAGATGGAAAAAAAATATACAATGGCAACACAAAATTACATCTGTCGCATTTCTCCTCACCTACTCCAAATGGCATATAGGCTTCGTGTTTTATTAACGCCTTCCCGTCCTCCGTCAGGAAACGCTCAGGTCGGAAAACTTCCGGGTCACCCCATATCTTAGGGTCATGGTGAATGTACAGGATGTTAACGGCAATATTGACGCCGTCAGGTATAGCATAACCTTTGACCTTCAGATCAGACGTTGCCCGATGTGGAACACCGGTAGGGGCGATTGGGCGGTAGCGGAGAACCTCGACGAGCGTTGCCTCCGTGTAAGGCATCAATTTACGGTCCTCGAATCGGGGCGTGGCACCAGACCCAATGACGGAGTTTATCTCAGCTACAATCTGACGGCAAAAATGAAAAATATGTAAATTGTCATGATCATTAATTGGTATCAAATTAGTCCTAGCCCATAGCACGCGAAAATCCTATTTTCATCTCTTTCTCTCTCTAAACGTATTACGTAAAATTTTGATATCTCGAAACAATAACCTTTAATTTACAGACCCACATATTGGAATGACTCGGACATAAAAACAACGCAATCGTCCTCATTAAAGTAAAAGCTCAAAGATTCTTTCAGAAATTCATATGGTAACAAATTACAGGCTTTAATTGCTTGCTCACGTGACCAGGCAAAAAAAAAGACAATACTTAATAGAACTTCCCTCAAAACGAAAGGGTTTGAAAATGGCTTTTTGTGGAATAATAACCATCATTAGTTGTTGAATCAACCAAAGTGATTGCAATCACCTAAGTAATAGTCTGATCTTCAGACCCTTGTACCGAATGGTCGTACGTTTTGTGCTGCACAAAGATTCAATCAGTTTAAGTTTTGCTATAACAATGGGTTATTGATGTAGACAAATTAATGCTCATGTACCTGTTACAGCTCACTTTAGGTATGTTATTACCAACAACAAAAAGAAGTCAGTCAGTAAACGGGTTTCTTTGCCTAATTTGAATACCAGGACACTGCTGAAGTTTAAATTCCACAGATAAGACATAGGCTATATATTCATAATTCCTGCAAAGTTCTACATAATTTGATGTTGGCTGCAAAAGGGACATAGTATTTTTAAATCTTATAAGACAATCTTGTTATATGGAATATTAAACAATACAAAATAAAATAAATAAATACAAAATTAAGAAAATAAATAATGTTTCATTAATACAATATAATTGTTGTGTAATTGATGTTGTGATGTCATTGAGTTCATACCTTTTCTTGAACTTCCGGATGGCCTGCCATGAACAGGAAAGCCCAAAGCAGCGTGGTCGATGTCGTTTCCGTTCCCGCTAAGAAGAAATCGAAGACGAGTGGCCATGCTTTCGTCAAGTCTAGTTCGTTCTTCTCCCCCGCTTCCCGCGCTCGATATATTTCCTTCAAGTACAAATCAATGACATCTCTGACGTCACTGGGTTCAAAGGTCGACTTATGTTCGTTGACCTCCTCCTCCAGGAACTTCCGGACTGCCACAAGATTCCTTCGGCGAGCGTTGCTGATGAAGGTAGGGAGGTTCGACATGGGACCCGGATCTTCGGCTACAAAGTAGTTGATCCGTTGAATCATCTCTTTGAATTTGGGATCCGAGTATTCGAATCGTCGACCGAACGTAATGGCACAGATGATGTTTGATACAGCGTTGTTCATAGCAAAGAAAGGATCAAATGATTTGCCGATCTTCTCCGACAAAACCTCATTTAATATCCGAGCTTCCGCATTGACTGAGTTCTCGAGGGATTTTTTTCCCATTCCGAAGTTACGAAGTGCAGCAAGACCGAAGCGTCGGTGTTGTATCCAGTCGTCTCCTTCCGAGAAAATAATTCCACCTGTATAGGTACAAAAGACAGATTGAAATCAATAAACGGCATGATCACGTTACATTTATAAAAAAAATCTTATCGTAAATCATTGGCATATAATTATGTATATTCTCTTACGTATTTGACGGGGATAATGGGCAGTTTGACCCCCCCCCCCCCTCCCCCTAAAAAGAAGTTAATACCCGTCTTCTCAGTTCAATTAGGGTATTATTGCAAAATAAATAATCATAACATTATTTTTTATACCTAATTAATCGTTTTCTCAAGATCTTTTTGCGAAACGGAGATGCTAAGCATGGATTATGGGGTCAAACGTTAGAAATGAAGAGAAGGGAAACTCGGACCACGCACTCCTTATAGGTCAAGCCCCTGGTCAAGCTATATAGACTTGACCGCTGTAACTATATGTTTTGAATTGAAATTATCTTGAATTTCCCCATACATACATATCAAAAGATTATGGTTTGAGCATGGTAAACAATGCACATGTAATAAATAATATATGGCCCCAAATTCTTGTCCGCTTGCTTCGATCACTCGCAAAGTCCAAAATTATTGAATATCGCAATTTGGCCTACTTATCTTTCAAATCATGTCTACATCGAGATTTAATAAAAAAGTAAACAACAAATTTGAATTGAAAGACGAACGGCTCTCATCCCCCCAGAACATTTTGCCGAAAGTATTATAGGGGACATTGCCCCCAAACTTGCCCCCCCCCCCCTCCCACCCGTGGATCCGCTTTCATTTAACAATTAATTTCGTCTTACCATGATAATGGGTGACTGCTTTGAGTTCCCAGAAGTCTTCTCTTCCGGATGTTATGTCAGCCTGTTTGACAAGAACCTCGTTGACGGCCTCGGGGCTAGCAAGAAATACAAAACGGCGTCCGCCGTTGTCGATGTACACGACTTCGCCGTATCTGCGGAAGAGCACTCTGTGTTTGAGGTGTGTTTCCACTTTTCATTAAAGCTAAACTTGAGTTCTGGTAAAAAAAGAAAATGAATTCTCACAGAATCTAACGAAACTTACACTAAATGTTCAAGATTACAAAATAAATGTCATGTGCCAAACAATTTAGGAAGAAAATGTATACTGGCTGAGTAATGAGCATAGAAAGATAAGGAAATCAGGGTAGTACTAGCCCCGACACCATGTGTGTTATCCCATATACATCTTTCTGTGTAAGTGATTGTTACTTTACCAAGACTCTGCCAAATTTATGATGATTTTGATGACTCCAGAACCTTGCATTACACACCATTACTTACATGCTATTATGATCAACTTTTCTGATCCATTCCACACCTTTTCTTTCACAATGCAATCGCATTACCAGAACTCAAGTTTAACTTTAAGGTATTTTTCAAGATACCTCCAATAATCACCTTTAATCTTTGATAAAATATTACCTTTAATAGACTACCCCCTGACAACTACCCCCTAGGACAACCATCCTCTAGGACAACTATCCCCGGACAACTATCCTAGGGGGTAGTTGTCCGGGGGTAGTTGTTCTAGGGGGTAGTTGTCTGGGGGTACTTGTCCTAGGGGTAGTTGACTGGGGTGGTTGACTGGGGTGGTTGACTGGGGTGGTTGACTGGGGTGGTTGACTGGGGTGGTTATCCGGGGGTGGATGTCCAGGGGTAGGTGTACGGATACGCATACAAATACATACAGAGGAAATTACGATTTTTCTTTTTTTCATTTAACAATCGAGAGAATAGGGGCTTGTGATGACAAAGTAGGAAAAGGGAGATCGAAAGAGCTGTATGCCTACTAACCTTCGGAGAGAGAGATAGAGCGAGAGAGAGAGAGAGGGGGGAGGGGGGGGGGAAGAAAGACAAGAGAGAAAGAGGAGGCATGGAAATTACATGCGAGCGAAAAATAAATCGATGAGAGAGAAAAAAAAAAGAGAACAGAGAGAGAGAGAGAGAGAGTGATAGAATTAAAAAAGGGGCGGAAGAAAGAATGCGTAATTGGTGTTTTAGTTTTAAGTGTTTTTAGTTCTTCGAAGCAATACCTTTCAGCCAGTTTTCCGAGGAGTACAAACGGGTTGGTACCTTGAAGTTTCAATAATAACTCTGTCACGATGTTCAGAGGCCACGGCACGGGCATCGGTCCCGGTGGCAGATTTAGCCTTCTCCGCGTCGACATCCATCTCACCATCCATACAAGCACAAGCGACGTCGCTATTCCTAACAAAATACTGCTGGAACCGACATCGAACACATCACGAACCGGGTCTACGCCCATGATGACTGATTTCCTCACTTAGGTCAGCTTAAACTTTGGAAAGCAAATGTGTTGCAAAAATGTTGGCCGCTATGCTTTGCTGTTTCCTCAAAATCTGTTGACTATAAACAAACAAATTGAGAAGTTGAACATAAACGATGCGAATGTGCATTCTTTCTGTGGATCACCAAGAATTCGGGATTGCAAACAAGCATCTACATCCTGTATTTTGAAAGGCATTATTGTTTTGATAAAATCCCCAGCATTATATTAAAACGATAATGCCTTTCAAAATACAGGATGAAGAGGCTTGTTTGCAATATTTTTGTCCCCCGATACGTCACCGATAAAGCGTTATTTATTTATTTATTCGGAGGAGTTAAGGGATTTATTAAAAGAACCCTGTAGGCGAGTGACAAATTACATGGTAAAATTTACAACAACAACAACAACAACAACAAATAAAAACGTATACATAATACATAATGCACAGTTATTTACTACTAGATATAAAAATAACACAGAACACGTTTTAGTTTGAAAAAAAACAACCTACATAAAATTCATGCTTGGATTTAAATGAGCCAAATAAAGCAAGGGAATATGCTTATATTTATGAACTAAACAAAACAAGTTCACTTAAATTGATCGCACTGGTACGATAAAATCAAACAGAATTTAAAACACACTAAAAGATAAGTAAATTTCAAGTCAGACTGAAGAGTTTAGATAAAAGAGTGGCTAAAAAGAAAACGGCAGATTAAAGTGGATTGCACAAAAGAAAGTATAAGCACACAATGGAAAGTTTAACGAGACTAAAATATAATTATACAATAAAACAATCAAAAGAACAAACACAATGTGTCAAACGAAAGGCAGTGTAGGCAAACAATGGATAGTTTACAACGCGGCCAACTTTTGTTGAATTGATAACGACGCCAGAAGCTGGGTATAGACTATTTTATGTAGTTCAATACTATTTGTCGATCGAATCTCTATCACCTTGATCATACTGTTTTTTATGCCGTTATTGGTATCCGAGAAGTGGTGTATGTAGGAATTATGGGATCCTCGGCAAACAATTAATCCCCCCCCCCCCCGAGCAGTAGAAAACCCTAAAAAGCGCAAGGTCTTACGTATTTACACAATTTAAAAATCGCAAGACAGCAAACAAGCGGAACAATTTCGAATGTTTAACAATGATCAGCGGTGTTCTACCCCTTCGTGAAAAAAGGCGCAAATAAATATTGATTTAGTCGAGAAAGTAAACAAGGTAACATAAAGTCAAATGGTTGATGAACTTTTTAATCGGGAGTCACTTTAAAAAAAAATTCATTTTGAACGGTATCAAGATGTTATACATCATAATCTGTTATTATACACACTGATATAACTCCAGATCGCTCCTTTACAACACCATCATAAAAGTTTATACTCGTTATTGCTCTATATAAAACCATCTTCAACTCAATTGTATTGTATTGCATTGTATTAGTAATATTTCATTTTACTTTGTTGCTTTTAAGGTATTAAACATGTTGAATAATTAAAAGTTAGACAGTACCACCTGTGCGCTTAGAAACATCTGTATAAAGCGCCCTATAAATGTTATTATTATTATTATTATTATTATCTTCATTTAATATTCAATGGAGCTTGGTAGGCCTATACAAATGAGTTTAAGAGCAGATTTCTTCGACAATGTCCCGATATCTATCTGTTACCGGACCGCATTCGTATATAGTTTTCATTCAGGGATGCTGATTATTCTTTAGGATGGAGTCTGCCTTTTCTACTATCCTAAAAGTTCGCCATAAATCTCTAAAGTTGAATTCTTGGCCTAAGTATCTCCTATTTAACATAGTGAGGTCTCCTTTACGACAACTTGTGGACCAGACTACACAGGCAATCAAAAGCGATCATACTTTCAATATCCGAACAAGCGACATATTAATTATTTTTTCAATTTTGCATCCACTGTAGGCCCTCTTGTAAATTGCTTTAAAACAATTCCTCCCCACCCCCCAACCCCACTTCACACCGTCGTCAATTATAGTACCAAGGTTTTTGTACGTATGTACTTTTTCAATTTCCTCACTATTTAATCTCACCGGACAAAATACTAGGTTCGACTGGTATGTAGTTGCTAGAGTCAAAGATTTTGTTTAAACGTGTTGAGATCCATTTTCATTTACACCAATCAGAAAACCATTTTTGACAATTGACATAGTTCGTTTCACATCGATTGATTTAACCTACAATAGCACGGTCGTCGGCGAATTATGTTGATTTCCTTTAAAATACCCAATCGAGCCCAAGTGGCTACAAGTAGTGCAGTGGGCTAATTCTAAGTTCTTTTTGGAGTGGACTTGCCCTTTAACCAACACAGGCCCATATCGAGGTTGGGTGCTCTTTAAAGGAAACCAAAACCTTCATACTAAGTTACTTTTATTGTAAAGTTTAAGATATTTGAAAAATATCAGTGAAAATTTGAACAAAATCGGGCAAGGAATAAGGAAGTAAGAGCTTTTTGAAATTACTAGTCACTAGATGGCGGTATCCTATTTGATGACATCATCTGTGGACAAATCACCATGCCTTTTGTACATCAAATTTCATATTTCAAAGTCACTCTCGAGCGCCTGTGCTGTCTTTTCACCAATAGCATTGTATATCTGTAAAAGCTGGTCGATAGATGGCGACCCGCGAGCTGTAAAATTGGCCTGCCTGTCGGCACGGCTTCCTGGTGGTGGTGCTTAATTAATTGCACATCCGCCTTATTTACATGTTGTACAAGCTGAAAAGCCGGTTACAAAAAGTGGGCTTTATTTTAATCTGTCAAAGGAATGTTCCTAGAAATAGCCAAAACGTAATTAATGTAACTAAAGGTAGCTAATTTGTATTCCAAGTTTTGTATATATGGGTTCAATCAATCAATCAATATCGGTTTTATTAAAAATATACCAAATAAAAAGTCCAAAGACTAACAATTATTGGCTCACATTGTATCATATAAAAATGCATTAAAAACAGTAGATTTAAAAATTCAGTACGTATGTGGCTATTTATATTATGTAAAATGAAGAAATAAAAACAAAACAAACAAACAGACCTTATACAACTGGATGGTACAGTTACATAACAGTACGGGTAAATAATTATTTGTTTAGGATATTGTATACCGTAAATGAGTACAAAGTTCGATGGAAACAGAGACGACAGGAAACAAAAAAAGAATTTAACATGAACGACAGGAGCCTATAAAAGACTATAAAGTAATACTCCATTCGGTATACGTCATGGATTATCTTAAGCTAACACCATGAAATGTCGTATAATATTCTTTGCCCATATGAACAGCGGAAAATGATATCGGAGTTGGTGAGGTATCCGAATAAACAGATTTTCCATGCAGTAATTCATACCTTTCATTGAGGCTAACTCATGTTGGTGTCATAAACTTTGCGCTCTCGGTATGTATCAGCCCCCCCGAATATAATCATACATAGTTACAAGGTAGCAGTGGCGTACGCAAAGGGGGGGGGGGGGGGTTAACGTTTTGAAATCGGGCCAAAAATTTCGCAACGACTCAGCCGCTGAATAAGCGGGGGGGGGGGGGGGGGGGAGTAAGATCATCTTCTTTTTTTCTTCTTTTTTTAATTAAAAAAACCCCACAAAAACACAAAAACACAAAAGGGGGGTCCCAAAAACATACACATACAACAAACTCAAGGTGGAGTTACCCCCCCCCCCCCCCTGCGTACGCGCCTCCACGGTAGTCTGATCTCATCAGATCTCATCTCATATAACGTTTCTCTTCTTCTTCTTATTCTTTTTCTTCTTCTCCTCCTCGGTCCTCCTCCTTCTCTGGTATCTTTCCTTTCTTCCTTGGAAAAAATATCTCACAAAATAAAGACAAGATCGAAACGAATAGAGAAGCGAACTCTATACGTGAAGCTTGCATATAAATTAGACCAAATTATCTACACACCTGTACAGACAGTATTATATCACTAACAAAGAATGTAATTTTGGCGGTGTATTTCCTGAAACATATACGGAAGCAACTATTAATAACCCGTTTTTTATATAGCGCTCAATACACCGATCCAACGATGTGCCTAAGCGCTTTACAGATATATTATTACCCCGGTCATTGTAGCTGTACGTAGTTCCTAGCTTCTTATCACATAAACATAAGCGGTAATATTTCTTGGTATCATAACTTTTGCAATGGCCTCGCATGTACATTTAACACTATAATACAGGTGGTTTGCTATACTTACCGTGTCACCCGCAAATACGTGTATTTCTTCTTCTCCTTCTTCAATTGCAGTACGTACAGCCACCGTCAAGTGTATTGTCGTACTGTTGATACAGTGCAAATGTATACAATGTCGGATAAATGGTACAGTCAGCTAGCGGAGCTGGGTCTTTTGTTTGAAGCTGCCCCCCCCCCCCCCACTCCGAGAACGGACGGACCCCATGTGTGTTACCAAAATGTCCTTTTCGTAACAAAAGAAAAAGGTCGACCCGTATTGACTTTACACACCAGACTTTTGCTGAAAAGGGGGGGGGGGGGGTGCTGAAAAAGGCTCGTATAACAAAAGAAAAAGGTCGACCCGTATTGACTTTACACACCGGACTTTTGCTGAAAGGGGGGGGGGTGTCGCTTGGAACACGCATTATGCGTACCCTAAATAACACTGAGTCGGGGGGGGGGCGGGGAGGGAGTTCCTCTGGTAGACAAGCGTTCGGGCAAAAGGAACAACTTGGAATGTCCTCTGCATGTGCAGGGATGTTGATGGAGTGAAGAAATTCTAAATACAGTGTACTTCCAAAATGAAAGAGTAGGCCTACATGGCAAGATGTCGGTCTGTAGCCTACATGTTGGCAATGATAATGATAGGCACTCTGAAATTATGCAAAATTTCGAATGTGGACTGTTATGTATTGTCACATGAGATCCTGGGGGTCTCAGTCATGTAGAAATACTGTTAGCATATGCGTGACCACAGATTTTCCACACACCCCCTAAACGAGGATTTTTTAATTCTGAAGCCTAAATACACCCTAAATGAGGATTTCGCGTGGTTAAAGGAAATATAAGACTCTATTATTACGATAACAAAATCTTGCATTGTAAGAAAATAGATTTCTACCATCTTTGACAATATGAACTAATCTTTTGGTTTAGTATGGTACCCCTTGTAGTAACTGAACTGGACTGAACTGAACCCTCCCCTTAAAAAAAGAAAAAACTGACCATTCATTATTGTATTCTGTCCATCTTTTTAGGTGGTATGTACTTTATAATAATGTACCCGAAAAAAAGTTCTTTTAAATGCAAAAGGTATACCAGTATAACTTGTGTATTCTAAATAATTGATTTTTTTCTTCTTCTGTACTGTTACATTATTTTCTTGTGGAACATATCTCAAGAATGGTAATTGAAGTTTCCTGCAAAGATGGCGCAATGGTATAACCTATTATGGATAGGAAACACATATATTTTCAAGGTCATATGCATGATCTAACGTCAACTAGGAAGGAGCGATTTGATGAAACGTAAAAGCTTCCGCGCTTTGCGCGGGAAGGTGAAAACTGAATGCAGACGAGGATTAATTAGGAGTCGAGAACGGTGCAACGAATCGTCTTCTTTCTCTAATGATTTAATGAAACGTAAAAAGCTTCCGCGCTTCGCGCCAGAGAGGGGCAACTGAATTCAGACAAGGATTAAGAGTCGAGAACCGTACAACAAATCATCTTCTTTCTCTCATGATGTGATGAAACGTAAAAGCTTCCGCGTAAAGCGCGGGATGGGGGGGGGGGGAACTGAATATAAACGAGAATTAGAGGTCGAAAACGGTACAACGAATCGTCTTCTTTCTCTAATCATTAAATGAAACGTCAAAGCTTACGCACTTCGCGCAGGAGGGGGGGGGGGGGGGGAGACGAAACTCAGACAAGGATTAAGAGTCGAGAACGGTACAACGAATCGTCTTCTTTCTCTCATGATTTGATGAAACGTAAAAGCTTCCGCGCTTTGCGGGGGAAGGTGAAAACTGAATGCAGACGAGGATTAATTAGGAGTCGAAAACGGTACAACGGTACAACGAATAATAATGTCACGGGCAAAGTGGTGCGTATCAATAATTATTATTAAATAAACAATGCACGCCATTCGAGGCCGATGTGCAATGCTAAAATGCAACACCAAAAGAAGAGAGAAAGAAGTAAAAAGAAAATGCCCTCCATAATTGACGACGTCAGTTTATCATTTAAAAAAAATAACATGACAATGATGAAGCTCGATTCAAGTGGAAGCTAATACTTTTGAAATTTTTCATTTATGAATAGACATGTAATTGAACTGTGAACTGTGAAAAAAGAAAGACAGAAAATCACTTACAGACCGTGCGTAGCGCGCTTCCTAGGGGAGAGGGTGCAGGGAGGAGGCGGTTTCCCCCTTTGAGCTTTGAGGTTTCATCAAATTATAAGAGAAAGAAGACGATTCGTTGGACCGTTCTCGATTTTTAATCCTTATCTAAATTCAGTTTCTGTTGACGTTTCATTAGAGAGAGAAGACGATTCGCTGTACCGTCCTCGACTTTTAATCTTTGTTTGAATCAAGTTCCCCTGCCTCCGCGCGTAGCGCGGAAGCTCTGAAGTTTTATTAGATTATTAAAGAAAGAAGACGATTCGTTGTACAGTCCTCGACTCGTAATCCTTTTTTTGTATCAAGTTCCCCTTCCTCCGCGGAAGCTGTAGCGCGGAAGCTCTGAAGTTTTATTAGATAATTAAAGAAAGGAGAAGATTCGTTGTACCATTCTCGATCGACTCTTAATCCTTGTCTGAATTCAGTTCCCCCCCTCCCCTCCTGCGGATGCTTTGACGTTTCATAACTAGAGAAAGAAGACGATTTGTTGTACCGTTCTCGACTCTTAATCCTTATCTGAATTCAGTCCCCCCCCCACCCTCCCCTCCCGCGCGAAGCGCGGAAGCTTATAGACGTTTTATTAAATTATTAGAGAAAGAAGACGATTCGTTGTATCGTTCTCGACTCTTAATCCTTTTTTCTTCCTACGTCCTCTTCCTTTCTCTTTTTTTCCTTTTTTTTTGGGGGGGGGGGGCGACCGCCCCCACCGCCCCCCCCCCCCCCCCCCCCCATGGCTACGCGCCTGCTATGATATCAAGGAGAGACTTGCTATTTCTATCGCTCGTGACTTAAACCTAAGCGTCCGGGGGGTCCCTCCTTTGGTCCTCCAACGGCAGGGGATCTGCCCCTAGACCTCATCCGCAAAGAGAAAAGTGATTCCCAGGACAACCCTTTGTTGTATAAAATTGTCCATAGAAGAGTGTACTATGTCTTTTTATCGCTCAAGACGGCTATTTTGAAGGTTTTAAAAAGCTTAAAAATAAAGGTGAGTTCTAGTCATCCGATTGCATTGTGAAAGAAAGGATGTGGAATGGATCAGAAAAAGTTGATCATGTATAGCATGTAAGTATTGGTGTGTACTGCTAAGTTCAGGAGTCATCAACTTGGCCCAGTCTTGGTAAAGTAACAAGCACTGTACACAGAAAGATGTATATTATGGGACTACACAAATGGTGTCGGGGCTACTCACCTTAATTTCCTAATATTTCTATGCTCATTACTCAGCCAGTATACATTTTCTACCAAAATTGTTTGGCAAATGACATTAATTTGTAATCTTTAACATTCAGTGTATAAGTTTCGTTTGATTCTGTGAGAAGTCATTTTCTTTTTTATTTAAAACCAGAACTCACCTTTATCTTTAAACTCGGGAACGTCTTGGGCTCTGTACCACTGCCCTTGGACCCCATCAAGAAGGGCTAGTGCTCATGCACTGGCAGCGTGCTCAGTGCGCAAACGTTGGTTTTCCCACCCCCCCCCCTCCTCCTCCTTCGGAAGTCCTCGATCCGCCGCTGCATATTATTTCGTGGATAGACCCTTTATAATGTTGATATATATCGCCAAATTGATGTACACATGGAAGTGAGTACAGGAACGGAAAAAAATACGCGTACAGGAATGGTACACACTATGCAGCTCTCTGATTGGTCCGATGGTATACAACATCTACCACACAAATTGAGTCAGCAATTGTCTGTTCTCACACCCGCTCTAGATCTACCGCATCTCAGACAGAAAACAATTGCGACCAGCCGCCAAATTGTAGTGTCGTTTATTCAATGAACGTGTGTGTGTACCTACTGAATTATTATTTGTGTGCAAATAATTAAGCACCATTCCGTGTGCTCCTTGTTTGGTAAAAAAACTGTTTGTGCTGTAAACTTCAAGACTGCCTTTCGACTGAAAGATTATTATACACCTTACAACAGCACTTACACTGTAAGTAGCGCAGAATTTCTATTAAGGTGAGATTTTTGAAGGGTCAAAGAGGGTTTTATCGAGGAATTCGATGAGGATGATGAATTGTATTGGATAACAAACTTATAGATAGCTAAATTGTATACATGTATATTTCAAAGAAATACACAATAAAACTCACATGAAACGAAACTCTTTTTTTCTTTATTAGGGTGAGCGGGGTCAAACTTTTTGATCAACTCTCATTTCTAAAAAGTTTCAATTCTGATATGGCTACCTAAAAAATTAATGACCTCCTTTGGCATTTTTGGTTATTAAAAATATTAAGGATATTCGAAAAGCGTTCTTTGTCAAATTTATTTCGTTATCCCCATCCTTATCTGTAAGCCAGTACAATAGTTTCAAGGCTTCATTTTTATCTTTCTACATCATTTTTCATAAAAGTGGGAGAACGGTATTACTTTTACAGTACTGAATCCCTTGATTTTGTTTCTTTGTGACTATACAATAGATGCAGAGACATAAATTCGTTGTTACCCTGAGAGGCATGTTCCTACTTCTCTCCACTTCATCCGTCATTGGTGAGAATTAGAATGAATTTAGTTTTTTATTTTGATAAATTAGGAGCATAATCGCAGGTTAGATCAGTTACCTTGGGGGTAAAGGTCCAATATGAGGGTTTTTAGAAATTGAATATTGTAAAAAAAAAAAATTGGAATCAATATGTTCAGGAGACCTCCCTGCAAAAATTGTAGGTCGAATTCCTGGATAATATTCTGCTGAAAAACAGATGCAGCCATATTTCAAAATAGCCGGCCTGTGTATCTAAAATTGGGCAGTTTTGAAGATTACCTTTTAATATAACCAAAATTCTACCATGTGTGAGCTGATATTTAAAGAAGAAAGAGAATTGAAAATTCTTTACAAAATCATATCGCATTTGGTAGGCTTGATTGTATAATTTGCATAACAATATAGAGCCAAAAATTTGATGTCCCCCCCCCCCCAATTTTTCCCCATTATACGAATAGCGCCCAAAACGCGTGTTTCTCCACATTTTTATAAATTTT